AGCTGGACCTGCCAGCCCGGGCACCCGGAGACGCAGCAGGGCGGGGACCCGGGCAGGCGGGCTGCGCCCTGGCCCAGCAATCGCTGCCCCTTCCGGGGCTGTGCGGGCAGGGGCTTTCCCGCCGCCGTCCTCGCCGGCAGGACACCTCCACGGCGGCGGGCAAGCCCACTCCGAGCTGGGGCAGCCACACCACTGCCGGCCGCAGGCGTGTGAACTCCAGCTCGGCCCGTGGGGCCGTCCGCGCACGCGCACAGGCGACGGCCGAGCAGGACAGCGGTCCAGGTTGTCCACCCGCCAGGCCCCGCCCCTCCGCGCGGAGTCACGCCCCGGCCTTGCCCCGCCCCTCGCTCCGAGACCCTCCCGTCCGCATAAAACCACGCCCATCTCCCCTCCCCTCCGCGCTCAACGCCTCTGCACAAGCCACGCCCAGCGCGCTATGCCCCGCCCCCTCAAGTTTCCCCGAACTTTTCCGCGGGTCCCGCCGAGCGCCCCGCCCGCGGGCGGTGACGTAACAATGGTGCAGCGCGGCGGCCAATGGGCGGCGGCGGGGGCCGGCGGTGCGGGCCAATGGCGGCGGCGGACGGTCCCGCGGTCCTGCCCGGCCCGGGCCGCACTGCGCCGCCCGGCGCCCGCCGCGGGCCCGGCCCGCCGCCCAACGTCCGCGCCGCCGGTGAGCCTCCGGTGAGCCGCCGGGGAGCCCCCCGGAGCCGCGCGGGGACCCCGGGCTGAACCCCCGGGAGCCGCGCCGCCCCCACCCGCGGAGCGCGGCCGTGACTGCCCAGTGACGCGGGACGGCCGAACTTGACGTAACCCGCCGGGCGCCCCACGCGTGCCCACCACGGGAGGCCGCGGCCTGCGGTTACGGGGCGGCCGCTCGCCCGTGCGTGTGGCCCCTGCGACCGGCGAGTCGGGCGGACCCTGCGGCTCGGCCGCTGCGCGCAGGTGGCCCTGGGCCGGCTGTGCCGCGTCGTGGGGACTGACCTTGGCCCGGCGTGTCCGCGCTGCGGCGTGGGGCGGCCTGGGGGCCGTGGGGGAAGGTCACCGCCCTCTCCTTGTCTTCCAGATGAGGAAGCTGAGGCTCTGCGGGGGAAGGTGACCGAGCCACATCCGCGGGGCCGGCTGTCCAGGCCGTGCGCGGGGCGGGACCCAGGTAAGGGCTGCCCCGGGCCAGCTGTCCCCGTGGGGGGCCGCGGGCCGGGCACCGGGGGCCCGCTCACCGTGCGCCTTGTGCCCGCAGGTGCGTGCGCCGTGCCGGTCGTCGACGTCGCCGCGGAGCCCATGCCGTGAGGCCGGCGTCCAGCATGCCGTGGGACGCGCGGCGGCCCGGGGCCGGAGCGGACGGCGGGCCCGAGGGTGCGGGCGCGGCGCGCTCGCGGGCGCAGAAGCAGTGCCGCAAGTCGTCGTTCGCCTTCTACCAGGCCGTGCGCGACCTGCTGCCCGTGTGGCTGCTGGAGGACATGCGTGCCAGCGAGGCCTTCCACTGGGACGAGCGCGGCCGCGCGGCCGCCTACTCGCCCTCCGAGGCGCTGCTCTACGCGCTGGTGCACGACCACCAGGCCTACGCGCACCACCTGCTGGCCACGTTCCCGCGCCGCGCGCTGGCCCCACCCAGCGCCGGCTTCCGCTGCTGCGCCGCGCCGGGGCCGCACGTGGCGCTGGCCGTGCGCTACAACCGCGTGGGCATCCTGCGCCGCATCCTGCGCACCGTGCGCGACTTCCCGGCCGAGGAGCGCGCGCGCCTGCTGGACCGGCGCGGCTGCAGCCGCGTGGAGGGCGGCGGCACGTCGGTGCACGTGGCCTGCGAGCTGGCGCGCCCCGAGTGCCTCTTCCTGCTGCTGGGCCACGGCGCCTCGCCCGGCCTGCGCGACGGGGGCGGCCTCACGCCCCTCGAGCTGCTGCTGCGCCAGCTGGGCCGCGACGCGGGGACGGCAGCCGCGGCCTCCCCCGGGGTCCCCGCGGCCGCAGCGCCCTCGGCGGTGTCCGGGGAGCCGCGGCAGCGGCGCCTGCTGCTGCTGGACCTGCTGGCGCTCTACACGCCCGCGGGCGCAGCGGGCCCGGCCCGCCGCGAGCTGCTGGGTGACAGGCCTCGCTGGCAGCGGCTGCTCGGTGAGGACAAGTTCCAGTGGCTGGCGGGGCTGGCGCCGCCCTCGCTCTTCGCGCGTGCCATGCAGGTGCTGGTTACGGCCATCTCCCCGGGCCGCTTCCCCGAGGCCCTGGATGAACTGCCACTTCCACCCTTCTTGCAGCCCCTGGACCTCACGGGCAAGGGGTAGGACAGGGATCCCCATGGACCCAGTTGGGGACAAAACTATTTTCAAGGCGCTGTATCTGGCACTTTACATATATGGATGTCTGACACAGCTGGCCTCCTGTGTGCGCCTGTGCTCCGTGGGAGGGTGCAGTGTCCTGAGCTGGACAGGTGACGACCAGTCTCGTGTCTTTGGTGAGAGCCTGGCAACAGGACTGCCTGAGGGGTGACAGCTGAGAGCAGGAGCGGCAGGTGCAGCGGTGGGAGCTGGCACCAGGACAGCAGGCTCTGCGGCCTGCAGGCGCACCTGCATGGTCAGCATTTAGGGCCTTGTGAATGTCCTGCTGGGTTAGCGCCTGGCCAGGCCTGTGCGGCCCCGCGGAGCTGGGGTATAATCCCAGCTGGCCTCTGACCAGTTCTTGTCCCTGCACCCAGCATGCTGTGGTAGGCGATGGGATCCTAGGCGGCTGTAGCCCCGCCTCCTGCAGTGACAGTGCAGCCTAGGTCTGCTAGTCTGGTTGATGTGCCCAGCCCTGGGTGGGGTGACTGAGGGGCAGTGGCTGCCCTGGGGGTCCTTGAAAGGCCTGCTGAGGAGGTACTGCCACCCACAGCATGAAGGGTCCCTGCCGGCAGAGGCAGGGCAAGGGCTTGGGTGGCTGCAGGGCACCAGCCGAGAGTCGGGCTGGGTTGGAGTGGCCGGAAGCGGCTCTGGGTGTGACTGCATACACCATTCCCTTGGTGACTGGGTGGACCCTTGAGGGGCAGGGCGGGCAGGAGGGCAGCCTGGGGTGCCTCGTTGCAGCTGAGTGAGCTGCCGAGGGGACAGTGAGGAGCTGAGGTCTGGCCTGGGACTTCAGCGTGAGCTGGGTTCCCAGCACAACTCGTGTTGACTCACAGGGCTGCCTGCTGGGGGAATGGTGCAGGGAGATAAGCTGGCCGTGTCTTATCTGGTAGCAGCTGGCCAGAGGAAGAGCAGGGAGGTGCTGGCTGATGGCCTCGTCTGGGAAGTCCCCCCCTCCCTGGTCCAACAGGCCACGGGGCTCTGTCAGGTGGAGACTGACATCTGAGAGATGAGACCACGTCCACAGGCCAGGGCTCTGGTCTCACTGGTGTGAGACTGAATCAAAGTGTTAGAAAATACAGACCCCACAGAGTCACTGAAAGGCAGCCTTTTCTTTATGGAGCAACACATTCACATGGCTCAAATTCAAGATACAAAAGGTCTGAACTGGGGTACCCCTTGAATGGCTGCTGGCCACAGGGTGAGCCTCGGTGTCCCGGGGAGCCTCATGGCTGACTGGAGCAGTGCCCGTCCACAGGTCCCTGGGGGTGCTGCCCAGTCGGGGGCCACCATTGCTGACACTGCCTGCCTCATTCCTTACACATTTACAAGGACTGCACCCACAATGCATGGGCCTGCCGTGCTGTGACACCCTCACATGCCTGCCACTGCCTGCGTCCCAGGGGCTCCTGTCAGGCCCACACGTGGCATGTGGGGCCCTGCTGGGGATTCTCGGCCCTCCTCCTCCTGAGCACTGGCCTGCAACCCAGCAGCCCCAACATATCCAGTGTTTTTTGGGGGTGGGTCTTGGTCTTTCATGTAAATCCTTGTCTCTGTGGGGAATGTGACTGTAGTCAGTAGCCCGTAGGCCAAGGGAGTTGCCGTGGCCTGCTGGGCACTTTGGTGCATGGTTCTGTCCACAGGTGGAGATGCAGAACCAGGGCCATTCCCAAGGCACCCCCTCCCCTCAGGCTGTCCCCCAGGATGACCACCTGGGCAAAGTAGTGTGTGGCCATGAGGCAGGGTTTTGCTGGGCAGTGGGCCTGGGTGCGCAGGGTGGGCCAGCCCTTGCTACAGCTGCTGATGCCCCAGCCCAGGCATCAGACGAACCAGGCTTGGAAAAGTCTAGTTTATTGCACTGTGTCAAAGCACTCGGGCTGCCAGCTGCCTGCAAGGGCACAACACTGAATTGCACTGGGGTCCCGGGGTGTGGGAGAGCTCTGCCATCTTGAGGGCCCGGGCAAGGCACAATGTGTGCAAGAGGGGCAGCCTGTTCTGGGGTCATTTCTACTGCCCCAGCCTGTTAAAAAGGATTCCTGGTGCCCAGGCCCTTGGCTGTGTCCCCTCCATGGCTGGCTGGGCCCAGTAGAGCACAACTCGCTGCCACACAGTACCTGTGGCTGGGGACTCCAGGACACTTGAGCGCACAGGTGCTGAGCCGAGCCAGAGCCTGGCTAAACAGCGTGGGTCAGGCTGCCAGGGCACTGGCTTGGGTAGGACGTGTGGCCAGTCTAAACTTGGACGCAGGGGAAGAACAGGTGGGCCCTGCTAGCTGACCCCATGCATGCAGCACAGGTCCATTGCAGGCACCGGCTCCAACCTCTCAGCCATGCTTGGAAGCCCACAGCAGGTACCAAGCAGCTCGGGGCCCGTCTCGTGAGCCGAAAGCATGCCAGGCACGGCTGTGTTCCACAGCAGCCAGGGCCTTCTACTCTCAGAAGCCGTGTTTCTCTCCTAAACTTCTAAGACTGATGTCCAATGAGGTATCTTATGCAGATTTACAATATAACAAACAGAAAAGGCAACAACCAGGGCCGGCCGCCCTTGCCCTTCGGAGCGCATGGGGCCTCTGCATGGTGTCTGCTGGTTCCACTAGGCAGATCCTGAGAGGCTTGCAGACGCCCCTCCCTGGTGGGCACTCTTCCGTGTCCCCTCAGCACCCACCAGTCTTGTGGCTCCAATGTGTGGGTGTGTGGTGTGTGCATGCTCGGCACGGACCCTGGCTGGCCCCACTGCCCGAGCTGCTCACAGGCTGAGCGCAGGGAGCCACAGTGCTTGCACCTGCTTGGAGATGACCTTGGCCAGAGGTCACGGGGCTGCTGTTACAGCACCAGCCCTGGGTGCTGGGCGGAGGCCTTAGGTATGGAAGGAGGTGGAAACAAGACAGAAGGGAGTGTGGTGCAGCCTGCCTGGCCAGACGCGCCCAACAAGGGTCATCGAGTCACACCCCGAGCAGCAGTGTGCACGCAGGTCAGGGCTCCCGGCCTCCCAGCCTTGCAGCAGCTGGCCCAGTGTTCAGATGACTTCCCACTCGTCCTCCAGCTCCTCCAGGTGGGGGGTGGTGGCCTGGCCACTCTTCAGGGTGCTGCGTGAGTGCCTAAACATCTTGGTCAGTCGCTGCAGGAGGTAGCCGGAGGGTCCCACTGCCCACAGCTCGTCTGAGGAGGTCACTGCAGGCACAGCAGTGAGACACCTGTTTCCCCCAGCCCAGGGTGGGCCCTGCGCCAGCTGTGGGACTTTGGATGACCATACAGCCAGGAAGTCCCCTCCACCTGCAAGCCACAGGTGCCCTGCCCCTGGCCACTCCCCATCACCCTCAGGTGCCCCCCGTCCCAGGCACCTACCTGTGAGCCACGACGCACAGCCGGGGGTCTTCTTCCAGTAGTCTCCAGCGGGGTTCTTGTCTGTGATGCCATAGCGCCGGGCAAGGTCGCCATTTGGGCAGCGGGCCCACACAGTCCTGGTGCTTAGTGCCAACTGGCAGGCCTGCAGCCCTGTAAGCAAACGGGGTCCCTGCTCAGCACCTGGGGTACATGGGATGGGTGCCCCCAACACTGGCTGCACACTCCCAGGGCCCTGCGCAGGCCCACCAGTGCTTTCTGCAGTGACAGAGTGCCTTGCAACACAGAGTGTGGGCTGGAGGCACGTTCCTACCCGGCACATGGTCCCAGTCGGTGCCCACTGGCATCTCCTCGGTGATTCCCACTCGGACGTGCACGTTCCCTCGGCTGTCGAGAGCCCACAGCATCTGGTCATTGGGGCTGCAGTGCACGCTGACCAGGGCGACCCCTGCAGGCTGGAAGCAGGAAGGGAGATGGGGCACGGGTTAGGGTGGGAAGCATGCGCGGTTCAGGCAGCAGTGGAGTGGGAGTAACTGCAGGCTTGACAGACCATCCTCATCCTCGGTGTGCTAGTCGCCACTCTACCTCCTGTGGCCAATTTGGGGCCCCTTGGCTCTGCGTTGTAGCGGCAGTTCAGGGCTGGGGGTGACAGGAGGGAGGCTGTGCTGTGGGCAGTGGCACCCTGTCCTCAGCCAGTCCTGTTCTGCCCAGGCCCTTCTGGGGAGCCTGCCCCGCCTATAGAGGGGCACTCAGGACAGGAAATCCCTTCAGCGTCCAACTCCAAGCTGATCTGGTGACCACGGCCCAGTGTCACTCATCTTGAGCCTGCCACAGAGCTGCCAACACACACAGGTGCAGCCACGCCAGGGTGGTGTGAACAAAGAAACTCCTGCCCCAGGCATGGCATGGTGTGTGCACCTGAGGCTGCTCTGCACCCACCTCTGCTTGGCAAACTGCGTGCACCTGCACTGGGCACTGGATGGACCCTGTCCTCAGGGAGGTGCAGTCTACTGGCACGGTGTGGCCTGGCTCAGCCCCATGGTATGGAGACTGGGGCCCAGACCCCAGTGAGCAGCGGGGCAGTGGCCCGCAGGGTAAAGGCTGCTGGGAGAAGGGTGCCCTCAGTGCGAGGGAGGAAGGAGGATTAGGCACAAGCTGAGCCCTGGTCAGACGACCCCTGCGGGCTACTCTGGACGCTGAGGGAGAGGGCAGGCACAGTAACCTCAGAGCTGGTGTAATAACCCAGGGGAGAGGGCAGATCCTTGGGGCGGCCTGGGGACAAGACTGGGTGGGACTGGGTTATGAGGCTGTGGGTCCTTTTGAGAGCAGCTGCCAGGCCACAGCTGTGCCCAGCCTGACTGACTGTGGCACCTAGGAGCACATGGAGCAGCTGACCAGGGGCAGCTGATACTGGCCAGGCCTTGGCTGAGATACACTGTTGTTGACAAGGTAAGATACACACTTGGTAAGCACCTGGCATTGCCTACTGGCAGTGCCTACAGGGCAGGGTGCTGGTGGCCCCATCACTCTGGCCTGGCTGCCTCTGCTGCTATTTTCTCAACTCCAGACCTTTGTCATCTCTGCACTGGCTTTGTTGTCTGGTGCCCATGCTCTGCTCCTCCAACAGGCACCGACCTTGGTGTGCATGTGCTGGGACAGGGCCTCCTCAGTCACTGATGCCTGCGCAGTGGACAGCATGTCCAGATGCACATGGGGGACGTGGCAACCAGCTCATCTGGGCCAGCAAGGACACCAACTGCCTCATCAGAGGATGGGCCTCTCTGCTGGGTCTGTGGATGCACTAAGGTGGACCCTGCCAGCTAACAGAAAGATTTTTCTCAACCCTGGAGCAATGAAACCAACAGTGTTTCAGAGCTATCAAAACCATTCAAGTAACATCCTCAGAACAGTCTTGTTAACATCAGGGTCTCTAAGATGACCCATCCCTGGATGCTGATGTAGCTTGGCAGCCCCGTCCCCTGCAGATGAAGGAGGAAAAAAAAAAGGAAAGCTTGTCCCACCCACCTTCCTCCATGGCCTACAGGCACATAAGGCTCTGGGGCCAGAGTAACCGGATGCCCACTCACTCCCTCGTTCTCTGCTGAGACCACAGGGAGAGAGTGCCCAAGGAAGACATGTGGCTTGTGGGCACAGGGAGAAAGCAGGTGGGTGAGTTGGGGGGACTTCAGGAACGCTTGCCCAGCAGGACACTGTCCCAAGACTCAGGCAGCTATAGGCTGTGTGGCCCTGACTCCACGCCTCACCCATATCAACGAAAGAAGCCTCTGCCATGGAAGAGACCTGGGAGAAGACAGGCCCCTCGTGGCCACGGAGACATGCAGGGAGGGGAGCAACAGCAGGATTGCAGAAAAACAAAACGTCGTCACAAGAATGACACTGTGGGGCAGTGGCTGCACTGCTGCCCGTGGTGCTGGCGCCCACGTGGGGGCACTGCTGCCCGTGGTGCTGGCGCCCACGTGGGGGCACTGCTCGAGTCCTGGTCAGCTCTCCTTGTGATCCAGCTTTCTCTCACTTTAAATGTTTTTTTTTTTTCTAAAATTTTAAAGATTTATTTTATTTATTTGAAAGGCAGAGTGAGAGAGAGCTTTAATCTGTTATGTCACCTCTCAACTGGCCGCCAAGGCCAGGGCTGGACAGATCAAAGCCAGGAGTTTCTTCGGGGTCTCCTCTGTGGCTGCAGCGCCTGAAGCACCTGAGCTGTCCCCGACACACTGACTGGGAGCTGGATCACAAGGGAAACACCAGGGACTCAAATCCGGTGCCATATGAGAAGCCAGTTACGCCAAAGCGCCAGCGCCACGTCACTGCCCCCACCCCTGGATGCAGCTCTCTAACATGCCTGGGGAAGCAGCAGAAACTGCCTGAGTGTGTGGGCTCTGCCATATACGGGGCCACGCAGACACAGTTCTTGCCTGCTGGCTCTGGTCAGGAGCAGCCCTGGCTGCTACAATTGTTGGAAACAAACCAGGGCATGGAAGCAGATTTATCCATCACTTTGCCTTCCAAAGAAATAAAACCTGTGACCAGAAATAATCTAACAAGGCATGGGGGAATGATGTTGAGAACATCTTCTAGCAAGAAAGTTAAAAGCACTTGAGCCATCTTCCTCTGCTTTCCCTGGCACATTAGTAGGCATCTGAAGTGGAGCAGCTGGAACTTGAATCAGCACCCATAGGAGATGCCAGCACTGTAGACAGCAGCTTAATGCACTATGCTACAGCACAAGAGGAGCTGACAGCCTCTTGGGAACCCCACTGCCCATAGGGCGAAGCGGGGGACTGACTCTCTTCCGGGCCTCCCCCCATGCTCTGCCTGCAGGGCCCAGGAGGGGAGCTGAATGCACAAAGGCTGCTGCCAAGCGAGGTGTCTACCAGGCGATGTGTCTCATGCTCCCAACGCGACTGCCAACGGTCGTGCAGAGCCCAGTCGGGATGGCTCACACATCTTTAAGTGTAACAACCTGTGATGCCTCACCTTTTCGGTCGTTAGGAAGGACAAACAGTTATTTAAAACAGTTAAAGTTCTAGTTTTTATGTTATTTCACGCAGCTAATTCCCGCAGCCTGGTTCTTTACCGTGAGCCAAAACGCCAGATGCAACGAGGTATCTTAGGAGGTTTATTCCAGCGGGGCAGAAGGGACGGGGTGGTGGGGAGGTGAGGAGGAAGGAGAAAGAGCAGGTCAGAAGGAGAAGAGAAACAGAGCCCACCTGGGGCCTTCATGCCATTCAGGTGAGCCTGCAAGGTGTGGGGGCGGGATTGGGAGGGATGAGGACAGGCCCCAGGGGATTGGCGCCTGAGACTGTCACAGGTGATTGCCTAAGAATGACTGGTAAGTGGGCGGAGCTGGGGATGGGGCTGGGGGGTTGGGGTGGGATTCTCAGGTGAAATGGCTGATTGGTGGACGGCTGGATTGGGGTGAATTTTGTGAGCTGTGAGGAAGAGGAAATGGCGCCGGGTCCAGGGTGGGGTGTTCGAGTAACTCCTTACATAAACAGCATGTCACGGTAGTTCACTCCATGATGACAGAATAATGATGGCCGAGGGTGGCAGCCACAGCAGCACCCCACGCCCCCCCCCCCACTCTGCATCCTGTTCCCACAGACACTGACCCTCACCCACGTCCTTCACGTGGTCACACGCTCCAGGCCCGGGACAGCCCCTGGAGCCTCCTGTGAGAGGCTCGGACCGCAGGCACTCTGCCCACCGCCCTGGCAGGCGATGCCCTATTCTGTCAGCTCCACTGTGGTGAGGAGGTGTCATGCCAGGAGCTCTCCTACAGTTAAACAGGGCCGTCTTGCTGCTGGCTGTTCTCTGGGGCACAGAGGGGGACTGAGGCCGCAGTGGTCCTAGCGAGGGAAGGGAGTGGCTACAGGAGCCCCATGGCCCAGCACTTCTGTCCCAGGAGGCCCCCAGACTCTGAGAAGTGGGAATTTGCTTGGGCTCATGCCGCGGCCTGCTCCCAGCGGTCTCGCTCTGGTGTGTTGCACGGGACGGTAAATCCGAGGTAGCGCCCATGCTTCACACCGGCTCTCCGGACAGCAGCCTCTGGTCACCAGGCTGGACCTGCCTGGAGGTCTGGACACGTGTAGTACCCTTGGTGACACCCCACCATGGTGCCACAGGCAGAGTCCCTCACACCACCACTCCTATCACAGTCTGTAAGTTTACTTCCATTCAAATAGCTCAAAATGGCAGAGGCAGCTGAATATAAAATGGCTGTTTACCAATTGCATCAACCCTGGTCTCTCTTTCCTGACTGCCAAGCCTACAGTGAGATGAGGCAGCTGGAAGCAGCTGTGGTGAGCCTTCAGGAGAAGCAGGGTCTTCGGGGCAGTGGGGGGGTGACCTGAGAGCAAGGGGTCTTTCACTGAGAAGGGTCACTTCATCAGCTGAGGAACCTCCAACACATTCAGAAAATTGTAACTGAAACCGCAAACTCCAAACTTGCAAGATGCTAAACACAACTATAAATATTTTCTCCAAATCATTCCAAACGTTAGCAAGTCTGAAAATTGAGTCATTTGTTTTGAGTACTTTGTTCAAACTTCGCCCCAGAAGTGTCATGGGTGGGAGGTTACACCAAAGAGAATAAGGGACCAAACTGGGAAGCTGCTGCTCTTCGGGAAGGGTCCAGCTGCCTACTCCACCTTGCACACCCTTGGCAGGGCCACCTGCTTGCTGCCTGCCCATCAGAGATGAACTGAGGCAGAAGTGCCCATTACACCAAACACACGACCCCATTATTTCCTAACATCTGATTTAACAACCACCCCGACTTGGCACATCTTTTTCATGAATCCTTGCTCACTTTGGACTCCCCGCACAAGGCCTTGCATAGGTTCGGCCCTGAAACACCCTGTGTGTGGTCACAGCCCATGCTGTGCATCAAGACAGGGTGTTCCATGGTGGCTCCAGATGCCAGCGTCGTGGTACAGGCCTCAGGCTCAGAGCTGTAGCATGGGAATCCCACACTTGGTCTGCCTTTCAGCTGTACCCATGAGGGCTGTGACTGTGAGGCCTTGGCGACTTCTTAAACATTTCAGAGCTGGTCATCTTATGTTAAACCAAGACAGGAAAACCAATTCTGGGGTTGAGGATTACAGAGCCTCAACAGAGTTCAGGGATTGGTGTTGTGGTGAAGTGGGTTAATCACCAACTGTGATGTCAACAGTTTATCACCCATGTCAGCTCATGTACACAGTGGTAGTTGCAATTGCTGGGTCAGTTCTATCTCCAACCCTGTTTCTTACGTAAATAAATGGATGCTGTGCCCCAGCCCAGCCCTGCCCACCACACACTCAGCCCTCATGTTCACTAGTGGGAGCTGCAGCCCATTTGGGGCAACCCCCAAAATCCCCATGAGGCCCTGTCTGGGCTGCCCCCCCTCCAGAACCAACCCACACACTGTTAATGCGTGCAGCTACTTTGTCTGGCCTGACCAACTGCCAGACTTGAATTACAGGCTCAACAGCAGAAGATATGGCTCACCAGGGGAATTTTCTAAGTTCCCGCACCAGGCTCTCGCCCAGGACCAGATCTCAGATGTTCTGGTGGGTGTCAGAGGGTTCCATGGTCATGTGTGGTCCATGGATTATCAGGGAAGAAGTAAGGAGATGTGTGGTAGGGAAGACTTCTGAGGGAATATATTGCAGGCGAGCAATGATTTCTGAGGGACTCCCATCAGCATAGCCACAGTCCTTGCAGGTAAGCAAGGCAGATGAGGCTGAGGTCTGGGAGAGGACCTGAAAGGGGGGGAGAAAGAGAGGGAGGAAGATAGGGAGGGAAGGAAGGAGGGAGAAAGGGAGGGAAAGAGAGGGAAGGAGAGAAAGAGAGGGAGAGAATTGGAGAGGGAAAGAGAGGTGCAGACAGGGAAAGGGAAAGAAGGGAAGGGAAGGAAGGAGGGATGGGGAGAGAGGGGTCTGTTCAGCAGTTCACTCTTGAATGCCTACAGCAACCAGGCCTGGGCCCAGCGACTCCAGCACCTGAGCCATCACCTGCAGCCTCCCAGGGTACACTGCAGTAGCTGGAAGCAGGACTGGAAGCAGAGCTGAGACTCCAGCCAGGCACTCTGACGTTGGATTTGGTGCCCAAATGGCAGCTTCGTTTGCTGTGCCACAATGTGCATCCCTGAATTACAACTTTTAAAAGAAATAACATAAAAAAAAAAACAAACACCTGTTGATAACTATTGTATAATGGATTCTACTTGGTGGAACAGGAGAATCTAAGAACAAGTAAGCTAACTACAAGTCAGCCGGCTTTTCCTCACCATGGCCACGGACTGCCAGGGCTGCTGGTGGAAGGCAGGCCACGTACCACAGCAGGATCCATGCCACCAGTCTGCACAGGGCACTGCCATCACCTCCCTCAGCTCACTTCCTTGCTGGCCACCAACCAGTGACCTCAGATAGTGTTGCGATGTCTCAGGGGATTGTGCCCCCTACATCTTACTCCACTACCTCATCCTGCAGGGCTCCCGATGGCCGACCCTTCACTTCCACTCTCCACTTCAGGGTTCTTTTAAAACAGCCTCTCTCCCCACTGCTGCTCCACCCAGGGCAGCAGCTTACGCAGACCAGCAGGAGCCTGAACCTATCGCGGCCCTTCACTATCAATGTCAATGAAGTCAACTTAGCACTGGAACCAAGCCTGTTGATCTGCCATGAAACGTGGTCTGCTTGTGACTGTAGGACAACAGGAATGCAGGCAGGACTTGGGTGAAGTGAAGCAGGGAAGGAACGGAAGCACTGGGGCAGGCAGGAAGCAGAGGACCCACAAAATGCAGATGGAGGATCAGCTCCAGGGCAGAGTCTCAAGGTACTGGCATTTTCTTTACGCGTTAGATATTGTTTGATATTTCTAAATAAAATTTTATTTCATAAAATGTCAGAGTACTGGCTAAAGTAATCTTTAGTACTCTGTTCAGCTCCGCATATCCCTAGCACCAGCCTTGCAGTGAGGGCTGACACTGAGTGTGGAGGTTGCCTCAGGGGCAGCTGCTGGCCTGGCCTTGAGACAGCCAGCTCCTGCCAACAAGCCCTGGCTTACCTGCACAGGAGGCTCAATGGAGATCCAGGCTGGAAGCATCAGGTTGGGATTGAGGGGCTGGGTTCCCACACGGAAGTAGACCCCACCCTGGGAATCACAGGCCCAGACGTGCTGATTGCCACAGGCCAGGCTCGTCAGCTTCACAGTTCCTGAGGACAAAGACAGGAAAGGCGCATGCTGTCACTGCTTCAGAGGCGGAGACGAGGCTGAGCTCACAGTGCAGTTAGTGGCTGCGGCGTGTGCATCTGACTACCGGGGTCACAGGGCCTCGATTCCTTCCCAGGCTGTGGCCAAGCAGTCCAGGCACCTGCAGCACAACGCCAGAAGCAAACAGCAATGGCGCCAGGCCTGGTCCCACCCCTAGCTTTGTGTGACATGGGATAACTGCCAGAAAACACTGGATTTGGGCAGCAACTCCTGCTAAAGACAGTTTCATCTTTTTTATTTTTCTTTTTAAAAGATCTACTTATTTTTATTGGAAAGTCAGATTTATAGGGAGAAGGAGAGACAGACAGATCTTCCATTTGCTGGCTCACTCCCCAAGTGGCTGTGACAGTCACAGTGGAGCCAAGTGGAACCAAGAGCTTCTTCTGGGTCTCCCATGCGGGTGCAGGGTCCCATGGGGTTGGGCTGTCTGCCACTGCTTTCCCAGGCCACAGGCAGGGAGTGGATGGAAGAGGAGCAGCCTGGATACGAACCAGCACCTAAATGGGATGCTGGCATGGCAGGTATCAGCTTTACCTTCTGTGCCACAACGCTGGACCCTCAAATATTTCTTGATGAGAAATTTTTAATTTTTATGAGTCAATCTGGCTTCAATGGATGCAAAAATGCAGGTTGTACGGGTATGCTGGTTGCAACCCTGTCTGAGGAGGGGGCAGTGTGTGGTTAGGTACCGTTTACCAGGTCAGGCAGCCAGCAGGAGCCTGACGCTTTGCCAGTTGTCCCTGCATCACATGGCAGCCCAAGGAGAGCACCCCAGCATGTGCGTTCAGGGTGGGCATGAGCCCAGCACAAATGGTACACGTTCTAAAGATGACGTCTTCTTTTACACTGAAATGAACTGTGTGCCTTTCTTCATTCCCCTGTACAGAGCGTCTTGCCGCAGTTTAGGCAGAGTCCGTGGGATCCTGTTTACTTACACAAACGTTTGCAGGTGCAGGACACCAGCACCCCGAGGGTGGCGACTGCACTTCCCATGCAGCTCCCTGTTAACACACTTGGGAAAGCAGAGGACAGGCCAAGTCCTCGGGCCCCTGTGTAACGCAGCAGCTCTGAGCTCTGACTCGGCCCAGCGCCAGCTGCTGTGGGTACTGGGAGACTGAGTTTCCTTTCTTTCACTGCTATTCCAAAACATAAAATAAATGCAAAAAAGATTTGCAGTCAAAATGCAGTGATTTCAGCAGAAAAGACATTCTAACTGCAGAACAGTTCTGCGTTGAGACTTTGCCCTGCCCTGAAAGGAACTACAGCAGTGGCTGCTGACACTACCAGTGACACTGCGACAACAACACAAGCCCAGAGGGCCCGGCGCAAAGGCCTAACGGCTGAAGTCTTCACCTTGAACGTGCCAGGATCCCATATCGGCGCTGGTTCTAATCCCAGCAGCTCCACTTCCCATCCAGCTCCCTGCCTGTGGCCTGGGAAGGCGGTTGAGGACGGCCCAAAGCCTTGGGACCCTGCACCCATGTGTGAGACCTTGAAGAAGTGGCCAGATCAGCAAGCTGACACTGGGAGGAGCACAGGCCCCAGTGAGCACCAGCAGCTCACAGCTGCCTCCCACGCAGTGGTAAGTCACAGACATCCTGAGGCAGCACGGTGCACGCTCTCAGAGGACCAACGACACCCAGAGAACCCCGTGGGAAAGAGCATCCATGTCAGCAGCCCTCGACAGCTGCAGTACTCCTGTCCTGCGTGGGCAGATGGCAACATGGAGTGAGAGGGTGGGCGTTCCAGGTGATGTGCCAGGTCACTTTAGCTCTGACCACAAACAAGGCCAAATGCAGGATCAGGCTTATACCCCACAGATCTAAGAATAGAACCTCCCCTGACACCCCAAATCCCACTGGGCATGGACTGTAGCTCAGTATTTGATCCTCTGCACAGCCTCTGCACCTCTGTGGGCAAACACCAGTGAAAACAGCAGCGCCAGCCAGGAAGGAGCGCAGGACCAGAGAGAGGCGGAGTGCTCAGGGACATGTGGGGACACCAACTGGGGGCAGCTGGGGGACTCTTGGCTGAGTGCCACAGGAAGAGGACCTGGGGAAGAGGGGCTTCCAGGGCAAGGTGGTGCTGCTAGGCCTGCTGAGGGCAGCCGAGGCTGAACCACACAGCTGGGGTGGCAGGGGCTCGCACCATAGGATGGCACAGCAGGCTGGGCCAGACGGCGCGGTTGGCAGTACCACACCGACTGGGCAGCATTTGTTGGGGTCCATGCAGTGGATGTGGGGGACGCGAAGGTGTGAAGAGTATTGCTCCACTGTAGGCAGGGCCCGGCAGAAGTCTCCACAACTACCCGAATGCAGCTCCATCTTCTTTTGCATGGACACCGGACCACCCTGCGGAAGAACTCTAATCCATCCAGGCATTGTTTGCTGCTGTGAGGCTGGCCTTTTACTCAGTGTGAGCTTGGAGGTTAATGTCAATAATAATGTCTTACAAAAGGGCCTTCTATTATTCCTACTGTCCTGGCTGTCCCCATTGACCTTATGCCAATCAAGGGACCTGTATTTAGGCTTTCATTCTTTCTTCTTAGGTTCTCCTTTCATTCTTAGGTTCTCCTTTTCTTTGTGATACAAGATTGAGTTGTAGAATAAGAATTGTAGTAGGAACTTCTATTGTTTTTAGGTAAAACAAATGGCAGAATTATCCTTAAAAACACCCACTTGACCATGACGTAGAAAGTCTGAGCCAGTTTGACTGTTTCTGTATAAATAAAGCGGACAGCTTTCCTGCATTGTCCATTATGATCATGGAATCCTAGTGGTCCATTTCTTTCCTCTTTGTGCCTCACTCACGCCCCCTGCGCCAGTTCCGAACTCAGCTGGAGCTGGACTCCGGCAAGCATTCATGCGTTCAAGGATGCCCCCACCCCCAGCTCCCCCGCACAGAGCTGGTACCCCAGCTGCTAGCAGCGACCCAGGATGGAGGCGGGCCTCACACCAGGCCCAGCACTGTGCATCACTGCAGTGTGTGAGCCCCCACAGGCACCAAGGGCTGGCCCCGGCAACAGCTCTGCTTCCTGACAAAGCAAGCACAAGAGCAGGGGTCCCCTGGTTCCCTAGCCTGAGTGGTGGGAAGATGACTCCCTGTGTCCTGCCCGTCTCCCCAGAGGAGCTGGTCTGCTGCAGGGCCACCCAGCAGCAGCAGCCAGGCCACCGTCAAGCTCGATGTCATTTGCTCCCTGTCGGCACAGGACTTGCAAACAACCCCAGGAAGCTAGAAGGTGACCAGCAGGTCTAGAGGACAGAGGGAGCCCCAGGCACAATCCCCGCTGCCCCACAGCTCTCCAGCTGGGGAACGGGACTTGCTCCCTCAGCCAGGCTGTCTGTGCGCCAGGCGGAGCTCTGCGGTCTGAACTGAGGCAGCTGGGTGCTTCAGCGTGGGAGCCTGGACGCCTGTGGTAGGGCATCAGCAGAGCTTCTGCTTTGTCACTTTGCCTTTCAAGTAGATAAAAATAAATTAATAAAAGTCTTTATCCCAAAACAAAAAACTTCAAAGTCTTTTATTCATAGGAAAAAAAGAAAAAGAATCTGCATAGAGAACACTGCCGTGGCTCCCTCAGCTTGTTCCTGGCACCGACCACTGCTGCCCATACAGTGTGCACCACGTGGCCTCCACCGTCCCCGAGGGAGCCGGGGCAGAGCAGCAGGGCAGCCCATTTCGGCCCGGCCCACGCGGGCTGAGCAGCTGCCCTGTGCTGGGCATGGCGCCACACGCCTGTACCATGGGGCCTACACAGCCACCCCCAGTGCTTTCAGATCTAAAGGTCAGAAGCTGTGTCCCACATTCAGAGACAGCCGCACCTTAACATTAAACAGCTCTCAGAGACAGCCGCAGCAACAGCATCACTTAAATAGCTCTCAGTGGCTTCTCCTCTGTCGTCTTCAAAGGTTTATTTATTTTCTGAACGGCAGAGTTGAGAGACAGTCTTCTGCCTGCTGGCTTACTCTTTTAATGGCCACAGCAGCCAGGGCTGGGTCAGGCTGAGGTCTGCCATGTGGGCACAGGGGCCCCAGCACTCAGGCTGCCTTCCACTGCTCTCTCACATACATCAGCAGGGCCCTGGAGCAGAAAAGGAGCAGCTGGGACTCCAATCGGCAACTACCTGAGATGCTAGTGCTACAAGTGGCGGCTTAACCTGCAACACCGTAGTACCATTCCACCCCGACTCCTTTTGTTGTTGCTGTTAAGTTCATTGATTTGAAAGGTAAAGTTACAAAGAGAAGTCTTTCATCCACTGGTTCATTCCCCCAAAGGCTGCAGTAGCCAGGGTTGGACCAGGTCAAAGCTAGGAGTGCAAAGCTCCATGCAGGCTTCCCGTGTGGGCGGCAGGGGTGCAACCACTTGGGCCAGCATCTGCTGTTTGCCCAGCTGCATCGCAAGTGGAGCAGCCAGGACTCGAACCAGCACTCCTACAGGACGGTGGTGTCACAGGTGGCAGCTTAACCAGTGGCACCTCCCCCTCCCTACACACCTCCACTCTGCCCTGAACTCTGAAGCGCGTGACATGTGGTGCCTAAGAAGTCAGGAAGCGGCTCACTTTATCTGGAGGAGCAACCCTCCCGGACTCCCGAAGCCCAGCACCTCACCCAGAGCATCCATGCATCCTGCCGGCTGAGCAGGGGCAGGCATCCCTGGGGCAGTGAGGGCGTGGACGCAGCATACCTAGCTGGGAAAGGTCCAGCTTCGTCCAGTGCATGCCTGTGGGGCAGCTCTTGGAGAGGGTCCTGATGAACACCTGGCCCAGGCTGTCCAAGGCCCAGAGTGCATCCTGGCAGGCAGAGTAGGCCTTCATCTCGGCGTCGGGGGGCAGCTGCACCGTGGAGGGGCGGTCCTGCGCACTCTGGGCACTGACACTGCACAGGTCCTTGCTGCTCTGGCACAGCCACAGAGAGCTTCCTGCAAAAGAGGGTCACGCTCATGAGCTCAACACACATGCAGCCTTGGTCTCGCTGTGATTCACTGAACCAGTACCCGTAGGGGAGATGGCTTCATGTGCTATGCCACAACCCTGGTCCAGCCACCTGTGCCTTCACGCAGACCCAGACACTGCTCTCTGTGTCACCCAGAGACAAAGAGAACACCAGCTGCTTAGAAGCCCGAGGAAAGCGGCTTGGGGGCCTGGCCTCCCGTTTACAGTGAACTAGGCCATCTGCACCTTTAAGAAAGGCACCAGGCAATGGCTAATGAGGAATGCCAAATGTTAGCATGGGGGAGCAAGCCAGCAAGCGTAGGGAATGAGGGGCCGAGGTGCTGGCCTTGTTCCTCCAGAGAGGGTGCAGGGTTACCCAGCCAGACATCCTGCCTCCCATCCTCAGCCCCAGCCTCTTCCTCCACACATCCCTGTAGGGTGCCCAGCGACCTTTGGGCACAGGACCACCTAAACCTGGGCCATATCTCTTTGGAACTTAGTTTCGTCTCAGATTTTTGGGAAGCAAAGGTTATGGTCATAGCATCTATGTCCGTAGTCACAGGGAAGCAGGCTTCCCTCAGGGACCTGCCAAGTGTGCACAAATGTGCAGCAGTGTGCAAGGTCAGTGAACCCTGCGGGCAGCCCTGCCTCAGACCCAGCAGGGCTGTTGCTGTGTGTGGCTGTACTCATCGGGAGATGACACAGGTCTTCAGACATCTCTGGATTTCAGAATGGTGGTCACAATTGTGTGTTTAGTGAGCTGCTTTACTGAGCAGGTTGCCTGTATCCGCAGGACTCCTGGCTTTCCATACCTGAAGCCTCTGCGTGTATTCCCGCAGTCCTGGGAGGATGTGTCAGTCCCTTTCCCGGGAAGACCCAAATACCCTGGGCTGGCTGATGGGAGCTGTGCAGGCAAAGTTATCAGAGGCTGTACCCCTACAGTGAAGACAAGCTTCATGGGGGATGCTGTGAGGTGCAGGTTAGCCAGAGGCCACCAACAAGACAGAATGAGGGAATGGGGACAACGCCAAGGAAGCTGCAGCCTGATGGTACTCTCTGCCAGACCCCAGTGGCCACACTACAGGCCCTTCCAAGACCTTCTGCCTTGGCCCCTCTGGCCCCCTGGCCCCTCTAGCCCCTCTCCTCTCATTGGCTCTCCCAGACAGGCCATTCTGGCTACGGCATCTCTGTCCGACCAACAGGCCGGGCAGCGCGTTCCTGCTCTGGTCTGGATGGGACTCCGTCACAGACTAGCCTACAGCCAGACAGCAGCGTGAACTTTCTCAGCTGCCAACTCACGCATTAGCTTTCCCAGCGAGCCGGGCAGACCCACCTTCCTGAGTGGGAGCAGCAGAAGCCCATACAGAGGCCCACTTGGTTGCCGAGGCTGTCCCCCGGGGAACGACGCTCTGCCAGTAAGTGCCTGCAAGGACAGGAAGTGGGTCAAGGCAGGGAACGAGCAGCAGCAGCAGGTGAGCACTGATGAGCCGACGTACCCCACAGCTGCTCAGAGTTCACGGACAGACCCAGAGCACCAGCAGGTGAGCTGCAGGGGGCTCAGGAGGCTGTGCTAGGGAACAAAGAGCCAAGGAGTGTTCACAAGGTGCGGGTCCACTCCAGAACCAAGGCTCTGTGTGAGCATCTCACCCACCAAGACACTCAGAGCTGCAGCTCTGCATTTCAGCAGTGGCGACACCTCCACTTGGGGATGGACTGGTTCGTCCACAGGGCTGCAGGGCGCCGCTGGACCTTTCCCTCCTTTTTTTTTTTTTTTAAGGTTTATTTGTTTTGCAGGTGAAGTTAGAGAGAAGTAGCAGAGGCAGGCCCAGCACAATAGCGTAATGGTTAAGGTCCTCGCCTTGCATGCCCGGGATCCCACATGGGTGCCGGTTCTAATCCCAGCAGCTCCACTTCCCATCCAGCTCTCTGCTTGTGGCCTGGAAAGCAGTGAAGGTCAGTCCAGAGCCTTGGGACCCTGCACCCCTGTGGGAGACCCGGAAAGAAGTTCCTGGCTCCTGGCTTCGGATCAGCGCAGCACCAGCCATTGCAGTCACTTGGGGAGTGAATCATCGGATGGGAAATCTTCCTCTCTGTCTCTCCTCCTCTCTGTACATCTGCCTTTGCAATAAAATAAATAATTCTTAAAAAAAAAAAAAAGAATTAGTAGAGGAAGAAGAGAGAAAGAAATCTTCCACCTACTGGTTCACCTTCCGAATGGCCACAGGGCTGGGCCAAAGCCTGTCATTTCTTCTAGGTTTCCCACATGGATAGCAGGAGTTTCACTTGAACCACCTTCCACTGGATTAAGAGTGGAGTAGCCAGGAGGTGAAACAACACCCATGTGGGAAGCTGGCACTGCAGGTGGCGGCTTTACTCTATGCCACACTGATGCTGGATAATCTGGAGAGATTTTCCATTCACTGGTCCACTCCCCAGATGGTCAAAACCGCCAGAGCTGGGCCAGGCAGAAGCTAAAGTCTCCTCTGTGGGGCACGGAGCCAGGCCCTCGGACCACGGACTTTCCCAGCTCCATCACAGGAAGCTGGACTGGTTGTGGAGCAGCCAGGACTTGAAATGGCATCCACAGAACACACTGATGCTGGAGGCAGTGGCTTGACCCACTATGCCACTCTGCAGGAGGCCCATCTCCTGAGCCATCTCTGCTGCCTCCCAGTGTCTGCACTGGCAAGAAGCTGGTCAAGAGCGACAGCCAGCTATCAAGCTGGGTGTCACAACGGGTGACAGCCACAGGAAACTGCCCATGTACTAACTAGACACTGAAAGACAGACGGAGTTCTAAAGAGAAACTGATCGCAGAGCACCAACTACCTTCTCAAGGTGAGATCTTCAGCTTTTCCTTAAATGTCGGCTTATGAACCATAAAAGTCATCCACGTACCTAGGAGACTGCCTTTGGCGACATGGAATTCATTCTTGCCTGAGGAGATCCACACACCACTGCTGTTGACCCCTAACAGGCTGGGCTGACACTGAAGCTGCTGAGACCAAAATGCCATGCGCAGTTTATCTGCCACCTTTTCTACAGGTGCTTGGGCCACCGTAGCCACCGAGTGTGTGGCATGGATGATGGTCTGGAACAAGCTGCTCTGGTCGAACACGACATAGTCTGTGATGCTCACCTGGGGAAGACGAGCACAGCTCGTGGTCAGTGCAGTTGGCAGCGCCCGCTCAGCTTGCTGACACTTGTCGTGCACGCCCTGACTTCTGCCTTCTGGAAACCAGACAACTGAACACCGCCCCCCACCTCCTGCCCCTCCACACTGCCCAGGAAGCGCAGCAGGACACTGGAGAGCTGCTTCTGGGCCTGTGCTCACGGCTGAGAGAAGACGGTCATGTTGTATTTCACACACTGTTGCACCTGTGGGTCTGCCGCAGCCACACTTTGGTTCTTGTGCTCACAGCACCCCCTCATCTTCTCAAACAAGCTTTTCACTCTGACAAAGGATAATTTTGTTTTTAAATCTAGTTATTTCCAATGGGCAGCATATAAAACTCAGAATCATCGTATAGGTTTTAAAACAGTGTAAGTAGAGAGGTGGTGATGATGACCGTGCTGATGCCCGCATGCCCGGCCGCTCTCCCCACGCACCTCTGCACACGGCCCAGGGCTGCCTCCCCGCTCCATCGCTGGGTGACTGTCCCTCCTGCTGCCGCCCTGTGGGACTGGGGGCAGAGAGCACGAGCGCCTCACTCCTAGGACCGCCTGTGCAGGCACCACTCTCAGATCACACCCAAGACGCTGAGTGAAGTAACACCACTCACCGTAGGAGTAGTTCATAAGCAAAAACAGAGAGAAAGAAGACTTTTCCAAGTCAGCACAGCCATCCCATGGTTTGCATGGGAAACTTCAGTGTGGGACCCTGTGGATACCCAAGTCTCATGCAGCAAAGGGTGTGGTACTAATATACAACCACGCAGGGCTCCTGTGTACATTCAATCACTTCTGATTATCTGGCATACATGGTATTGTTCAGCAAATCACAACAAGATAGTCTACACTTTTTAGTACAAACACAAGTTTTAGAAACATTTTAGGGGCCAACGCCATGAGTTCAAGTCCCAGCTGGTCTACTTCCGATCCAACTATCTGCTTGTGTTCCTGGGAAGGCAGCAGATGGCCCACAGCCTCGGGAACCTGCTCCTGGAAAGGAGGTCCCAAAGCAGCTCCTGGCCCCTCGCTCTGGCCACTGCAGCCATGCGGGGGGTGAACCAGAAGGTGGAAGATCTCTTTCCCTCTCACTCTGTGACTCTGCCTGGGAAGGAACGGGCCTTGCTGAGGTCCGGCAGCCTCAGGGGATGTGCTCAGTGAGTCCTCTGCCAGTCTGGCCAGCAGTCCCCTCACAGTGCCTCAGAGACAAGCCCAGAGGACCAGGCTTCCTCAGGTGAGCGTCGAGGTGGCACTCGCAGCCCCAGGTAGCCATGGTAGGCACTGTCGCAGCATCACATGCAGTCAGATGAGGAGCGTTGCGCAGCCGAACCCGCCGCAGCCTAGCGCAGCAGGCCAGCGCTCCAGGCAGGCAGAGCATGGCTCTGCTGCCCAGTACCTCGAAGGTAACTCTCAAACCAAGTTCCTTTCCTGTAGTGAACTGCATACTGTCACACCTACTTTCTGAAGGCTAGCCAAACCAGAATTCAGCATACCTGTGTGTGTGTGTGCCCTGGGACAAGGCTCCCACAGTGTACAAACTTGTCACAGATTACCTGGTTTCTTAGTGCATATCTGCTACTGGTTAATAAAGTAGACACAGCCCCTTGTGCATTCTCATCTGATCTGCATAGGGTAAAATCGGCCAATCAGCAAGGGGCAGGCGATGACCCAATGGGGATGGGAGGCTGAGGGGACTGCTCCTCTCCTGGCTGCTGGCTGTCCCTGGGAATGCCAGTGGGAGAGCTGGCGCTGCTCTGGAAGGGCATCGGCGGAGGCAGCCTGGCCACGCCCTCCCTGACTACGGGGCTTGTCTTCTTGGGGCACGTGGGAAATGCCACCTAGTTAGAGATCTTTCTCACAAGGAGGGACAGGTGTATTTTAACTGTGGGTTGACGTTCTTAGCGTATCAGCTCAGAATTAAACACCCTAATTACCTATTTTCTTCAATCAAAAATCACTACTTTATTGAACCTAAAACAAAAAAAAAATTGAACACAAAAAATAAATAAGTATATGATTTCTTTAAACAACAGAACTTCAGTGCCTATTTCCTGTCCTTGACGTTTTATATACTCAAACACAGGAACTTCAAGCTTCAAACATTATCAGCACCATCTCCGCATGAAGAAGGGCACCCACCTGCCACCAGTGGTCCTCCTCTCCTTGCGGCCTTTTGGGCGTGACACCAGTTCTGAACCACAGCTTCCCGTGGGTGTCCAAGGCCCAGAGGGTCTGCTGATCCCCGAGAGTGATGCACACAGGCTCCAGGGCTTGCCTTTCACTGCAACCAAGAACATGGCTGTAGAGCCCCGTGGAGTTATCAACTCAGGCCTCCGCGCCACACTCAGGACCATCCCCACGAACAGGCATCCACCCATTGCTGCGGCTCCAGGAGACGGAGCCAAGTGCCTCCTCAGCCACGTAGGCTCGGCCCCAGCACCCTCAAGACTCACAACAGGTACTCGGTAAAGATCAAATTCCAACCAAGATTAACCAGTTTTTTTAAAAAAGAAAGTATCTTCCGTTCACTGGTTCACTTCCCAAATACTCCAAGAGCCAGGTCTAGGCGAGGCGAAGCCAGAGCCAGGAACTCCATCCAGGTCTCTTATGCGGGTACAGAAGTCCAAGCATCTGGGCTGCCCTCTGCTGCCTTCCCAGGTACAACAGCAGGACATCAAAGCAGAGCCGAGCAGCCAGGATCGCAATGACAGCAGAACCTTAACGCACTGCTAAGCAATGCTGGCCCCAAAGGGCTAGATCTTGAACCATAAATTACAGCTCAGAGATAAATTCCAATGCATTACAGTAAAAATAAAAATGTCTGGGGACAGGCATTCCCAGCAGGAGTTAGGACACAGGTTGAGATGCTGCTGGCCTGGCCACAGCCTCTCACTGTTAATTCCATGTCTTCTTGTTAAAGCACATCTGGGAGACAGCACTGCCGGCTCCCACAGCTGGGCTCCTGCCATCTCACACAAGACAGGCACTGAGTTCCTGGCTCCCAGCAGCCACTGCAGGCATCCAGGGAGCGAACCAATGCATGGGCGTTCTCTTAATGTCTCTCAAACGGTAACAAGGAAAGTTAGGAATCTTTGGGGAAGGAAGGGAGGAAGTTAGTTAGTTAGTTAGTTTAGGCTTGCACTCTCCCTGCTGCTCAGGGTTAGAGAGCAGTCACAGGAGCGAATCTGCGGCCATGGCCTCGGACAAGGCACAGGCACACCCTCCCAGCCCCACAGGGTTGGGTTCTGCCCTGGACACAGCTGGGCTTACCAGGAAGGAGGGGCATGAACGCACCCCCTCCCCTCTGGGCAGGTACCTGACAATGTCAAATGTCCACTGCTCTCCCTCTGGACAGAAGCTGCTCACGCCTTCCCGGTACAGCAGAGCCCGCTGCTCCGTCAGCGCCCACACCACACTGCTGCGGGCTGCGACCTGGGCCAGCGGGTACGGGCACTCCACTTTGACAGCGCGGGCACAGGGACGGTCCACACTGAGACCTGCAAGGACAGGGACGAAACCCAGGCCTCATAATTGGGACTACACTCTTCAGTTGACTTTTACCTACTTTTTTTAAGATCGATTTTTTGGGGGCCCAGTGCCGTGGCCTAGCGGCTAAGGTCCTGGTTTTGAACACGCCCGGGATCTCATATGGGCACCGGTTCTAATCCCAGCTGCTCCACTTCCCATGCAGCTCCTTGGTGTGGCCTGGGAAAGCAGTCGAGGACGGCCCAATGCTTTGGGACCCTGCACCCGCATGGGAGGCCTAGAGGAAGCTCCTGGCTCCTGGCTCTGGATCAGCACAGCACCAGCCGTTGCACTCACTTGGAGAGTGAATCATCGGATGGAAGATCTTCCTCTCTATCTCTCCTCCTCTCTGTATATCTGACTTTGTAATAAAAATAAATCTTTAAAAATTGATGTTTTTTTAATTGGAAAGGCAGATTTCACAGAGAGGAGTGATAGGAAGATCTTCCATCCACTGGTTCACTTCCCAAGTGGCCACAACAGCTGGAGCTGAGTCAATCTAAAGCCAGGATCCAGAAGGCTCCTCAGGCCTCACACACAGGTGCAGGGTTCAAGGCCTTGGGCCACCCTCTCCTGTTTGGCCAGGCCACAGACACGGAGATGGATGAGAAGTGCTGCTGCTGGGACAGGAATCGTCGCCCATATGGAATCCTTGTGCATGCAAGGCGAGGACTTTAGCCACTAGGCTACTGTGCCAGGTCTATTATTATTTTTTTTAAGGTTTACTTAAAAAAAAAAAAAAAGGTTTAGTTGATAAAACATGGATTATTCTGCTTCAATGCCCTGTCCACCTAACGCGTGTGGCCACTCTATAGACATATGCCGAGGAGTCTGGTGACACAGCAGTGCCCGACCCTCTTGTCACCAGCCTGGCCCTCTGCGGAGACATCCTGTATTTCCCACGAGGTATCCGAGGCCTGCCACAACATCAAGGTGCCACCCAGGCCTCTTCCTCCTGGCACCTCTGCCAGGAAAGTGCACTCAAATCTGCGCCCCATCTCATCCAGTAAACACGCCTTAGTGTCGGAGTTCTCAGGGAGCGGTAACTCACCTGCATGAATTCAGATGCCACAAACTCCAGAGCCAAGGCTAGCCCTGCCAGGAAGCCAGGCTTGGCTCACCTGAAATCACTGCCTGGCTGGTTAGAGACCGGCAACACCTCACTCCTGGCCAGAAGTACACACCCTCCCACCAGGAACCAAATTCAAGCATCCTGGAAGCTGATACAGGGCCCCACGAAGCTGACAGGACTGTCTGCCACGGTCCGGGTCCTTCTCAGCAAGGACTTCCCGCCAAGAGGCCCCTAGCTGGCAGCTCCCCGTGGACCAGGCCAGTCTCCAGCACCAGCAATACTAAATGGTCAGGTGATGGTCACACACATCCAAGATGAATTTCTAACTGCCACTCCCCTTCCCAGACACTGAGAAATCACACTGCTTTTGGAAAAGCGTTTTCCATTTTGCTGACAATCCATAAGAACTGACTCTCACTAAAGTTCACTTTTAATAACCAATTCCCACCAGACCACTTCCGGCAGCTAGAAGTTTCTGTAAGGGCAGTTTCCTAGCACTAAGTTGTACTGAGAGCAAACAGTTTCTTGTTCTTTTTGCCACAACATATATGCAAATAAAGGCCCAGGAGCCAGGCTCTGGCCTGTCTGCTGACAAGTGTGGTCAGCTTCAGCAGGGCCAGTTGTGCTGGCCAGTTCAGCCCCTGGTCTCATCCATTCTGGTCCTCCATTTGTACCGCCAGGGTGGACTTGTGCAATTCCACGACAACTGCTAATACATTCCCACAACTGCTAATACATTCCCAAGGCAAATCGCCTCTTTTCAGAGTTTTCACGGTAGGTGATTTAGCCTCTGAGCCCGGCTCCAGCGTGAGACTAACAAGCAGCTGCAGGGAGGGGTGCTGGGCACGGCTTCGGCTACCTGTCTGCAGGTACAGGTCTCCGTTGGTCCTGATGACCCACGCTGTGTCGTCACTCAGGGCCACAAACACCGCCTGGGGCAGGGCTTCGTACCAGTGCCGCTTCCCTTTGATGGTCACCTTTCCACACGCGAAAGCGCGGTTTGACTTCTGCTCAATCTTCCACAGAAGGGTTCCTGTGGAAAGAATTCTATTCACTGAAAATAAACATTGAAATCATCTACACAACAAGCTAGAATCTGGCCATTGAGGGACGCAGAGAGATCTCCAAAACATCCCGTGGCTTCTGGCGACAGAGCCCCTGCTCCCTAGCCACTCTCCACCAGCTGCACACTGGGGACTCAACCTCCCAGGCCTCACGCGCAGCAGGCACGGAAGGGGAGCATGACTGTTACAGAGAGGGCAGGGTGTCAGCATGCAGCAGTCTGGGCGTGCCGCAGGCGCTCAGCCCACCAGGAGGGATCACAGCAGCGCTCTGGTGAGATAACCACCCCAAACGCGCATCCTGTGCCTGCAGAGGGGCCCCGGGGCGAACCTGAAGGGGAGACTGCCACCTGTTGGACGGCATCTTCAAACTTCTGCCAGCGAAGCCCAGCGCCTGGCAGCGCGCTGCAGAACAGGCCACCCTTGTAGTCCAGGCACCAGATGTACTTCTCGGAGACCGCCAGGCTGAGGATACCATAGCCAGGCCCGGAGTAGCCCATCCAGCTCTCTGCAAACTAACCACACAAGGCTGAGTGCTGTGTCAGAGGACGCGAGGGCACTGGCCACGTTGGTTTCAACAAGGATGTAAGCTGCAGCTGAGAAGCCAGGCCAGGCCCACCTGCGTTGACTTTGGCATCCCCTGCTAGAAACATTCTGGAAGAGAGTTCTTGTGTCCCATGAACACTCCACAGCGGCCCTGGGCCACATGGCGTCACAGCAGCATCTTACTCCCACAGAGCTGTGCTCTTCAGCAGCTGAGTGCAGATCACCACAGGACTGCTGCCAAGTACAGCTGCCTTCCTCAGCCTATTCTTCAGGTACTGCCCACATGCCCGGTCCTGGGGAAAGCGCTGGGAGAAGCTTGCGGGAACCACCCTGTTCGACTGAATTTTTTAGACTAATTTCACTGCTAGGATCCTCTTAAAAATAATAGGTAAACAAAGCATTCACACTTTAACCAACTGCAAATGAAATTCTGTACAAATGCCCAACCCTTCTCAATTGGGCCCTATAACATCAAGCCCAATTTGTCCCAACCCAAAACCCAGTCCCAAAAGAAAACCCACAAAGTTGATTAGCTTTCCAGCTACTCAAGGGACATTTTCTAAGGGAAACAGCACTACGGAAAAATACTTTCATGATCTGAAAACTTCAGGATAGTTAATTACCTTCCTAACTAAGTGTTCGGATAGATCCACAGGAGACTGGGTATACCGAGCTTGACTCCTGGGTGGTTTGGGGTGGAGAGCGACCTCCGTGGCAGGGTCCAGGGAGGGTGGGACCCACGCCCACAGCCTGCACCGAGTCCTCTCCTGCCCTGAGGAATATGCCAGGGCCAAGTCAGCCCTCCCCAAAGGTGCTACCACTTGCACCTACACCAGTCACGCCCTGCTGGGCCAAAACACACAGCAAGATGGGCTGTGTCCTGCGCAGCGTCGGAAGCAGCTCAAGCCACGCCAGGGCCCACTGCTGGAAATCCCGAGAATGCACATGACCTCCCGGGCTCGGGCAGAACCACATGCCTTTCCACAGCACTGCTGCATCAGACCAAGCCGTCCCCTGGCCTGAGCGCACGCACCTGATCTGACGTGAGCAGGCCAGCATCATCCCCTCCTGGCTGGTTCAGGTCCTGCAGGGAACGAGCAGCTGTGAGTTCAGCCACACTCGCCTCTGAGGATGAAGAGGGAAGCCCATGGGCGTAGATGTCCTCTTCATCACTGGACATCAGTGCTGCATCCTGGGAGGGAGGCTCAAGCCAAGGCTGCCGGGCACTGGCTACTAAGGCAGGGGCCACAGGAGCCAACCGTCCACTGCTGCCCCCGGGGTCATACTCTGCAATGGGTGTTTCTGCCCTCTGCCCTGTGTTGTCCTTGGAGACAGCCTGCCAGGGGTCCGGGCCAAGGTGGCAAAGGGCCCCTGCACCCCTCAACATGTCCTGCTCCAGGCTGTGCTCCTCAGGGTCACCTTCATCAACCCCACTCACAGGCTGCCCCTGTTCAGCACCCGGGCCCCACAAGAGGCTGGAAGGTGCCAGGGGTGGTTCCAGCAGCGGGGCTTCAGCAACAAGACCTTGCGAGTCACAGGCTTCTGGGCACCCCAGTGCCTTGGCAGAGCCATCTTGTTCTCGGAGGGGTGACTGCCCACTGCTGGGTCTGTCTTCCACAGGATAAGGCTCCTCTCTGAGCCCTGAGACATCATCAGCTGTCCCATCCTCCCTCGAGAGCAAGTGTAGACCCAGCCCTGCACTGAGGGCCTCCGTCTCACGACCACAGTGACTCCATGGCACTTGGGCTCCAACACCACTTTCTTCACCCAGGAACTCGGGCGCAGACTTGGCCACCTCCACGATGCTGAACGTCTCAGGGTCACGACTGTCCGCTACGACCCTGCTCCCCTCAGCACTGAGGCCGCTCTCCCGCTCAGGAGACTCGGTGATCAGTGGGTCCCCACCGCTGCCCGGCATGCTGGGGCTCCTGGAGGGCAGGTCAGTGTCGCCAGGCCACTCAGAGCAGGGAGTCGATTCCAGGGAACTGTGACAGGCACTTCCGCTTCCACCTTCTGATTTAAAATAAAGGGCTGACTTTATCGAACACAAATTTTAGGCTCAAGAAACAAATGTGTATTTATACATGTTTTCTTTTAAAGACTTATTTATGTAATTGGAAAGTAAGATTTACAGAGAAGGAGATGCAGAGAGAAAGATCTTCTGTCCACCAGCTCACTCCCCAGGTAGCTGAACATCCAGAGCTGAGCCGATCTGAAGCCAGGAGCCAGGAGCCTCTTCCAGGTCTCCCACGGGGGTGCAGGCAGGAGCCAGGAGCCTCCTCCAGGTCTACCACACGGGTGCAGAATCCCAAGGCTTTGGGCTGTCCTGCTTTCCAAGGCCACAAGCAGGGAGCTAATGGGAAATGGAGCTGCCGGGACAAGAATTGGTGCCCATATAGAATCTTGGCACATGTAAGGCAAGGACTTTATCCACTAGGCTACTTAGATCCCAGTGTGGTTTAGTTACTGCAGTGTGGTTTAGTTTTATAAGCAAACAAATAATTCGCTTGTTGGCAGATATTGAAGTCTTACTGAAGAATATGCTACAAACCACAATGGGCAGGGATAGTCTTGTTGCTTGGTTAAGCTGCAGCATCCCATGTCCCAGCTGCTCCACCTCCGACCCAGCTCCCTGCCTGTGGCCTGGGAAAATGATTGAGGACAACCCAAAGCCTTGGGACCCTGCACCCACGTGGGAGACCTGGAAGAGGCTTTGGGCTCCTGGCTTTGGATAAGCACAGCTCCAGCTGTTGCAGCCGCTTGGGGAGTCAATCAAAAGACAGAGGATCTTCCTCTCTATCTTTCCTCTATATATCTGACTTTCCAATTAGAAAAAAAAAAATCTTTAAAAAATATCTAAGCCACTGGAGCCATTTGGAGAATGAACCAGCAGACTGAAGATCTGTCTGCCTCTCCTTCTAACTTTCCCTTTCAAATAAAAATAAACAAATATTTACCAAAAAAAAATACCAATCAATGCGAAATCCCACATGTGGTAAAAACTATCCAATACTAGACTTACACTGTCCCACCGACACACCAAGTGACAGCTGGCCTATTTCAGTGACTTTGTACTCTCCATCTGATTCTCTTCTAGTTCCTGAAAATCTAGGACGCGCACTGGGTCTAGCACAGCCATGCCCATCTTGGAATGCCCAATTCCCATCTCTTACTAAAGCACACCCTGGGCTCATGGAATTGGGTCCTTGTCACCCATCCAGGCAAGCCACACTGAGCTCTGTCAAACCCAGCCCTAGTGCTGTGAATAAGCACAGAGTTCTCTGCCTCGCAAACGAGGAAACAAACAAAAACCTGGCCACACCACCATGATTAGATTGACAAGAGCACTGTGACGCAGAAAGCCCAGGGCCCTTAGCGCGTGGCAGGGCCACAAGCACTTCTGGTTCCTGCGACTGTCGGGTCCGGCATGCCACGCACGATGGCACGTGTGTAACGTGCCGTGATGATGGAGTGTACGCACGTGCGCCTGTGTGTACTGCTGGGAAAGGAACACATTCATTTCTGGAAGATCCTCTTCACTTCTCAATGAACAGGCCTGGCTCACTCAGAGAGAAGCAGTGTTCCTAATATGGCAGGTGTGCAACTCCCAGAGTGTGGAAGCCTCCTCGCTGAAACCCCCCGAGCCACACCTGTCTTTGCAGGGCCATGCACAGTACCCCTCACCCCCACAGGCCACACATGTCTGCAGGGCTGTGCATGGTACCCCTCACCCCCACAGGCCACACATGTCTGCAGGGCTATGCATGGTACCCCACACCCCCAAAGGCCGCACATGTCTGTGCAGAGCTGTGCATGGTACCCTTCACTCCCACAGGCCACACATGTCTGCAGGGCTGTGCATGGTACCCCTCACCCCCCTGGGCCACACATGTCTGCAGGGCTGTGCATGGTACCCCTTACCCCCCTGGGCCGCACATGTCTGCAGGGCTGTGGACCGTATTTCACACCCTCATGGGCTGCATGTACTCGTGCAGGGCTGCGGATGGTACCTGTTTTCTTCTTCCTCTTCTTCTTCACCTTGACAGGCTTCACAACCAGCTCCTGGTCAAAGTCCTCCGAGCTGAGGACACTGAACCTCTGTAGGCAGGGCTGGCCGGCCTTGCCCAGCTCCGGGGCCACGGGGAGGCCCGAGCCACTGTCGGTGGAGTGCAGAGAGCTGCTCCTGCTCCGGGGCTCGCTGGCTGCTGAGCTGGCCACTGACGCTCCACGGAGCCGTGTCTCAGATGCTGTGTCCTCTGCTGGCTTCTCCACCTGCTGCCCCTGGGCTCGTTCTGAGCATCCTAAGGGGTCCAGGCCATTTCTCACTGAGAAAGAAGAGTATGGGTTTAGTGCTCTCAGTCAAAGGAAAGCTCGTTCTAAAAAGCCAAGGCTGCAGCCTGCTGAAGAACTCAAGAATTCTAAATTCACAGACACCAGTACAACTAACAAAACTACAAGGAGGGGCACAAGGCTCAGTTGGCTCACCCCCACCTCCAAGTGCCAGCATCCCACATGGACACCTGTTTGTGTCCTGGCTGCTCTACTTCCCATCCAGCTCCTGCTTTGCCCCTGGGAAGCAGATATACAGAGAGGAGGAGAGATAGAGAGGAAGATCTTCTGTCCGATGATTCACTCCCCAAGTGAGTGCAATGGCTGGTGCTGCGCTGATCCGAAGCCAGGAGCCAGGAACTTCTTTCCGGGTCTCCCACAGGGGTGCAGGGTCCCAAGGCTTTGGGCTGTCCGCGACTGCTTTCCCAGGCCACAAGCAGGGAGCTGGATGGGAAGTGGAGCTGCCGGGATTAGAACCGGTGCCCATATGGGATCCCGGCGCGTTCAAGGTGAGGACCTTAGCCGCACTGCACCAAGCCCAACTTTATACATTATAAATTGTAATTACTTAGCACAGAGGGTAGAACACCCCACCACACATACTGCTTTTTATATGGAATACAAACCTATTGATGCTAGTCCTTCAGGTCTGCTCGAAATCCTTATAATGTTCCTATCTCCCTTTAAGAAAAATATTTCATTTTCTGTGCAGGAAACAGATACAATATCACCTGATCCTTCTAAACCAGCAATTGTGGCCTGTTAAAAAAAAAAGAAGAAGAAAACAACACAAATTCAGGCTATATTAATAGTCCAAAGAGGTCAAATGGCAACTGTACTTGCTACAATGTCCCAGACACGCTGAGGCCTTCTGTCCACACAGGGAAGTGGCATCCGTCCTGTGTGACCCACGGTCAGTCTCACAGAGCACACACGCAACAGCAGCAGCCCCTGCCCACGCCCCATTTGCACCAAGATGAAGCTTGCCCTGCTGTACCAGGCAGGGTCCTCTGATTTGTGCCCTGGCCATGGCACCACGGCTCCCATGGTCGGACATGTGGCTGGTGCAATTCTGTCCCTGCTCACCGGGGCAACTCCAATGCCTTGCGTTTGCCAACGCCTGGCACCTTGATTCGCTTGTTCATATGGCAGCTCACAGCCCTTTTCACCGAGTGCTGTGTGGCACGTCACTCCTGGGCCTCCAGGCTGAGCCACTCCATCGGCATAGAGCTGCCCCTTCTGTGCACATCTGGCAGGGAGCCCAGGATGCACTGCAACCTACAGCTTTGGAAAGGATAAGGATGATTTCCCCATCATCCGCGACACAACACAGGACGAGCGAGTTCACAGTGACCCATGTCCCTGCTCCTCAGTGACCGCCACCTGAGCAGTTCACAGTGGAACACAGGGTCCCTAAGCTCTTGCTTAACTGCTCAATAACCCTGGCAAACAGCTAGAAACCTGCCGAGCACTGTCACCGTGAGTCCAGACCCCAATGCCGGCCAGCAGCATCTGGGCATGGCTGTTTGTGCTGGCATTCCTCTGCCTATAAAATGAAGTTAATTGTACCTACTAAGTAAAGTCTTGGCAAAGCATTCAGATGAAAAGAATCAGTGTGCAGGAAGCGTGTTGAGGGTTTCTCAGAACTTTCCCAAATGACACCTCCTCGCCCACAGCTGACAAGGCAAGCAGGCCCTCATGACCATGTGCAGAAGCCCACCTCCTCTGACTTCCTGCTTCCTACCAGACTCTGGCTCTAGACCTGACACCATGAAGGTCTCTGATGTGCTGGGAGGGCTCTTCCTGTTTCTTGTGCCTGTTCAGTTTAAAAAATGTGTGTGCAGGGCCCGGCGCGGTGGCGCAAGTGGTTAAAGGTCCTCGCCTTGCACGCCCGGGATCCCATATGGGCGCCGGTTCTAATCCCGGCAGCCCCACTTCCCTTCCAGCTCCCTGCCTGTGGCCTGGGAAAGCAGTCGAGGACGGCCCAAGGCTTTGGGAACCTGCACCCGCGTGGGAGACCCGGAAGAGGCTCCTGGCTTCGGATCGGCATAGTATCGGCCCGTTGCGCTCACTTGGGGAGTGAATCATCGGACGGAAGATCTTCCTCTCTGTCTCTCCTCTCTGTATATCCGCCTTTCCAATGAAAAAATAATAAAAATAAATCTTAAAAAAAAAAAACAAAATGTGTTTGTAAGCTGTACCAAACACTGGCTGTGAGTCGGAGTTAGACGGACACCTCATGTGCATGAGCTGCAGCTTGGGACTAGCTGTCCTGTCAGCAGAGTGCTGCCCAGTTTCTTTGAGTTCATCCATACGCTCTCTTCCTGTGGCATCCGGAAGTAAGACCGCATTTGGTGTATCGCAATTCAAAGTTCACCTTCATATGAACCAGCCTTTCTAAATATCAGAACTCATGCCCCAACAGGTGCGTCATTGAGAGAAAGTTCTCAGTTAACTTTGTATCAAAAGAGGTAGCAACTAATGGTAATGCATCCGGAGAAGCATCTCCAGAGCCAGTGGGAAACAACACCACAAGTGTCAGGGCGTGGTATGGGGGCCCGTCCATGGCCATCATTTGTGAACAGCTTTTTCCTTGGGAGTTCTAATAGTGCTTGTTTCATTTTAAGGAATGAAGTAATAAGTTCTGGTGGTGAAGGCAGTTTTACTAACATGGGTACTCTCTGGGGATTGACTGTATTTCTAAAAAGCTGGACTAGTGCCCTTTGGATACCATTGTGTTCCTTTTTAAAGTGAACTTGTGCTTCTGGATACCACCATGAACTCTATGTGGAGGCAAAGAAACTTTTTCAGACTTCTAAATTTGTAATAAAGGCAATTTTAAACATAAAGTTTCGAATGTCTGGAAAAAAAATCAGTGTGCAATCACACAGTTCCTGACGCCACGGACCAAGGACGTGGATGCTCGCCAAGCACCTGAGAACACGCCGACTGCCAAAGGAAAAGCGTTGTGCAAGGCCCACAGGCCCCTGCCCAGCACGCCCAGCTCCTGCTCGCTGTCCAGCCGACAGAACACCATCGTCTGCTCTCTGAAGTCAGCGTTTCCTAAACCAGTGTCGACAGGCACGGCATACAACAGTTACTCAGAAGCTTTCCCATTCCTGCTGCGGGGCAGAAGTGAGCAGCATGGCGTGGTCTGCAGGTGGGCAGTAAGGAATACAAAGAACTGGGCAGGGCTCATCTAAAACCACGAAGAATGATGCTAAACAGTTTTAGAGATTTTATTTGAAAAACAGAGTGATAGAAAGGGGGTAAACAGAGTCTGAGAGACCCGTTCACTGGCTCACTGTCCAGATGAACACACCAGCTGGGCCAGGCTGGAGGCAGGGGTCAGACACCCTATCTGGGTCTTTCCCGTGGGTGCAGGGGCCCGAGCATTTGTGCAATCCTCTGCTGCTTTCCCAAGCGCATCATTAAGGAGTTGGATGAGCAGTGGGGCAGTTGGGGCCTGAACTGGGGCTCTGATTCAGAACAGTGGTCTTGTAGGTGGCGTCTTAATTCACAGAGCCACAGTGCTGGCCACTAAACAGCAGTGTGAAAGCACACCGGCCCATCTCCTGGGATAACCTCATAGCACCCCGCCATAGCAGAAACTGTTTGCTACCAGGTAGCCATCAAGGAGCAGGTGCAGCATTTAAGTCACCACTTGGGACACCTAGTAAAGGCCTGGGCTCCATGTACAGCGGCTGCTGCTAAACTCAGCCCCTTGCTCATGCACGCATGGGAGCAGCCGGCAACGGCTTGAGTGCCCAGGCCCCTGCCATCCACACGGGGACCTGCATGGAGCTCCCGGACTCAGCCCAGCTGAGACTGATGCAGGCGTTCGGCGTGAACTAGAAGTAACTACAGTGAAAACCCAATGCCAGAGTAACATGGCTATAGCTGAGTAAGAACGAGGGTGGAGGAGCCGGAGGAAGGGAGCCAGTGCTGGCGTGGGCACTGTGCGGATGGCTGCTCTCCGTGTCACTGCAGCTGCCAGGCCAGGGCTCTTGGCAAATCTGCTCATCTCAACTTGGTAGTTGAGGAAAAATGTGTCTCAAATAGACACCAGAGAACAAGTTTAACTTTGTACTTAAGTACAAAAAAATCATTTCTTGGCAAGAGGAAAGAATGTAAATATCAAAACATTTTGTTCAAATCTATAAGAAGTACCAGACCTTGGCTGGGTCTTCCCCACTAGCCCTAAGGAACAAGTGACCATGAAATGGATATCCGCCAGCTTCCCAGCTCCGCCAGCCCGGGCCTGGAGCCTCTGCTGACTGACCTCTCACCTGGTTGATGGTGTCCAGGAGATAGATGCTGTATTCGTTCCAGCTCAACACCCAGCCATCCTGCAAGAAGCAGGAGAGCAGGCCCAGCTGCCTCTCAGACAGGCTGCAGCCTCCCCCATGCGAAGGCTCCACGCGTGGGTACAGCTCGAAAGGCTGGATTCCTCCGGCGAACACGTCTTTTAGGATAAATGTAGCTTGAACCGTCCCATGAACATCAGCCTTCCACAGCCGGAGCCCAGGCCTTGAGGCATACAAGGTTAGATCGCTCTGCTTACAGAGTCCTGGTATGAAACAAGCGCCAAATTTCCCAGTACTGGAAGAAAGAAGAGGAGAACGCTGGACATTGTCAACCCCTGATGTGAACTATGACAAGAACTGTTGTCTAAGGGCCCAACAGCTGTCCCTCTCTTGCCTTCCGCACGGCCTTGCTTTTAGGTAACCAGACCACAGCGTCCTTCCTGCCCCCAGAGGCCTCCCGCTGCCGCACAGGCCCATCCAGGAGGGGTGATGCATCTCGCGCTGTGCCCTGGGGGTGGGCCCCACTCTCCTGTTAAGCCCCCTGCCAACAACTGGAGGAGGAAGCTGAAGGGACGAGGCCAGGCGCCTGCAGGGACCCGAGCAGACGGAGAAGCAGGGGAACACTTCCTGACCCGTCTCTGTAAGCCCATTAAGGGCAGTGTCCCCTGGGCATCCGCTCTGGTGGCAGCACTGAATCATCAGCCATACAAACCTGCAGCTCTCCGTGCGCACTCAGCCATCATTTACTCCTTTCACTTTCATTCCAAAACCAGCAAGAAGCCATTTGCGTATTTCTGCAATTTGTTTTTCTCTCATCTAACATTTTGTTTCTAAAAACAGAACTTTATTGATAAAAGCTGGGATGCTCACGCATTCATTTTGACTGCTGTGTAATATTCTATTATTTATTTGTGGATAATTTTTTGTATTTTGAAAAAGGGCACTCTGAGCATTTTTATACCTACCCCTGTACAAGTGTTACACCTACCCCTGTACAAATGTTGTTAAGTTTGTCAAGGATATTTCACAGTGAAATTGTTGTTTTGAGAGCATATTCAAGTTTAATCTTTTTATTTCTAAAAATTTATTTATTTTCATTGGAAAGTCAGATTTACAGAGAAGGAGAGACAGAGAGAAAGATTTTCCATCCACTGATTCACTCCCCAAGCGGCTGCAATGGACAGAACCGAGCCAATCCGGAGCCAGGAGCTTTTTCCTGGTCTCCCATGTGAATGACAGGGGCCCAGGTACTTGGCACTCGGGTTGTCATCTTCAGCTTTCGCAGAAGTATCATCAGGGACCAGGAGCTTAAGTGGAGGAGGCAGGGAATAAGGAGTCTTGGGTCCTGGCCAAGGACACCTGGAAGTTCTGGGCTCCTGGTTTCAATCTGGCTCAGCACGGCCTACGGCGGTGTTTGGAAAACAAACCAATCTATAGTTATCTCTGTCTGTCTTTCCCCACTTTCAAGGAGAAGAAAATAAACATTCCAGGGCCCGGTGTAATAGCGTAGTGGTTAAGGTCCTTGCCTTGAATGTGCTGGGATCCCATATTGGTTCTGGTCCTAATCCTGGCAGCTCCACTTCCCATCCAGCTCCCTGCCATTGGCCTGGGAAAGCAATCAAGGACGGCCCAGAGCAATGGGACCGTGCACTGCATGGGAGACCTGGAAAGAAGTTCCTGGCTCCTGGCTTCGGACCGCTGTAGCACCTGGGGAGTGAACCATCGGATGGAAGATGTTCCTCTCTGTACATCTGCCTTTCCAATAAAAATAAATAAATCTTAAATATTCCAAAAATACATATTGATAATATAGTCCACTGATGGTCCAGTGTTGGGGGCCAGCACTGTGGAGTAGTGGATAAGCCCTGGCATCCCATATGGGTGCTAGTTCAAGTCCTGACTGCTGCACTTCTAATCTAACTGTCTAACAATGCATCCAGGGGATGGTCCAGGTCTCTGAACCCCTGCACTCATGTGGGAGACTCAGGAGAAGCTCGTGGCTTTGGCCTGGCCCAGCTCTAGTCATTGTGATATGGAGAGTGACCCAGTAAAAGGATTCTCTCTCTGTCACTCTGCAAAATTTGTCCTTCAAATAAATGTAAAGGGTTGAGGACAGATTGTGCTAAGCAGAGCCACTGTACGTCCCGACACGCCAGAGGTCTAGGGCTGGGAGCGGGCCTGGCCCAGCCCAGCCCTCATTTAAATAGGCAGGAGCTTCACCCAAACACTCGCGCTGCCTTCTGCTGCTTTCCCAGGCTCAACAGCCAGGGGCTTGGAAGTGGAATAAGTAACATTCCTATGGGATGCTAGTGCTACTGGAGGCGCTTAACCTGCCGCGGGCGACACTGGAGCTGTCCTCACACACGCACCACAGCATCCACTGGGACAAGCACTCCGTGGGTTTCTGTGCTCAGCACGGTGGTGACCTGTGTTGAGAGATGTGCGTAAACTAGAAGACAGAATCCCAGCGTCTGCAGAGTGCCTGAAGGCAGAGGAGCAAATCGGCAGATGAAGATTCTTTCTCAAATAAATGAAGTTTTTAAAAATGGGGGAGGTAAGAGGGAGAGAAGGAAAGACACGATCCTTGCCTGTCTGTCAACACGGCAGAGGCAGATGCCTAATGGTGTGCCAAGTTCTCCAAGCAGCAGACCAGCCCACCAGAGCAAACACAGCAGCGACACTGGTGTCAGGCACACAGCGGACAGGCACGAGTCGGGCCGTCTCACCGAGCACAGTCCTGGGGCAGCTAGCTCCAAGAACCATGGAAATAGCTCAGGAGCCGACTGGGAGAAGGCAGCTGAGCTGGTAAGAAGCAGCTAGAGCTGGCGGCAACTTGCTCTAGACCTGACCTAGACACTGTCCAGTTACCAGGGGACTCTGCCCTTTATAACGGCATTGAACCTGACACTTCCACTTTGTTTAAGGACCACACTACTACGAAACGTGTGGGGATGGGCAGCATGGCACAGCATGTCAGCCTGCCACTTACAATGCCTACATTTTACAACAGAGTGCCACCTGAGTCAGATCACTCTGCTTTCAATCAAGCCACCTGCTAATGCAGATAAGAGCTCCAAAGTTTGGGAGGCAATTACCCACAGAGCAGACTGGGAAGGACTCGTGGGCCCGGGGTTCAGGCTGGCCCAGCCCTGCCTGGTGCAGGAAATTGGGGAGTGAACCAGCAAATGGAAGATCTCTCTTTCTGTCTTTAGGAGTTGTTTTTTTTTTTTAAGATTTATTTTAGGGCCCGGCGCGGTGGCGCAAGTGGTTAAAGGTCTTCGCCTTGAACGCCCGGGATCCCAAATGGGCGCCGGTTCTAATCCCGGCAGCTCCACTTCCCTTCCAGCTCCCTGCCTGTGGCCTGGGAAAGCAGTCGAGGACGGCCCAAAGCCTTGGGACCCTGCACCCGCGTGGGAGACCCAGAAGAGGCTCCTGGCTCCTGGCTTCAGCCAACACTTTGGCCAAGCCTGGCGTGCTCTCCCACCAGCTTCCCATATTAGAGTCTTCAGTTCAAAGGTCACTGGCCTGGGAAAGCCTTTCTCAACCATGCTAACCAAGAAGCCTCCTGGGGCTAGCTGGGTAGTACAGTGGGTTATGCCTTCATGTGCAAGATGGGTGCTAGCTTGAGCCCCAGCTGTCTCGCCTCTCATCTAACTCACATTTTTTTTTAAAGATTTATTTATTTATTGGAAAGTCAGATATACAGAGAGGAGGAGAGACAGAGAGGAAGATCTTCCATCCAATGATTCACTCCCCAAGTGAGCGCAACGACCGATGCTATGCCAATCTGAAGCCAGGAGCCTCTTCCGGGTCTCCCACGCGGGTGCAGGGTCCCAAAGCTTTGGGCCGTCCTCGACTGCTTTCCCAGGCCACAGGCAGGGAGCTGGATGGGAAGCGGGGCTGCCAGGATAGAACCGGCGCCCATATGGGATCCTGGGCATGCAAGGCGGGGAGCTTAACCACTGCGCCACCGCACCGGCCCATCTAACTCAAAGTTGATGCGCCTGGGAAAGCAACAGAAGATGGCTCAAGGGTTTGGGGTTTGGGTGCCTGCACACACATGGGAGACCTTGCTGGAACTCCAGCCTCCTGGCTTCGGTCTGGCCCAGCGGGTACTCGAGGAGTGAACCAGCAGATGGAAAATCTCTCTCCCCTCTGTGTGTGTCTCTTTTCTCTCTTTCACACAAATAAAGGACAGATAAAACAAAGAGGCGTTTCCCACGTCTGGCGAGTCTCTACCAGCCGTCTCTCTCCCATCGTCCCTGAGGCCTTTTACAGCAACACTTCAAGTCAAGCATTCTGCACAGTCCTCTTTTTGTAAGATTTATTTATTTTTATTTAAAAGGCAGATTTCTATATAGAAAATGAGAGTGAGAGAGAGATCTTCCATGTGCTGGTTTACTCCCCAGATGGTCACAATGACCAGAGCTGAGCTGACCTGAAGCCAGGAGCCAGGAGCTTCTTATAGGTTTCTGACATGGGTACAGGGTCCCAAACGTTGAACCATCCTCCGCCACTTTCCCAGCCATAAGCAGAGTTAGATTGGAAGTAAAGCAGCTGGGGGGGCCCAGTGAGATAGCCTAGTGGCTAACTCATTGCCTTGCATGTATGGGGACCCCACACAGGCACTGGTTCACACACCTCTCTGACGGCAGAGGGACATCGGAAGCCAGTGCTCTATGGGACACTAAGCCGACCTGCAAGTCCCAGCGAGGCTGCTGTTGCTCCAGGAATGCTGCTTTGGGTGGGAACCTGCCAGCGTTCAGCACAACACAGGAGGCCAGGGCAGGGATACGAGTGTCCCCCCAGCAGAAGGGCTAAACGACAGCACAGCATCTCTGGAGTCATGACAAAGTCCAGGACAGTGAGTGACAGATGGCAGCTATGCCTCCTGCCCCACAGCCTGGCACTACCAACAGCACCACCCCAAGCCTGCGTATTACCCCTCACTCGGCCTGGCACTACCAACAGCACCACCCCGAGCCCGCGTATTACCCCTCGCTCGGCCTGGCACCACCCCGAGTCTGCGCATCTCCCCCTGTCATGTTTGTCTGGAGGCAGAATTACCCTTCACTGGGGAAAGAGTCTCATCTGTCACTTAGACTGTGCCCATGCCGCCCTCCCCACCATCCTCCCCAGCCTCGTGCAAACTGGCTGCAGGGTTCGAGGCTGAGGCGGGCACTGAATGCGGTCACCCTTCTGCTCCATGTGCCCTTCCCCACATGGCTGGTGGGACACGGGGATGGAGAAGCAACCCTCCTCTTCACCAGCCTTCCTCTGGTGGCCTCCCCTCCATTGGCTAAATCACTCCCACCAGCCCCCTGCCTCCAGGAAGCCTTCCCTGACTCCCAGGCTACTGGAAGCCGGTTAACTCTTGCTATACCTGTAACCTGAGCACGGCAGTTAAGATGGGTGTTAATGAGTTGCTGTCTGCTCTTGCCTGTCAGCCATGTCCCCTTCTGTCAGAGAGCACACCTGCTGAAGGACAGCTGAGCTCACCAGGGTCACAGGGCCCAGACCACAGGCAAGGCACCTGCAGAGCACACCACCCCCGAGGCAGTGTGGCTGTACCAGCAGCACCACAACCTCAGCCCCCACACTCCCTGGAAGTCCCAGGACAGGGACCCTGGCAGGAGGCCAATGTAGGCAGCCCCTGGTGCCTTGCGTCTGGCAACCAGGGAGTCTCAGAGACAGCAGTTAAGACCCAATCCTCAGGGTGACCTGAGCACCCATGGGGCTTACCTTTTCCTTGGCTGTGTCCCGATCTGCTGGACAGACTTCTCCTCCGTGTAAAAAAGCAGGCTCCGTTGCAAGGTGGAGACCAGCAGCACTTTGTGGCTATAGTCCAGCTGTACAATGGAGGACGGCTCTTCCAACACCAACTGGGAGTTACAGACCCCCTGCAGAGAGCCCAGGGAAGCCCCGCATCAGTGCCGGCAAAGCCAGCGATGTCCTGCCCGCTGAGGTCCTCGCACGGACACCTCGGGCCCCTCCAGATCAGTGTCGGCCTGCTCTGGGAAAAGTCCTTACTAAGGACAGTCAGTGCTAGCCTCCCCTCTCATGCCACACCAAGCTTGAAAAAGAGTCCACAAACAATCCACAAAGACCCCAACAGGAATGCGGCACACTTTACAACAGGCTGTGACTTTCTACAGTCACTGTGACCACAATCCACTAAGTGGGTACGACTCCTTCCCATGACAGAGTTCAAACTGTGTTTTAGAAGCAGGGAGAGAGAGTTCCCATCCACGGGTTCAGACCACAACACTCACAGCGGCTAGAGCGCTGATGCTGGCAGCCAGCAACTCAACCCGTCCCCCAGCACACAACGGGACCCAGCCCCGTGAGCCGCAGCTGCCACTGAGCGTGTGCACTACCTGGAAGCAGAGCCAGGAAGCAGAGCTGCAGATTTGGAAACAAGCAAGAAATGGCATGAAATACACACGAGAGTATAGATAGAAAGTGAAATTACAGACACAGACATCCGTCCCCATGGAAGGGGCTGTCCACATGTCTACACACACACACACACACACACACACACACACACACACACAGACATCCATCCACATGGAAGGGGCTGCCCACATGTCTACACACACACAGACATCCGTCCACATGGAAGGGGCTGTCCACATGTCCACACACACACACACACACACACACACACACACACACACACACAGACATCCGTCCACATGGAAGGGGCTGCCCACATGTCTGCACACACAGACATCCGTCCACATGGAAGGGGCTGCCCACATGTCTACACACACACAGACATCCGTCCACATGGAAGGGGCTGTCCACATGTCTACACACACACAGACATCCGTCCACATGGAAGGGGCTGCCCACATGTCTACACACACACAGACATCCGTCCCCATTGAAGGGGCTGTCCACATGTCCACACACACACACACACACACACACACACACACACACACAGACATCCGTCCACATGGAAGGGGCTGCCCACATGTCTGCACACACAGACATCCGTCCACATGGAAGGGGCTGCCCACATGTCTGCACACACAGACATCCGTCCACATGGAAGGGGCTGTCCACATGTCTACACACACACACAGACACACATCCGTCCATATGTCTACACACAGACACACATGTCCGTGGAGAAGGGTGGCTGCTGTGATGTAGCTATTTAGTCTGCAGCTTGCAACACCTCCCTCATATTGAAACACAAGTGTGAATCCTGGCTACTCTGTCTGCAGCGTGGTTCCTGCCAAGGTACCCTGTGCGGAAGCACATGACAGCTTACATGTCTGGGTCCCTCCCAGCACGAGAGGCCGGAGTGGGGCTCCCCGCTTCCAGCTCACCCAGGCTGGCTGCAGGCATGTGGGGTGAAGCAGTGAACAGAAGATCTCGGCTCCATTTTGTTTTCTGTTGTTTTCCCTTGCAAACAGCAAAGATAATAAACATTGCTTTAAAAAGACAAAAACAGTGCAGGCACTGCATGCAGAGCCAACACAGAGTGCTAGGCCCGAGGCCCAGCTCCTCCGCTTCTGACCCACTCCGTGGGAGTCAGCCTGAGGCGGTTCAAGTGCTAGTCTGCCATTCACGTGGGAACCCCGGAAGAGGCTCCGTGCTCCTGGCCTGCTGGGACCTGGCTGACGACAGAAGCAGCCCCGCTTCCCATCCAGCTCCCTGCTTGTGGCCTGGGAATACAGTAGAGGACGGCCCAAAGCCTTGGGACCCTGCAACCGCATGAAAGATCTAGAGGGGGCTCCTGGTTCCTAGCTTCGGATCGGCATAGCATCAGCTGTTGTGCTCACTTGGGGAGTGAACCATCGGAAGGAACATCTTTTTTTTTTTAAAGATTTATTATTTTTATTACAAAGTCAGATATACAGAGCAGAGGAGAGATAGAAAGGAAGATCTTCTGTCTCATGAATCATTCCCCAAGTGAGCACAACGGCCAGTGCTGTGCTGATTTGGAGCCAGGACCTTCTTCCAGGTCTCCCATGCGGGTGCAGGATCCCAGGGCTTTGGGGCGTCCTCTGCTGCTTTCCCAGGTCACCAGCAGGGAGCCGGATGGGAAGTGTGGCTGCCGGGATTAGAACTGGCACCCATATGGGATCCCGGCACATTCAAGGCGAGGACTTTAGCTGCTAGGTCACGTCGCCGGGCCCAAAGATCTTCCTGTATGTCTCTCCTCCTTCTGTATATCCGCCTCTCCAATAAAAATAAATAAATCTTTAAAAAAAAGTATATATATATATATATACACATCTTAAATCATGCTTGGGTAGACAGCAGTTCTCAGAGTGAGGTCTGCAATCCCTGAACCTCCAAGGCACTCTGAGGAGCATGCCTGCTCGATCCCACCTGCATGTAACTGCAAGATGCCCTGGTCTCCTCCCGGGACCCAGCTCTGCCCTGGTGTGCGGGAACCACAGGTGGAGCTCCTGGGAACCCCGGCCACACAAGGCCCACAGGGCCGCAAAGGGCCGCACAGGGCCATACAGGGCCGCACAGGGCCGCAAAGGGCCCCACAGGGCCCACAGGGCCGCACAGGGCCGTACAGGGCCCACAGGGCTGCACAGGGCCCACAGGGCCGCAAAGGGCCGCACAGGGCCCACAGGGCTGCACAGGGCCGTACAGGGCCCACAGGGCTGCACAGGGCCCACAGGGCCGCACAGGGCCGCAAAGGGCCACACAGGGCTATACAGGGCCACACAGGGCCGCAAAGGGCCCCACAGGGCCCACAGGGCCGCACAGGGCCAACAGGGCCACACAGGGCTCACAGGGCCACAAAGGGCCACACAGGGCCGCAAAGGGCTCACAGGGCCACACAGGGCCCACAGGGCCGCAAAGGGCCGCACAGGGCCACACAGGGTCGCACAGGGCCGCACAGGGCTCACAGGGCCACACAGGGCTCACAGGGCCACACAGGGCCACACAGGGCCGCGGCACCAAACTCTACTGGGATACGTCGGACCTCATCAGCGCTCTCACGGATAGACATATTTGAGGCCCCACAACAGGCATTTTGAATTCTGTGGGACAATCGGGGCATGCACTCGAAGCACCCCAGCTTGCCATGCAGCTGTGTGTACGCTGAGCTTCCCCAGCTGCGTCGGTCACAGAACACCATGCTTACTTGAAAATTCACACAGAGAATGCCTTGTGTTGGCTGAACAACGCACAGGTGCAAGGGTGAAAAATCCATTCAAAGCGCAAAACAGACCAACAGATGCTCACGTAACAAAGCATGGAACACGCGCCATGCAGCTTCAGCTCCCACACCCTAACTAACCTTTAAAGAAACTATGCTTTGTCAACTAGGGGCAATATTCAAAATGAATGTTCAAAGCAGTAACATTCAAAATGATCTAAAAAGGCTATCAAAATATTCCTCCATTTTCAACTACCTGCCTGTGTTACAGTCAGACTGTTTGTATATACTTCAACCAAAAGAATGCATTGCAACAGACTGAAAATGCACAAATAACAACCGAAATTACAAAGGAACTCTGATCTAGAATAAGCCGAGTGTAATAGCTATAATTTTAATAAAAATATGACTCTAAACACTAATAACATGTCTGAAGAGTTTTACCTGGTCTAGGTCCAGAGAAGAATAGACAATTTTCCCTTTGTCATCTCCAGAGAACAATTTCATTCCATTGGGACTCCAGGCCAGGGCTGTAATGCTGTTTTTATGAATACCACTGACATCGAATCTCCGGAGCTACGAATAAATGGTCAAGATGGATATAAACAAAAGGAAACAAGTTGTGAGCTGCGTGCACGTGAGGTCAGACAGCCTTGCTCCTGTGTGTACAGGGGCTGGCTTTCCCGGCCTCGGTGTCCATGAAGAACCCAAGACAGGAAATTACCTCGTGTGCTTCATGGTCAGTGTCCACTCACCCAGAATGTTCTCTGACTGTAAGTGGCACATTCCTAAGCAGAGGGGAACTCCTCATCTCACGCCCAGGAGGCACTTGTCCAAGTGCAGACTCCACGTAGACGAGCCCTCACCTGTCTGTTCCGCCCGGGCAGAGAAGACACGAGCTGGAAGATGGCCACTCGGCCCGCCGCCGTGCCCGCCGCCACCAGGTCATCGAAGCAGCTCAGCAGCTTCACCGCAGTGATGGCCTCCGTCTTTCCCTGGAGGAAGACACAGCCGACAGGCATGAGGCTGCAACCAAGAGACTGCTGGGAAATGGACTGCTATTCGTGTCAGAACAGAATCCGATCTCCCATCTGCTTCTCACTCCGCAAGTGTCCACGACAGCCAGAGCTGGCCCAGGTCAGGGCCAGGAAGCTCAGCTGGATTTGATTCTAGCATGGAGGCAGAGTCCGAGGCACTCAGGCGGCCTCCCAGAGTGGGCGTCAGCAGCAGGCTGATCACTGACTGAGCCAGAAACTGAACCTGGGTCCCGAGCTCCAAGTAATGTCTTAACCACTGCAGCAACAGCAGCCCTCACGGGCAGGCTTTTAAGTTATAAAACAGGGCATTACCAAAGAGTAAAAAACTATGCCAGGATGCAAACCACACACAATTCTGGCTGGAAATACATACAAATCAGACAGTTCTTAGATACTTCCTTTTCCCTGCCTCATCTAACTTGTCTAATGTTAAAATACACATAAATTACCACTTTTTTGCATTTTTTAAATATTTATTTATTTAAGTTTTTTCTTAAGATTTATTTATTTTTATTGGAAAGGCAGATATACAGAGAGGAGAGACAGAGAGAAAGATCTTCCATCTGATGATTCACTCCCTGGAAGACGCTCTTGGATCCCAGCTTCGGATCAGCTCAGCTGTGGCCATTGTAGCTACTCAGAGGGTGAACCAGCAGACGGAAGATCTTTGTCTTTTCATCATCCTGTAAATCTGCCTTTCAGGCAAAAATAAATAAATCTTAAAAAAAAAAAAGATTTTATGGATCTGAAAGGCAGAATTACAGAAAAACAGAGAGACAGACAGAGAGAGAGGTCTTCTAGCTGCTGGTTCACACCCCAAGCCAAGAGTCAGGAACTTTTAAGTCCCACATGTGGATGCCACGGTGCTAGCACTCAGGGATCATTTTCCATGGCTTCCCCACGTTCTTATTCAAGACAGCAGCCAGGACCACAGATGAGCTTTATCCAAAGCTACTCTCAAAAGAACAAGCAGAGGTCGGCATGAGCACTCTGAGAAACAGAACCCTTTCAAAGTTTTGCAGGGTTAAACACTCAAGTGTTCTCTTTACAACGGTGCTAGATTTCAGGGGCAGGGAGGAAGTTCAAACATGAATGCTGGGCCTGGCGCGGTGGCGCAAGTGGTTAAAGGTCCTCGCCTTGCACGCCCAGGATCCCATATGGGCACCGGTTCTAGTCCCGGCAGCCCCGCTTCCCTTCCAGCTCCCTGCCTGTGGCCTGGGAAAGCAGTCGAGGACGGCCCAAAGCTTTGGGAACCTGCACCCGCGTGGGAGACCCAGAAGAGACTCCTGGCTTCGGATCGGCATAGTATCGGCCCGTTGCGCTCACTTGGGGAGTGAATCATCGGATGGAAGATCTTCCTCTCTGTCTCTCCTCTCTGTATATCCACCTTTCCAATGAAAAAATAATAAAAATAAAATCTTTAAAAAAAAAAAAAAAACATGAATGCTGGGTTGTACTCCACCTGATTACGGATGGTTTTGAATTGTTATTTGGGTGAGATACTCAGACCTCATTCCGGGAAACAGGAAGCAACACTCTCACGCAAACACTGGAGTGGCAGGTGCGACAGCACAGCGCCAGCCCACGGAGGGGTCAGGCCCGCAAGGCTCACCTCAAAGTTGTACTTTCTCATCTGGTTCAGGTGCCTGCAGTACAGATAGAGCATGCCAATGCTGCTGCCCACCGCGATGTAGTCCCCGTTGGTGTCGAGGGCCGTGAGGTAGACCAGCAGAGAGCGGAAGCCCTTCTGGATCTTGGTGGGAATGGCGTTGAGGAGGGAGTACAGAGGACAGAACTCTCGGAATACCATGGGCTCCGAGGCCGATGCCATGGCTGAGGCTCCCACAGGCCGTCTTCAGGCAGGCGACGGAAGGCTCGTTTCCTCGGGGAACCTGGGGGCTGAAGGTCAAGGCACCATCATTCTGCAGAGCCCCAGTCATGCCAAAGAGTGGCACTTAGCAACGGGCCCCTTGGCCAGGTTAGCCTAGCAGGTAAGGATCTGGCTAAGCCACCCACAGAGGTCAGGGGAGCAGGGCTGACCGGGCGCGGGACGGGGCTTCTGCCCCCCACATGCCAGATCTGGACTAAGTTCCTGGCTCCTGGCTCTAGCCCTTACAGGCACCTGGGAAATGGACCAAGAGCTGGGAGTTCTCCCTCTCAGACAAATAATAAAGTCTTTAAAGAGTGAAAACATGTAAGACTTTAAGGGGACTCAAACTGACGACCACAGAGGCTGCGCCATACAGCCTCACAAGTGAAGTCACTGCTTACAATGCTGGCATCCCACAGCACGGGGACAGTCTGCGTCCTAGTGACTCATCCAGCTTCTGGAAATGCCCCCGATCTGCCGCACACGCAGGGGACAACCTGCCCTGCCTTGCCCTTGCTGTGCAGCCACCTGCCGACTGAGCCAACGTACGTTAAAATCTATCTTTCTCCTCGTCCCCTCTCTCTTCCTCTGTAACTCTGCCTTTCAAGTAAAGAAATAAATATCCTTAAAGATTTAAGACACAGGTTAGTTAAGCAGAAAGTAAACTAGGTATCATTAAGATCACTGGAATATATTAATTCAAATTTACTTCTGGGCCCAGCATGACAGTGCAGTGGGTAAGTCCTCACCTTGTAAGTGTTGGGATCCCATATGGGTGTCGATTCATGTCTCAGCTGCTCCACTTCCCAGCCAGCTCCCTGCTTGTGGCCTAGGAAAAGCAGAGAAGGATGGCTCAAAGCCTTGGGACCCTGCACCCATGTGCGAGACCCAGAAGAAGCTCCTGGCTCCGGATCAGCTCAGCTTCGGCCATTTTGGCCATCTAGGGAATGAATCAGAGGATGGAAGATCTTTCTCTCCCCTCTGCAAATCTGATCTGCTTCGCACACCCCGCCCCACAAAATTAAATAAATCTAAAAAACCAAAAACAAAAACAAGACCCACTTCAATATATTCTAATCCTAATCTATACTTTATATTATACTCTACGCCATGGAGGGGTGGAGAGAATAGGTATATATATGCTCTTACTTTCCAGTGGCTTACAACCAGCCAGGCTGGCCGGGAACCACGCAGAAACACAGGACCACATCACTAGGTGCACCTGAGGGTCCCGCAGACAAGAGGGAGAGATGAGTGCAGAGGACAGTAAGCAGGGAAGGCTTCACTGAAAATGTCCTCCCCCAGGAGGGTCTCCGGGCTGCACAAGCGCAGAAGGGAGACAGCAGAAGGGCGCTCCCTCCCTCCGTGTAGAAACGCGCCTGTGAATGAGCCAGCAAAGGGGCGCCCGGGAGGCCATCCAGCCCCGCTCAGGGCCCTGGGAACCACCTCACATAGCACGCCACACTTTCTCAGTCCTTCCTGCCTACGTTGTGGAGGTGGCACTGCCCTTCACTTTCAGAAGCTGCTGAGGGACAGACTTAAGGTCACAAAAACCCCCCAAGACCGCCCAGCCAAGATTTGCTGCCAAGTGTTCCCATTGAGTCCTGGGCCCTCGTCCATGCCACACAGCTCTCAAGAATAGTCAACAGGCATGGGCAGACGGCAAGGGGCCACAGCTGCAGGAACATGTGAGTTCTTCCAGCCCCTAGTGGACACGCCTCGGGGTGCTGCACTAACGCCCTCCCAGCCCCTAGGATGCGTCCTGGGGGGCCGCACAGATGGCCTCTTTGGACTGAAGGGTTTCTATTTCTTGTAAGTGACTGATTTCACATACCCAACCAGGGTTCTACTGCTCCCTCCACCTGCACTAACCTTTCTCTCCGTCCTCAAGACGTGGGTCCCTATCAACATGCTCCTCCTTCAGAGGCCTCACCTGGCCACCTGCCAGTCTCTCCTCGCCCTGCTGAGCTCACCCTCACACACCTGGCTGTCTCCACATGTCCCCTGGACTTCTGCAGGCCACCTCCACAGGCTCACCCAGACCTGCACACTGGCAGCTCACCCTCACTTCATCCCCTACCCAGGCCCTAGCACCCAGAAAAGCCTCAGCAAGTTCTTGCTGAATTCAACACACACACTAAAAGAACAACTTGAACAGAGGAATGAGCATCAGATCCCAGCTGCTCTACTCTCAATCCAACTCCCTGCTAACGTGCCTGGGACAGCTACAGTGGCATCCAAGCCTTGGGTCCCTGCCACCCAGGTGGGGGACACACGCGGCTCCATTCTCCTGCTGCGGCTTGGCCCATGCCTGGTTAGCACAGCCGTTTAGGGAGCCAACCCGGTGGAGGAAGAGCTCCTCGCTCTGTGCCTCTCCCTCTGCCACTCTGCTTTCCCAATAAATAAATACTTGTTTTTTTTAAGGTTTTGTTCATACAGAAAAGTGCAAAGAAGTAAATCAGTTTCTCAGAATCCCACCACACTCCACTCCTCTGAGGCGATCGCTGCACGAGCACGCTCAGGGAGTCTCCACTGTCTCCCACGTCATTAAACACCCCTAGAACAGGACAGAGGGGTCCGCGTGTGGCCTAGCATGGAAAGCCACCACCGGAGACACCAGCAGCTCATCATAGCGCAGGCTGGTGGGCCTGTTGCTCCACTTCTAATACAGCTCCCTGCTAACGTACCTGAGCCACCACACCAACTGGGGCACCTGGAGGAAGCTCCTGGCTCTGGTCTGGCCCAGCCTTGCTTACTCTGGCCACCTGCAGGGTAAATCACAAGACAAAGAACTTCCTCTTTCTCCCTTTCACTCTGTAACTCTGAGTCTCAAATAAATAAATATATCCTAAACAACAAAACAACAGCCAGGGGGCGGGGGTTCAGGGACCTGGTGCTATGATGTAGTGGGGGCATTCCATGTGGGTGCTGGTTCAAGTACCAGCTATCCAACTTCCAATCCAGCTCCGTGCTAATGCACCATGGAAAGCAGCAGAAGACAGCCAAAGTGTTTGGGCTGCCGCACGCATGTAGGGGCTCAGAAAGAGGTTCAAGTTGCTGGCTCCAGACTGGCCCAGCCCTAACTGTGGCAGGCATTAGGGGAGTGAACCAGCGAAAGGAAGATCTCTCTCTCCTTCTTTCTCTGTAATGCTGCTTTTCAAATAAATAAATAAATCTTTAGGGTCCAGCATCGTAGCTTAAGCTTCTGCCTGCACTGCCGGCATCCCATATGGGTTCAAATCCAGCTGCTCCACTTCTGACCCAGCTCTGGCTCCTGGACTGACCCAGCCCCTGGCTCCTGGTTGCTGGATTGACCCAGCCCCTGGCTCCTGGCTGCTGGACTGACCCAGCCCCTGGCTCTGGGCTCCTGGTTGCTGGACTGACCCAGCCCCTGGACCCTGGACTGACCCAGCTCTGGTTCTTGTGACCATTTGGGAGTGAACCTGTCTCTCCTCTTTAACTCTGCCTTTCAAATTAGAAAAAGAAAAAATATAAAAATGCCTTATGATATTGTATATGCCTCCAACATGATTTCTTAAATCAAAATGTTATTTATTATTTACTATTTTTATTTGACAAACTTACAGAAAAGCAAGGAAAGACAGGGAGAGTTCATTCATGCACTGTTTAGTCCCCAAATGACTTCAATAACTGGATCTGAGCTGACCCAAAGCCAGGAGGTTCCTTTGGGCCGCCCACATGCGTTCAGGAGCCCAAAGACCTGAGCCATCACCTGCTGTTTTCAGGGGCCACAGGCAGACAGCTGTACTGAGACTGGAACAGCCAGGGACTAGGATTGATGCCTATAAGCCTGCAGCCTGAAGCTGACACTGCAAGGAAGAGCATTAGCGTGTTGAGCCACTACGTCAGATCTCCAAACGTGATACAGAGTGAACCAGGCTGACACCACACACGGGGGATGCAGAGTGAACCATGTTCCACTGTGTCTTGTTCTCAGCTACATGGCTGCTGGCCATGCTGTCCAAGAAAGGGCCGCTGCCCCAACCTCTCCCAAGGAGCTTCACAGCTACCCCTTGGCTCCCTAATACCCACCACCAGCACAGGCCACTATCCCAACTCACCCGCCTGCCCTTCAGCTCCCTCCCACCTGTCCCTCGCCTGTGCATACTCTTCCTCAGGGTCCCGCCCAGGCACTGGCTAGGAGCCTTGGGGCTCTGGTCCGGACACCCTGCCCATGACATGCAGTACATATGCCTCTCCTGTCCCGGGCAGGCATGTGTCTGTTCTCTGTTGCTCTATCTGAAGCCTGCAGCCCGAAGGAAGAACTGTCCCTCACGGTTCCGGAGACCATGATTCAGCAGCCTTCCTGGTTGTCATGGGGACTCCCTGCAGAGTCCCAAGTGGTGAGACTATCTTTATACCAAGTCAATGATGCAATCCTGGAGTGGTCCCCAAACAACCTCCTCTAACCTTAATACCTCCCAAGGCCTCAACCCCAATAGTACCAACCGGACCTTTGGGGACTAGGTTTCCAATACGCATCTTGGGGACACAACAAACCATGGCAACCCCCTTTTTAGAAAAATCAGATTTTTCATGAAGATGTATTTATCTTTATTTGAAATTCAGATTTACAGACAGGTCCTCACCACTGGTTCACTCTCCAAATGCTGGGCCTATATGGAGCCGGGAGCATCTTTCCAGCCTCCCATAAGGGTGCAGGGACCAGAGGCCTGGAGCCATACACTGCAGCTTTCCAGGCACACTGCCAGGGAACTGGACAGAAGTAAAACAGCCAGGATTCAAACTGGTGCCCATAAGGGATGCCAGCATCGCAGGCGAACACCTGGCCTACTACTCCATGGCCCTGGCCCAGGCAGCACTCTGCTCTGCTCCGGGTGACAGCGTCTCCCAGAAAACAAGTGTCAGCTTGTGCTGCTGCTTCCTTGAAGAGGCTTCAACTTTGCTCTGTCAAACGGTCACACTCAGTTTTCAGAAACCCACTTGCTGGGCAGGCTGCTCATCACAGCAGAAGTTCTGAGACTGCAGTCGGTCACTGGAGGGGCCGGGGTTCCAGCTCCAAGCTGCTGGTGCCCTAAGGTGCACAGCTCGGACTGGGCATGAGTGTCTGCAGGGCTCAGGCTCCAAGTGCCAAGAACCACTGCCTGGGTCCAAGGAGCAGCCCTCTTTAAATGAACCCTAAAACTTTCCAATTAAAAAAAAATCCTAAAACTTTTCAATTAAAAAAAATCTTTACAAAGATTTATTTATTTTTTATTGGAAAGGCAGATTTACAGAGACAAGGAGAGACAAAGATCCTCCATCTGCTGGTTTACTCCCCAAGTGGCTGCAATGGCAGGAGCTGGACTGAGCCAAAGCCAGGAGCTTCTTCCAGGTCTCCAACGTGGGCACAGGGCCCCCAAGGCTTTGGGTCATCTTCCACTGCCCTCCCAGACCACAATCAGGGAACTGGATGGGAAGTGGAGCATCTGGGACACCAGCTGGCACCCACATGATCCCTGCCCAGGCAAGCTGAGGACTTTAGCTCCTAAGTTACTGTGCCGGGCCCAAGCAGTATGTTGTTGGCAGAAAATCCCAGGGAGGCTGGGGAGACAGCGTAGATGTTCCTCAGAACACAGTTCCCACTGGACCAGCAACTCTACTCTTCAGAATATAACCCTGTTCATACAAAACTTACAAACAGCACCACTGCACAGCAGCCAGAAGGGAGACAACCAGCTCCCAACACAACACTGTCCTGCAACGGGAAGGAATGAAATACCAATTCATGCTACGATACAACAACCTTGACTACATTATGCTAAGTGAAAGACCACCTATTTATGACTCCACTTAGGAGTGTCCAGATGCAGCAAGCTAGAGAGGAAACGGCATCAGAGGCTGCTAGGGATGGGAAAGCCGCTAGGCAGGAACTGCAAGGACACGCCTCTTCTTGGGATGAAGAAAGAGCTCTAAAAGTCATTACACTGAAGGTTGTGTAACTACAGATATTCTAGAAACCACTGAGGGAACACATTCAGTAGGCAAATTATACTTATATGGTATGGGAATTGTATCCCAATAAAGCTGTCGGTCTCTCCCTCAAGGGGAAAAAAAAAAAAAAAAAAAAAACCATAGCAGGCTTCAAGGAGAAATTAGACCATAGCACCCAACCTACTCAAAATTCTTCAGCAGTATCTAAGCGCTCCAGAACAAACTCAGATACCTGACCGAGCATGGTCTGCACGCGGCCTCCCAGAGGCTTACCCTTCCCAGCCTCCCACCACTGCCCCTCTCCCGCTCCAGCCCACCACAGCCCCTCTCCCGCTCCAGCCCACCACAGCCCCTCTCCAGCCCACCACAGCCCCTCTCCCGCTCCAGCCCACCACAGCCCCTCTCCAGCCCACCACAGCCCCTCTCCCGCTCCAGCCCACCACAGCCCCTCTCCAGCCCACCACAGCCCCTCTCCCGCTCCAGCCCACCACAGCCCCTCTCCAGCCCACCACTGCCCCTCTCCAGCCCACCACAGCCCCTCTCCCGCTCCAGCCCACCACAGCCCCTCTCCAGCCCACCACTGCCCCTCTCCCGCTCCAGCCCACCACAGCCCCTCTCCCGCTCCAGCTCATCCACCGAGGTGTCCTCCCTTGGTTTTGCCCAACCCTCCCTCCCTCCCCAGGATGACTGGCTCGGCTGCCAGTAGGGCCTGCAGCCATCTGCACAGGAGGTCTTCCACAGCCAGAGCCAGTAGCAGGAAGCATGTATCATTCCTCTCCTGTGGGTCCTCCCAATTCCACAAGCCGGCATTGACTGGCATTGACTGACAGCTCAAACGTCAGCCAGTCTCAATGCAAATTTCCACACCAACAATGCTTCCTTCATTGTATTTTCCACCAGGGTTGCTCACGCACTGAGCCACCGCTTGCCTGCAGCCCATCTCAGAGCACCAGTTAGAGCCCCAGTCTTCACTTCTGATGCAGCTTCCTGCTAACCCACGCTGGAGGCAGCAGACAATGGCCCAAGGGCAAGCCCACATGGCAGATGCAGACAGCATTCCAGCTTCAGAGTGTTGTGATCCTTGGGGAACAAACCAGCAGACAGAAGGTGATCCCTCTCTCGCTGTGACATTCGTTTTGAGGTCCTGACACCTCCGTTTCCCGGCAGGTGGCAGCCGTCAGTGCCACTTGCCGATGCAGCTGCCACCTTGCTGGGCCCAAGCCTATTACGAGGCTAAATCAACCACGTAACAGAAGAGTGACCCTGACGGATTACGGATCCTCTCCAAAATCCCAGGCCCCACAATTAGTATCCTGGCTGTGCAGGCCATTTTCCAAATGTGCCTGCCAATCCTTTAAAACGCCGGATTCTTACAGAACACACTGGAGATGAAGCGGTTGTTTTTGGTCCCGACGAACCCGAGCAGCCTCCCTCCTCCCTCGTGACCGGCTGGCAACAGCGCTCAGTACCCACATGGAACTGGAGGCTGCAGTGCCAGGGTGTGGACCCAACTCCTGGGCACTTCCTGCTCCCAGACCCGGCTCAGCCGCCCCACGACAGCAGGTCCTCCTCCGCTCTCCCAGCCGCGGCCCGTCTCCAGCTCCTGGGGTGGGCTTCTAGCCTCTGCCCACAGCCTGTGGTGCTCAAAGACTAATGGCAACCACACTACAACCCATGCTCAACACGTATTTGTGGCATTAAATCTGGCAAAGTCCTGACTCCCCCTGCACTCAACAGCAGCCGGGTGCTCCCCGCGCAGCCCTCCAAGCGCTCGGCCACTGCCCCTGCTCCCAACAAGCTCTCCGTGACGGCTGGCTTCCTTCGCCATCTTCCCAGCCAACGGCCTGCTCAGCGAGCACCCGTGGGATGCAAGCCAGCTCCCAGCATCCCACCTCCTCCCAGGTGGAAGCCACAGCGGAGCGAGCCGGCAGCTTTTCATTCCCGAAACCGGCCCGCGGGGCCCGGGATCCCACGGCCCTGGCCGGCCAGCGCGCCCCGAGCCGGAGATCCACTTCACGCAGCACTGCGGCCTCGGCCCGAGCCCGGCTCCACACGCCCTCCCTCCCTGCTGCCGAGGAAGCCCTCCCCGACCGACCGTCACCTGCTGGCTGAGCCCCTCGAGACGCCGACAGGGAGCTGAGAGACCGGGCCAGACGCGACGTCAGGCTCGTGACGAGCTCAGGCGCCGGGGCCGGGAGACCCTGAGGCGCCGAGGCGAGGGACGGAGGGCCTGGCGCCCCGGGAACCGCCCGAGCCGGCGCCGCCGCACTCGGTTGCCGCCGCTCCGCTCGCCTGCCCCGCCGGGCCGGAGCACCCGGGGATGGCGTCCTGGCCGCGGGGGCTGCCGGGAGCCCGTTCCCCGGGCAACGGGGTCGACCCCGGAGAGCAGCAGCGCGCTCCGCCGGGAGGGCTAGAGCGGCCGGGCCGCGAAGCGCAACGTGAGCGGAGCGGGCGGAAGTGACGTCATGGCGGAGGCCTGCGGGCGGCATGGCAGGTGCGTGAGCGGGCTGGCTTACCCGGCCGGGAGCCTTGGGGGCCGTTGGTCCAGCCGGCGGGAGGACGAGTGTTGGTGCTTTGTGCGGAGGGTGTGCGGGGACGTGGTGCAGTCCCTGGCCCGGGGGAACCGTCCTGCGGAGCCCGGGACTGGCGGTGACCGGCCCGGGGTGCGGGAGACGCCTGTGGGAGGCCTGAGCCCCGCGCCGTCCCTTCACCGCACTCCTCAGGGAAGGTCAGGTGCTAGCTGCCCCACCCACTGGCTGCGCTACCATCCACTTTGTTCCCGCACTAGACCTCTGCTGGCGGCTTGGTTTGAGACTTCAGACGCCTGGGGGGATGGGCACACTAACACTTGACGCCATGATCTGAACTCACCTTTAACCCCTGTCTGCCTCCCCTTTGGAAAGTAAATTCCAGAAGCAGGACTTCCTTCTTTTATTGTCCTGTTGTAGGCAGTCAGCAAGTAGGCTTTTGAGTACATGACAATATGATGTTGAAAAATGGAGTTCTAGGGCCCGGCGCTGTAGGCTATCGGCGCCGGGATCCCATGTGGGCACCGGTTCTAATCCCAGCTGCTCCACTTCCCATCCAGCTCCCTGCTTGTGGCCTGGGAAAGCACTCGAGGACGGCCCAAAGCTTTGGGACCCTGCACCCGCATGGGAGACCTGGAGGAAGCTCCTGGCTTCAGATCGGTCCAGTTCTGGCCGTTGTGGTCACTTGGGGAGTGAATCATCGGATTAAGATCTTCCTCTCTGTATATCTGACTTTGTAATAAAATATAAATAAATCTTTAAAAATAAAAGGAGAAAGAAAAACGGAGTTCTAAAGGATGTTAGGACTTGGCCAGGCCAATGGGGATGCAGTGACAGTCGGCAGCTTGTCCAGAGCCATCAGGGGGGCATGCAGAGTAGGCAGGATTGGGGCTGCAGGGGCGATGGCCAAGGCCTTTGTGCTAGCCGGTGGCAGAGGCTTGCGGCGGCCACAGCCTCACAGCGACCCTGTGTAGCAGATCGTTTTATTATTATTATTATTATTATTTATTGGAAAGGTGGATATACAGAGAGGAGAGACAGAGAGGAAGATCTTCCGTCCGATGATTCACTCCCCAAGGGAGCGCAACGGCCGATGCTATGCCGATCTGAAGCCATGAGCCTCTTCCAGGTCTCACGCGGGTGCAGGGTCCCAAAGCGTTGGGCCGTCCTCGACTGCTTTCCCGGGCCACAGGCAGGGAGCTGGATGGGAGGCGGGGCCGGCGCCCATATGGGATCCCAGGCATTCAAGGCGAGGACCTTAACCACTGCGCCACTGTGCCGGGCCCAGCAGATCGTTTTTAAATCCTCACTTCACAGGTAAGGACATTGAGGCTCTCAGCAGTTGTCCCATTTGCTTAGGTTTCGGGGTTCAGAGTCGAAAGGTTTATTTCTTCATCTTGTAAGTGAGAGTTACAGAGAAAGACAGGGAGACCTTCCTTGTTAACTCACCGGCCGCAGCAGCCAGGGCTGGGTCAGGTTGGAGCCGTCCTGAGCTCCCACATGGGCGGTGAAGGGCCCAAGTCCCTGGGGAGCCAGGTTGGGTGTGGAGCAGCCAGGATGCAGGTAGCATTGGCTGGGGCTGCAGTGTGTCATTGTCCACTCGGGGCACTTTATCAGGGAGTTATGCTGCCACAGCTACATGGTTCCCTTGCTGCCTCCATTCATCCATATCGCCTGCTTGGTGTCAGGGTTCAGTGGTCTTACTGTTGGGAGTGAGAAAGACATTTGTCCTCAGCCATGATTCCCCAACCACCTCCCCGCCTCCAATAATTGTGTTTGTTTCCACTGTCTGTCAGCAAAGACGCCTGACATCACACCCCCCAGGAAGCCTGTCTTATCGGTCAGCGCAAGGAAACTGAAAGACAACGCAGCCGACTGGCACAACTTGATCCTGAAATGGGAAAGCCTCAGTGACGCTGGCTTTGCCACCGCCAGCAGCATCGCCAACCTGAGACTCGGCTTGCTGTGAGTACGGACGGGGGCCCCGGGCTCCAAAGGGCAGGTTGCCTGGGAGTCCATCAGGGTGGCAGTTGACCGGTGTGAGTCTAAGAGCACACGTTAAGTGAAGACAATGCCTCGTGCCGGAAGCACTGTGTGTTGTACCTATTACATGCCACAACCTCCCGCATCCTGTTCGTGGCTGAGTGTGAAACAGAGGGCGCCCCCCTCCCCCATGGCCCTCGAGTCCGGGGAGAGCTCTGTCGGGTGGCAGGTCCAGGGGCCTGCAGCTGTCACGGTCATGAGAAACCTTTCGAGGCCGTGCCGCTTCTGATGGGAGGGTTTGTTTGATTCGTGTCTCTAAGTTATGACTAAGCAAACACATGCAAGGGTACTTTAGAAAGTTCACGGAAAATGGAAATAGCAGATCAGTTTATTATGGTGTCCACTCATAGCTTTTGCATGTTCCATTTTCCCTGGGTTTTCTGGGGGCCCTCATGCCAAGGTAGCCTCCAGCTTGCCACTGTCCGCAGCAGGGCCTCATGTGCTGGGCGTGCCCCCGCAGGCCACTCTGCCCTGGAGCGCCCTCAGACACAGGCACTTGCAGCCCTCTGCTGCCTCTGGCAGGTGCGACCACTTGCAGCTTCCAAGAGGCGGCTCCACCTGTCAGCAGCTGTTCCCGATGCTCTGTGCCGACACTGAGATGTCTTCTGTGTGCGAGGACTCGGATGTCACAGCCTGAAAGACGCCGTTCCAGATTGTTTTCTCTCTGAACAAATGATCCATGGCCTGTTCGCCTCGGCTACCCACGCTGTACCCTGCACACTTACTCAGTGTGCCAGTGGCTGATTGAGCAGTAGATGGACTCGTGGGCAGGCTGAAGCCATCTGTGGCAGGAAAGAGCAATGCTTCCGCAGGTCTTTGAATTATGTGTACATCGAGTCCCCTAGGATTCATTGTCACAAATGAAGTGAGCATTTGGCACAGTGGTTGAGGTCCCTGCGCACCGCGCCAGAAGGGCTGGGTTCAAGTCCTGGCTCTGCTTACAGTTCCCACTTCCTGCTAACGCTTCTTGTCCTGGTGGCAGCAGACAGTGCCTTTCAGATAGAAGCATGAAAACACACGAATATAGAGTGTCTTGTTTGTTTTGTCCAGGAATAAAGAGAAGATAGAACTGGAGAGCAGCAGCCCAGCATGGAGTGAGGATGAAGACAAGATGCATGTGGAATATAACAAGGAACTTGAGAGCCTCTGTGAGGACCTGCAGGCTGCCCTGGACGGCTTGGTAAGCTCTGCCAGCACTCCTCCCCTCCGCCCCCGTCACTGACCCTGAGCACATCTCTGGTGTGCGAGGGGCATCTGCGCGGCCTCTCCTCGCGCCTGCCCGCCTCACTGATCCACCGGCTCCGTGCTCTTCCCTCCGGCGCCCCCATCGTTGCTATCAGTCTGGACTCAGTGTCTCTCCGACTGGGCTGTCATCCAGCATGGTGTACTGTGCTCATCGAATTACTGCTGCTCGGTTAGCATGGCTCTCTGCTGGATGTGCTGTCACCCCCGGGAATCCAGGGGGATTGCTTTTGGCCAAATTCCATGATGCCCAAGACCCACAGATAAAATGGCATAGGATTGGCACATCCCTCAAGCTTGAACTTATTTCTAAATGGTTTCCAGTGGCTACTGCAATATAAACACTGAGTAACTGTTGTCACATTATCTTGTCAGGAAATATGGGTGGAAAATCTACATGTTCAGTTTTTTTTAACTCTTTTTTTTTTTTTTTTTAGATTTATTTATTTTTATTGCAAAGTCAGATATACAGAGAGAAGGACAGACAGAAGATCTTCTGTCCGATGACTCTCTCCCCAAGTGACTGCAGTGGTAGGAGCTGGACCGATCCGAAGCCAGGAACCTCCTCCAGGACCCCCACATGGGTGCAGGGTCCCAAGGCTTGGGCCGTCCTCTACTGCTTTCCCAGGCCACAAGCAGGGAGCTGGATGGGAACTGGGGTGGCTGGGGCATGGACCGGCACCTGTGTGGGATCCTGGCATGTGCAAAGCAAGGACTTTAGCCACCAGGCCCTTATTTTATTTAACACCTCCATAACTTCTGGCATTGAAAGATGCTCAGGCGTCGTCTCTGTGCTTCTTGCCTTAACCCCAGAATTGGCCGTTTCTCTAAGGAGCTCTGGTTCCTTTCATTGGTGAATATGGTCAGAAACTAAGGTCTAGAGGCTGACTCTGTGGCTCACCATGCTAATCCTCCACCCTGTGGCATCAGCATCACATAGAGGTGCTGGTTCAAATCCCGGCTGCTCCAGTTCGCTTCCAGCTTCCTGCCTGTGGCCTTGGAAAGCAGTGGAGGACGACCCAGGGTGTTGGGACCCTGCACCTGTGTGGAAGACCCCAGAGGAAGCCCCTGGCTCCTGGCTTCAGTTCAGCTCAGCTCTAACTATCACAGCCATTTGCAGAACGAACCAGTGGATGGAAGGTATTTCTCTGTGTCTCTTCTCTCTAAATATGTGTTTCAAATAAAAATAAATTAATCTTTTTTTTAAAAAAAAATTAAAAACGTGAAAAAAAAAAGAAACCAAGATCTGTGTGGTACTATCAGGGTCAGCGTTTTCTGCCCTAGTGGATTGGTTCGGTTTTCAAATGGCCTGTGAATAAGTTCTCATTCCAAACCTAAAGTTGTGTTTGGTGCCGTGGTGAGGACACTCCTGTGTCAGAGTGCTCAGTACTGGTCCCAGCTCTGCTCAGCTACTGGGGCGTCTGCCACCCACACGAGGGACCTGGACTGAGTTTGCAGTTCCCGGCTGAGCCCTGGCTGCCGCAGGCCTTGGGAGTGAGACAGCCAATAGTAGATCTCTTGTCTGTCCACCTTTCAAATAAGGAGAAGTTGCTATGTGGAGATCCTGATACTGGTTCTGTTTGCTGTAGCCTTCAGAGCAGATGACTTTGATTCCTCTGGGGACTGGTGCCCTCTCCGCTTAAGGTGGCCTGATGTCTGCATGGTGCTCTGCGTTGGCTGAGGGAGGGACCACCCGGTCAGCACGGCTGCCAGGCACTCAGTCCACCGCACCACAGGTGCAGCTGGGTCCTCACTGGCCCACAGCCGGTGACCAGGCCTCCGGGGTTTCGTTTATGTGCTGGTCTTTGCAGGCATTTCTTAGAGTGGGAGACCCCAGGGAACTGCTGCAGGAGACAGAGGCAGGGCGCCAGGTATGCAAAGATTCAGGGGCCTGCCCCCTCCCCAGCTTGCCCTTGAGCTATCTGCCCAGCTAGAGAAAGGAAGTGCTGAGTCCGACCTCTTGGGGTTGGACCAAAGAAATATCGAACCTAAAAAGGTTTTGAAAAGGAATGAAGTCCTCTAAAAATCAATGTTGGCTAGACTTAATGCCTGCCGCTTCTGATCTGGTTGGCGTATGGTTGGAAGCTCCAGGTGCCCAGAATGAAGATTCTGATGGTCTATATTTATTCCCAACTTCCTCCCTGACCGGAAATCAGCTGTATCTAGAAGTTTGGAATTCTGACTGCATAGACCTGTGCTGCTCCAATCTGAAATCCCAGTTCCATTCTTTGCTTTGCTTTAAGAAACGCTTACAACCCTCTAGCTGGAAGCTGGGTTTCACAGACACTGCTGTCTGCCCCTCCCCCCAGGAACATAGGCACCTGCTTAGACCTGCCCCGTGTGCCCAGGTGTGCAGTAGGGCCGACTTCAGGGAGCTACGCAGGCAGCATGGTCCAGGGGCCCAGGACTGAGGTCATCGTGCACGGGGGCTGGGCCAGTCACAGGCTCCCATCATTTCCTTCCAGGACTGCCTTTCATTGCTGGGCACAGTCAGGCCAGCCAAAAGATTCCTCTTCATTTCCTACATGGGTGGCAGAGGCCCAATAACTTGAGCCAGCCTCTGCTGCCTTCCCAGGCACGTTAGCAGGCAGCTGGATTGAAGTAGAGCAGCTGGGACATAAATTATGGGATGCTGGTATTGTAGGCAGCATGGCAGGTTACAACCCTGGTCCCCTGGAAATCCTAGTTATTGGCATTCTTGTCTCATTAGACTTACATTTCTTTGCTTTGAAGTCTTACAGTTACTGAATTTGAGATTGGAGATTTGATTTCAGATATTTTGTTTTGAAAGCCAGAGTTGCAAAGAGATAAGAGACAGAGAATCTTTCACCACTGGTTCACTTCCCAAATGCCCCGGGCCAAAGCTAGGAGCCCGGAGCACTTTCCAGGCCTCCCGTGTGGGTGCAGGGACCCAAGCACTTGGCCTGTCCTCTGCTCCTTTTCCGAATGCATCACCATGGAGCTGATCGGAAGTAGAGCAGCCGGGACTCGGACTTGGGTTCTTATGGGATGCTGACATTGCATACTATCTCAAAATACTGGCCCTCAAATCATATTCTTATATTTCAAATTAATATCTTTTCAGACCAAAGTACAGATGAAAATGGAAAAGTTGTCTTCAACTACCAAAGGAATTTGTGAACTAGAAAATTACCATTATGGGGAGCAGAGTCAGCGGCCTCCTCTGTTTCACACGTGGCCTACAGCCCATTTCTGTGAGTTGTTCTTTGTCGGTTTGTAGCAGGGCAGTGTTTAGCTCGGTTGAATTCAGTATGTTAAAAGGCTGACAGGGTTTTGAGGTTCAGAGTCTATTGGGAGGAAGGGAACAGGCATCTTAAAATGGTCATTTCCTCTGGGCTTTGTCACCTCTTCATCAGCCCAGATCATTAAAATAAAGACTGGATGAGCCAGTGGTCATTGGCCTTTCGACCCCACCCCGAGTGGAGAGCATCCTTCCTGCTCTGGGGAAGCAGAGTCATTTAACTTGGTTTCATTTTTGCTTCTGTTGCAGTCACAAAATAAATTGAGGTCATAGTGGTCAACTTCAGGGAAGAGGCACTAAGAAAAATGAAACTTGCTACTTACAGCTCTAAGAGACAGTTCACAAAAACAGCTTCCTTGAATGCAAAGAATGGCCTGGCTGCTTGCCCCCTCTTATTGTTAGCGAAGGCACCTCAATAAGGCTACACAGGGCTCAGTCTCCCCATGCACTGAGTGCCCTGAGTTCCTGTGAGAGGAGTGCCCGCACGGTGCTGTCCATGAGGGGAGTCGTGCTGTGGTGATATGACCACTTTCCACAGGACTCCCAGCTGCCCCTTCCCCATCCCTGTGCCGTTGCTGGCATCACACAGTTGTTGGGGAGGGGCTTCAGGTTCCTTCTGGCTGCTCAGGCCCACCCCCGTTGCTTTCAGACGAAGTCTGCCGCAGGCTGGCTGACATGTACAGGCAGGAGCTGCTCCTGAAGCGCACCGTGGCGGAGGAGCTGGCGCACACCACCGACCGTGACCTCTCCCTGAGCTACTTGTCCATGTGGCTGCACCAGCCGTATGTGGAGAGGGACAGCAAGCTGCATCTGGAAAGCATGCTGCTTGAAACGGGGCACCGAGCACTGTGACCTCCCGGCATGGTGGCGTGGTGTGAGTGAACGCCGCCTCCGGGCCTGGCTAGAGCCTGACCATGCCCGCGCCTGGTGCAGCACCTCCCTGCTTTCCTCCGTGTGCCTTCCTGGGAACCCGTCCCATGTGAGTGCTTCCAAGTTCCTAAACAGAGTGCCTGGCCTGGTTGTGTAAATTAGATGTCCTTTACGTATTACATGTGTATAGCAAATCCCTGGTTTCATATTTGTATCTTACTCCTATCTGCTGTATTCCTTATTGTCTCATGATACTATGAATTTTGCTATTACGACATAACAGAGTTGGGGGCTGGGTTGACCCACAGGTGTCTCACATGAGTGCTGGTTTGAGTCCCAGCTGCTCTGCTTCTGAAGCGTTGCCCTGCTCACATGCGTGGGAAGCAGCACAAGACGGCCCAGGTACTTGGAATGTGGGAGACCCAGGTGGAGTTCCAGGCTTGTGGCTTGAGCCTGGCCCAGGCCTGGCCTTAGCTGCCATTTGGGGAGTGAACCAGCAGTTGGAAGATCCCTCTTTCTCTGCCATTCCTCTGTCAAACAAATAAAAGTTTTACCCATAATGAATAGTTTTACATTGTCCTATTTAACTTTTTCATATTTAGCCTGTGTCACTTAGGGGGCAAGCATTTGGTGCAGTGGTCAAGTTTGCTACTTGGAACGCTCACATCCCTTATTGGGGTGCTTGGCTCAGGTAGCTGTGACCCAGCTTCCTGCTGATGTCCCTGGGCAGGCAGCAAGCAATGGGCCAAATACTTGGGCCCCTGCCACCCCTCGGGAACGACAGGCGAGAGCTGGCTCCTGGTCTTGACTTGGTCAGCCTTGGTTGTGCTGGCATTTGGGCAGTCAACCCACAGGTTAAACACAGCTCTCTCACCCCATCACATTCTTTTTCAAATCTTTAAGAGAATAATGAACATCATTTGAGAGGTGGCTGCCCTGGCCCATTGTGTATCCCATGTGGCCACCAAGTAGGAATGAGCTGCCTGAACAAGAAACATCACCATTGCCCTAAGCTGCCGAGGTGTGAGTGCTTCCTGTAGGAAGTTTCCTGTGTGTGTGTGTAAAATAAGCAGAGTTTTCCAACTGTCTGGATTTGGGAACTCGGCACATGTATGGCTCAGGGCTCCCCAAAGCAGGGCCTGAGTCCCACCCAGCGATGTCAGCTCTGTGCCTGGCACCCAGCAGCACCTGACACGCACATGTCCCCAGAATGGGCCTTCTGTTGTCAGAGCTACTGTTCTCTGAACAGTGGCCAGCTGTGGGTACATCGGCCAAGCTCACCAGCCACCCCCAGTGGCACAGACAATAGTGCGATCCTGGTGTGCAACACGGAAAGTGAATGCTTCTGCCTGAGAGCCATGTCTGGGCACAGAAGTTGGCCCCCTGCTGTCGGGCCTCTTGCATCATGCTCAAGGAAGAAGCTTCGGGTGGGTTAACTGGGCAGCCTCTGCTGGCCACTCCTGTGCTACCTGCAGGCCCACCAGCAAAACACAGGGCTCCCTCCCTAGCACTGCCAGGGAGGGCGAGAACCACCACCCCTCTGCCTGCAACACGGCAGAGGAAGACTACTGCAAGAGCAGAGACCTCGGTGAGTGACTAGATAAGAGGTCCTTACCCCATCTCCCAGGCCCGCTTTCCTCATCTGTAAACTGCATGCAGAAATGACTCGCTGTCCCGCTTCTCAGCACACTGCCTGGGACCACTGGCCATTCTTAACTGAGCCAGGAAGAAGCTTCTAACATGGCCCTTGTCAGGGGAGAAGGGTTTCTCATGCTTTGGAAGCAGAGAGCAAGGCTGAAGGACACGGACAGTACAACAGTCGCCAAGCATCTTCGAAAGTTCGAGGACATGGGCATTGTAAGAAAAACTATGAATGGATTTCAAGATTCTTTGGCAACAAATTCATCTTTTTGTTCCATTTTCCACAGATGCTTAGAAAACACCCTCATGTAAAAAGGATTTGTTAAGGTCAGTATGCTGGCTAAATGGCTAATCCTCCACCTCCTCCAAGTGTGGCATTCCATATGGATGCCAGTTTGTGTCCTGGCCACTCCACTTCCCTTCCAGCTCCCTGCTTGTGGTTTGGGGAAGTAGTGGAGGACAGCCCAAGGCCTTGCAACCCTGCGCCCACACGAGAAGCCCAGAGGAGGCTCCTGGCTCCTAGCTTTGGATCGGCTCAGCTCTGGCTGTTCTGACCACCTGGAGAGTGAGCCAATGGGTGGAAGGGCTTTCTGTCCCTCCTTCTCTCTGTAAATCTACCTTTCCAATACAAATAAATAGTAACTCTTTTTAATTTTTTTTAAAGATTTAAAGTTTTATTATTTTTTTATTGGAAAGGCAGATATACAGAGAGGAAGATCTTCCGTCCGATGATTCACTCCCCAAGTGAGCGCAACGGTCGATACTATGCCGATCCGAAGCCAGGAGACTCTTCGGGTCTCCCACGTGGGTGCAGGGTCCCAAAGCCTTGGGCCGTCCTCGACTGCTTCCCCGGGCCACAGGCGGGGAGCTGGAAGGGAAGCGGGGCTGCCGGGATAGAACCGGTGCCTGTATGGGATCCCGGGCATTCAAGGCGAGGACCTTAACCACTTGCGCCACCGCGCTGGGCCCAATAACTCTTGAAAAAAATTGTCAGCAGGGCATGTATCTGCCATTACTATGAGGGGCTCCAAAGGAAAACATGAACAGCGGGATGTGAATACATAATTCTTTATAAATATAAGGTTATTCATTGTTGGAAAAGGCCTTGTTTGCCTCAAACAGACCAGTCCAGAGTCCCGGTTCTGCTCCTTGTCGCTGGGCAGGCTCCGCCTGCACGATGAGGAGTGTGTCCACAGCTGCCAATGGGACGCCCTCAGCCACCCTCCCCTGCAGCACAGCCACCGGGGTGACAGCTGGCAGGACACTGGGCTGGGACATCTGAATGCAGAGCTGCTCCCGTTCTGGAGACAATAGCTCATTGCCCCCACCGGGGATTTTGGAAGCCATAGCTGAACCCACAGCCACCATGCCCTCCAGGCCACAAGAGGCCTGGTTCAAGTCCCTTATGTGGCCTTTAAGACCCACTTTGGTGGGCAGCTGAGGCCCTGGCTCAGGCACCGTCCTGCAGGCGTAGTCCACTGGCACACAGTCCTGGGACACGGCTTTCTCAGGGGGTGGGGCCGAGGCCCCTGTCCACAGGATGGGGCTGGCCCTGGCCTGCTGGTGGCCTGGGGGGACGTGGTGCATCTTGTGGTGTCCGTCCTCTGCACACTGAGGACTGCCAGGCAGCAGAGACTCTGCCCCTCCATGTGTTAATGGTGTGCCACAAGCAGCTGGACCCCTCATGCTGACCCCAGTGTCCTGGCCTGAAGAAGGTTCCTGAACCTTCTGTCCAGGAAACCTTGGCTCTCTCAGCTGAATCTGAACAGACGGTCCCCTGCAATCCAGGCAAGGGCGAACAGGGCCCGCACACCCGCTCCGGGCCTGCACGTCAGGGCCCGCACACCCACTCTGGATCTGCATCTCAGTAACTTGCTCCAGCTGCTGACCCGTGCACAGTGTGCTGCGGCCCTCCTGGACAGCCACCTCCTGACTGTCCTCGAAGTGGGGAGTGGCCTGGCCATTTGCTGTAGGGGCGGAACCTAAACAGTTGAGAAAGCAGACGTCAGCTTGCACATTGTATGCTACAGGAAGTTCCCTGCACTCACTGTCCCAGGCAGTCTCCTTGCTACTTGGGATTGGTGGCAATTTTTTTAGTCACTGTTACCTGTTCACAGCGAATTTTCATTAAGAACCTATTCCAAGAGTGGTTCCACAGGTGCTCTTCGATTCCCACTGAGTGAGCGGGTGGCTCCGTGACTTCCCACTGATGACGGCCACCAGAGACCTGAGGCGTCTGCACATGCTATGTGCAGTCCAGCCCCTCCCCCTGACTCAGGGAACAGGCACAGCACCCGTGTTCACTTTCCAGGGATGCCAGGACTACAGAACTGCTCCAGAGCTGTGCGGGCAGCAGGACTGGGCCCTCAGCTTCCCATGTGCATGGAGCTGTGGGTGGCAGGAGGTAGGCTAGCCAAGGGGAGCTGCGCTCCAGACATGCAGCCACGGAGGCGACCACCTCTCCAGGTGGCTCAAGGGAGTAACCCTGTTTGACGCCTCACGATCTGGTGACCTTCCAGTTGGGAGAGAAGTCAAAACATCCTGTTTCCAGAGCTGCATCTCAGCTGGCCAGGAGAGCCATGTCTGGATCGTGGGGACCCACTCTACCCAACCTCTCTGGACCTTCCTGGGCAAACACCACAGCTGCAGCAGGGCTACCACTGTGGGGCTTCCGGTTAAGCTCAGCCTGTGGTGCTAACATCCCATATCAAAGCCTTAGCTGCTTCACTCCCAGGCCAACTTCCTGCTCATGCGCCTGGGAAAGCAGCACAGGTGGCCCGTGTGCTTGGACTCGTGGGGAAGACTTGGATGCAGTTCAGGCTCCTGGCCCAGCCCTGGCCACTGCAGCTGTTTGAGGAGTGATCCAACAGACAGAAGACCTTCATCTTTCCCTCCTCTTCTGTTACTCCGTCAGGTAAATAAATCCAGGAAAATACTCCATCCCTGCATTGACTGCACTTGGTTGAGGAACCCTAGGAAACCTCAAAGACCTCAAGGGCCACGGGGAAGGAGCAGACAGAGCATGGGGACTACAGTGACGCCATCCCCAGCACCCGCCCGCCTGCCCGCCCACTGCACTTTACCCTCACGGGCACCTGGAGCGCCCAAGGGTGGGGGCTGCTTGCAGCCTGGGCCGTGGGTAGCAGGAGCTTCAGCAGTGTCCTCAGGGGGAGCTGCAGTGCGAGTCCTTTTCACTGAAGCCTGCAGGTCCTCTGTGGCCTGGGAAGAGAAGGTGCCATAAACACAGATGAGGAAGACCTGGCAAGCCCACACTTCAACTCCATGAGGAACTGGCCCTCCGGACCCCATGCACACCTCACCGCCCCTCTTCTGGCTGCTGGCTCCCTCTGGCTGCTTGCCATCTGTCTCCTGGCTGGTGCGCTGGCGTGCGGGGCGATCCATGCGCACTTCTTGTTTGCTCAGGAATTCGTCGGTGATTCCCAGGGACTCGGCCACCTGAAGGGCAGTGCACCCATTGGAGACATCACTCAAAGCAGGCACAAGTCTTCAGAAGCGTGCCCACAGCCAAGGATCCGATTTTGTGCTGTTTTAAAATGTTTTAATTGATTGAAATGTTTATATATTTGTTTTCCTCTTATCTGAGAGACAGACAAGAGGGGTCCTTCTAAATGGTTCAATCCCCAAATGCCAGCAAAGCCAGGGCCGGGCTAGGGCAGCCGGGACCCACACACCTGCTGCCTCCTGGGATGCACATCATCATGTTAGCAGGAAACTGGAACTGGAACCAGACCTGGGACTCAAACCAGGCACTCTGCTAAGGGACGCCAGTGTCCCACGTGTGACTGAAGCACCCCAGTGACCGCTTCCATTTAGGCAGTTGCTTTGTACACTGAGGAAACAGCCAGCCAGGGAAAAGGGTGAGGGATGGAGCCGGAGGGTCAGTGTTAGCACAAGGTGGGAGGGAAAATGAAACCTAGACGCGCTGGCCTGCCAGCCCAAGCCTGCTACCGTGAGCAGCTGCCCGGGCAGCCTTCTCAGCCAGCATGCCTCCTCGCAGACTTCTCACTGGTCCGATGAGCAAACTCGCCCTGCCCGCTCTATGGCCTCTGTTCCCAGTGCAGGACAGGCTATGAGCTCAGGAGCCGAGAGCCCAGATCCCAGCTTCTCGGGAAGCCTGGGAGGTTTAGCAAGTTGCTGTGACCACAAGTCCTTTGTCCAGCTCTCACCAAGCCCCAAATCCCTGAGTCTCCCTCAGGTCTCCACCCATCTCCCCAAGTACTTTGCCACTGTCCCCTGCTCTCCCTCTCCAAATGACAGAGCTCATGGCTGCTAAAGGGACTTCCCTGAGCCTTAAGTTGCATTTATTTGCAAAGCCAATGTACAATACCAGGTCTAAGGGTCAAAGTGACAGCCATTACCAGTTATGCTGGACATGACTCATAGGAAACTCCTGGGCCTTGGGGCTGGCCCAAAAGGCATGGCAGATCACAAGGGAAGCAGAGGCCAGGCAAGCTTCATGCCTGCCACAGCCCCTGATTCAGCACTGCCCTCGCATGGCCTCCATGCATGCGCAGCTGATTTGCGCCGAGATGGCCTCATGCTTGTTTCACTTACTGTTGAAACAGCATGTGGGGGCAGGCTCTGCAGGTGAGTCCCAGCATCACACATCAGGACCGCGCCTGCCAGGTGCAAGTCCGGGCTCTCTTCCAGTTCCAGTTTCCTGCTAATGCACACCCTAGAGGCAACAGGTGTGGTCCCAGTGCTTGGGTCCCTTCCACTCACGTGGCACCCAGCAGGGAGTTCCAGGCTCCTGGCTCCAACCTGGTCCACTTCCAGCTGTGGAGGGTACTTGGGGGAGTGAATTGGCACATGTGCAATCTCTGTTTCTCCATTTTTCAACCACCACAACAAAAAAATCATATAGGTGACTACTACAAGTTGGGCCCTGTACTTAGCAAATGAAGCTTAGCAAAAAAACTATCCCAAGTATATAATCAATAATTTAAGAAAATACAGATGTGAAGGCTCTTATGGAATAGGTTAACTGAAGAATTTGTGTACAACTACCAATGACAGCCAGTGAAGATCCTCCTCTAAGAAAACCAAGCAAAGTGTACAATGCAATAAATTGCAGACCATGATAACCACCAGGGGTGTCAGGGCGCCCAATGCCCAGGCAAGCCCTTGGCGCAGACCACGATGGCCACAGGGTGTCAGGGCACCCGTTGCCCAGCAAGCCCTTGGCGCAGACCACGATGGCCACAGGGTATCAGGGCACCCATTGCCCAGCAAGCCCTTGGCGCAGACCACGATGGCCACAGGGTGTCAGGGCACCCATTGCCCAGCAAGCCCTTGGTGCAGACCACGATGGCCACAGGGCGTCAGGGCACCCATTGCCCAGCAAGCCCTTGGTGCAGACCATGATGGCCACAGGGCATCAGGGCACCCACTGCCCAACAAGCCCTTGGTGCAGACCATGATGGCCACAGGGCGTCAGGGCACCCACTGCCCAACAAGCCCTTGGTGCAGACCATGATGGCCACAGGGCGTCAGGGCACCCACTGCCCAACAAGCCCTTGGTGCAGATCACGATGGCCACACCCCACGGAGCAAGCCTGCTGGCCACAAACAGTTGCTCATTTCAGGTGGCAGGAAGAGCAGGTAAAGCAGCCAGCTCTTCTGAGACTCCCCACTGCTGACTGGATAGTGGCTGGTTCCTTGAGGGCAGTGTGGGGTCAGGAGGCCCAGGGACTCCATGAGCTACAGTGAGGTAGATGCTCACAGACAAGGGGTCCCCAGAGTCCCCCAGGCCACATGCTTCTGGATGCACCCAGCGCTTGGCTTTATCCAAAGCATGCAAAACCACATCAGTCCTGACTGACCATTACAAAGAATCCAACAGGTAAAGGCGGTGTGGTGTTGACAATGACACTGCAGTGAGAAGTGGCTGAACCACCCACAGAGGCCCACGCTGCACCAAGGACCCATCCTGGAGCGCCCTGGAGGCTGGTGCTGTCGGCGCCAGCAGGACCAGTGTGGCAGCTCCAGTTTTCTTCAGGAGCTCCTCACCTGAACAGTGTTCCCTGTCCTAATGCTCAGAAAGAACACGTGACCCGAGGGGGGCAGACAAGCCGGAGTGGCTGGGTGTGAGGCCGGCGTCCCTGCAGGCACCTCTCTTCCACAGACCCTGCCTCCTGGCTACCTCCCCCGGCTCACTCTCAGTCCAGTTACCTTCCTGTCGTTGATTTCCAGGGGCTCCTGGGCACTCGGACTGCAGCTTCCAAGGTAATCCTGACAGAGCTTCTTCACCATCACATGCAACTCCTCAAACTCCTTGTACACGGCCGGGAACAGGGGCTTTGCGAGACGACCCTCTTCAACCTTCCCAAGAGATGGCCAAAACAATACTCACCTTGAGACGGGCAGACACAGCAACAGGGTGAGGACATACGTGCCATGGCCCCTAGCAGGCCAGCAGCCCCGATGCGGGAACAGCCATGGGATAGGCTGGGCCTGGGGCTGTCATGGGGGTGCAGTGGGGCCCAGGCAGGCAGGGTTGCCTTGGGAGGGTGGGCTGGGCAGGAAAGAGCCCAGGTAGGGCAGGCCCCAGCTGGCCGCCTCCCTTGCACAGGACAACCAATACAGGTGTGGGAAATGGCCAGCCTGGGAGACATCTAGCCAGAGACCACTTACCAATGTACACTAAGCTAGGACTGGGGGCCTACTTGGCAGGACTAGATCACAGTACCCACCAGTGAGCGTAGGAACAGGGGACGGGTAATGTCAGGCTGGGCCATGACACTGACAGCACACAAGAGAATTAGGTCGGGAGTGATTCTGAAGGGGATATGTGGCTCCATCCCTATGGAACTGCGATTTCTGCTGGTTTGCTCAAGAGCTAGGAGCATTGATGGGCTGAGCTAGGCATGACCATGGAACCCTCTGACACTCATGGGTAATGGAGCTGGGGACAGGCCAAGCAGTACCAAGAGGCATGGGATGTGGGGTACACTGGGCTGCAACATCCACCAGCTCATACAAAGGCTGGAATGGAGGAGACAGATTATTCTGGCGGGGGGTGGCTAACACCTGACAGCACATGTGAGATCTGGGTCCAGGGATAAGCCTGGTGGGGAAACTTGGAAAACACCTCCGGTGGGCCAGAGCTCCCACTGATGGGCATGTGATTCAGACCTGGGTGCTGGGCAGGCTGGGCAAAGTAGCTCCACCCATCAGCCAATGTGAGGGTTGGTTCTGGAGCGGGGACAGACCAGGCAAGGATGGGCCAACTTTAGCCCACAGCATGTGCAGGAGCCAAGCTGGAATGCTGGTCATGCCAGGCTAGGCTATTACACTTACCAGTTTGCATGAGTCAGAGATAAGAGCAGACTGGGCAGGGCTAGGCTGCAGCACCTGCTAGAAAGAGTTGGGACTGAGGGCAGGCCAGGACAGGCTAGGCTTCAGCATCTAATGGCAAAGGCCAAGAAGGGCTGGGCTATGCCAAGCAAGGTCAGAGCAACCACTGGCCTGTGCAAGATCTATAGCTAGGAACAGGCCTGGTTGGGGAGCTAAAGGGACACCCTGGCTAGGTGGTGGTTCTCACTGGTGAGCGTGAGTGCCAGAATGGGAGCAGTGATATGGGCTGGACATGACAGCAGTGTCCCTCGGCATGGGTGTGGACAGTCTTGGGTGTGCCAGACTGGGCTTGACTCCAACCTTTACTGGTGCTTGTGAGAGCCAGGGTGGGTATAGGATGGGCTGGGCTAAATCTCAGTGTCCACTGCGCAATGTGAGAGCTGAATCTGGGTGTGGAACAGGTGTGGTTGGGCTGCAACACCCAACAATAAGAACCAGAATGGGTGTGGGCTGGCTGGGCAGGTTCATTGTTCCTGCCAGTCTGGGCCAACGACCCACTGGGGTGTGCGAGATCTACCACCAGGAGGGAACCTGATAGAGGAGAGCTCCTTTGTCAGGAGGCAGTCCCTGCAGGTGAGCACAAGAACCAGGGGAGGGAGCAGCCCAGACCAGGCCAGGTTACAACACCTGCCAGCATACATGTGGCTCAGGTCTGGGTCAGGCCAGGCTGGGCCAGTTCATAACATTTGCTGGAAGATCTGAGAACCAGGTCGGGGTGCAGGTCAGCAAGGTCAGGCCGCAACACCAACCAGTTCACATTAGAGTCTGGACTGGGAGCTGGCTGAGAAGGACTAGTCTGCAACACCCACCAGCATGAGCTGGAACCAGAGGCAGGCCAGGCCAGGCTACAGCACCTGCCTGCAAATGCCGCAATGAGGTGGGTCATGCCAGACTGGCTGCAGCAGCCCCAGCATGTGCACGACCTGTCAAGAGAATCTCCGGGATCTGCAGGGGCTCTCCTGTTGGGCTACTGCTCCACTGGTGAATGTGAGGCTGGGAACTGGGACCAAGCAGGCTAGGTACGGCCACAACACCTGTTGGCCTGCATGTGAACAGGGTTAAGACCCAGGCTGGGCTGACCGACTGCACCCACTGGTGCATGAGCCAGAGTAAGTGTAGGCTGGTTGGGCTTTGCTGCAGCATCAGCTGGCAGGTGCTGGGACTGGGGGCAAGTCCTGTCAAGCTAGACTGCAGAACCAAATAGAAAGTGCATAAAAGTGGGTCCAGGAGGGAAATTGTGGCACTCCTCTGGTGGGCTGCAACTCCCCCTGGTAAGCATCAGAACCAGAACTGGGGTGAAGGCCTGACTAAAAGGAGGTTGCACCCACCGGCACATGTGTGGGCTGGATAGTGGGGCTGGTTGGGTTGAGCTAGGCTTCAGTGCTCATTGACATGTATGAGAGCTGAATGGGATGTGGGACAGACTGGACCCATCTGCCACACATACTGGTAAGTACAGGAACCAGGGCTGGGGGCAGGCCTGGTGAGGGTTCCTGGGGGTCGCTCTGACTAGGCTGCAGTTCCCACTGATACATGTGAGAGCTGAGTGTGTAGTAGGCAGGATTGGGCTGGGCCACAGCACCCACTGATTGAGGCAAGAGATGAGGTCGTAGTCAGAACCAACCCAGCCATTTCAACTACCAGCGTGTGCATAGGCCGGTGTGGCGACAGAATGAGCCAGACTCTGTACTGACAAGCACGCCTGAGTCATGTCTAGGGTCACTTCAAACAAAGTTTCTCTGGGGATCCCTGAAATGAACCACTGGCTTCAGAACTCCAACCCTGGGGGGAACTGCAGTTTCCAAGGTCTGACCGTGGAGCGCACATGTTAGAACTGGATCTCCTCAGCGGCTAAAAAGATCAGTCCATGGATGCCCAGATGCACATGGAAGATACGGCCGTCCATTGGGGCCTGCAGAGGACATCTGGTACCAGTGCAGAGGGAGGAACAAATTGGTCACACCAACCAAGCGTTGACAGCAAATATCTGGGCAAAATAGAGGCTCTAAGGTGGGCCATGTCAGCCAACAGACCTTGGAAGGATTTCCTTATCCTTGAAGCAGTGAGATTGACAACATTTCAGAATTACTGGAGCAGAATCCTCAGAAAACCTTCACGCCGAAGACCCTGAGATGACTGACACTAGTGGCCATTCCCCATCTCCGGGCACCGAGGCGACTGGGAGGCTGGGTGCGGCTCCCCTGTCTCCCTCCTTCTCCCACAGGAAGAAGAAAAAGAAAATTTGTAAACAATGGTCTCACCTACTTTCCCCTAATCCTCGACCCTTCCCATCCTAATCAATTATGTAAACATCATCAAAAATAACACTTATATTAAAAAATAATTTAAAAATTTAAAAATAAAGGAAGAATGGCTCCCTGAGCGGTCACCAGTCTGGGCACATTATAGGGGCTTACCTTCAACAGCAGAAACTCATACAGGGTCACGGCGCGAGCCAGCTGTGGCAGGGCCAGCTGCATCAGGTCCTCCTGGTCAGACTGCTCAAGAAGCTGTGAAAGAAAAGCACTTGGTGAGCCTCCCAGGAGTCCTCCTGTTCCTGAAACTCAGCAACTAACTAACACTACACATGTGTCTGAGAGCCAGTCTCTCCCTTGGCTCCCCAGTGCCAGGCCCAAGGGTGGGCCCTGTGCCCGGGAAGGACACAGCAGTGCCAAGACATACCCTGGCCCTCCGGGCACACCAACCAGCACAGGCAGGTGCCTCCGGCCAGGCAGCACCATACAGAGGCCCGAGGAATCAGCAGTGAACTGCACAACCAGAGGCAGGTGCAGAGCGAACACAGTGAGGCTCACAGGGAGACATCTGAAACCGGCCAGGTGGGGAGAAGAGACCCCGCCCTAGAGCCAGGGCCAAAGCAACCCAGGCCATCCAATATGGCAGGTTACCTACCAGCTGCTGACAGCGTGATCAGACCCTTCCAAATTCACCTTTTTGATCTTTTTTATTATTATTATTATTATTTTTTATTGGAAAGTCAGATATACAGAGAGAAGAGACAGAGAGGAAGATCTTTCATTCGATGATTCACTCCCTAAGTGAACGCAACGGCCGATACTATGCCGATCCGAAGCCAGGAGCCTCTTCTGGGTCTCCCACGCGGGTGCAGGGTCCCAAAGCTTTGGGCCATCCTCAACTGCTTTCCCGGGCCACAGGCAGGGAGCTGGAAGGGAAGCAGGGCTGCTGGGATTAGAACAGGCACCCATATGGGATCCCGGGCGTGCAAGGCAAGGACTTAACCACTTGCGCCACCGCGCTGGGCCCTTGATCTTTTTTAAGATTTGTTTATTTTTATTGGAAAGTCAGATATACAGAGGGCAAAAAGGAGGATCTTCCATCCAATTATTCACTTCCAAATGTCCGCAATGGCCAGAGATGTGCTGATCTGAAGCCAGAGCCTCTTCCGGATCTCCCATGCAGGTGCAGGGTCCCAAGGCTTTGGGCCATCCTCGACTGCTTTCCCAGGCCACGAGTAGGGAGCTGGATGGAAAGCAGGGCCACCTGGATTAGAACCGGCGCCCATATAAGATTCCGGTGCATGCAAGGTGAGTAACTGCTAGGCTACTGAACAGGGCCTTAAATTCGCCTTTTTAAAACCTGGTGGTTGATGGACCCGGCGGCGTGGCCTAGCGGCTAAATCCCTTGCCCCGAAACATGCTGGGATCGCATATGAGCACCGGTTCTAATCCCGGCAGTTCCACTTCCCATCCAGCTCCCTGCTTGTGGCCTGGGAAAGCAGTCGAGGACGGCCCAAAGCCTTGGGACCTGCACCCGTGTGGGAGACCTAGAGGAGATTCCTTGCTCCTGGCTCTGGATCGGTGCAGCACTGGCCATTGTGGTCACCTGGGAAGTGAATCATCCGATGGAAGATCTTCCTCTCTGTCTCTCCTCCTCTCTGTGTATCTGACTTTGCAATGAAAATAAATCTTTAAAAATAAATAAAATAAAGTTTTGTGATTTCCTTTAAAAAATTATTAATTTAACTTAGAGAGGGCAAGAGCTTCCATCCAGGGTTTCTCACCTGCACTGCCCACCACAGCCATAAGAGCCTGAGCAGGCAGCGCAACCAGGGCTTGCATGCAGGGCCATCGCTGGGCGACAGAAGGCTGCAGCAGCAGGGCGGCCAGACTTGACCCAGGCAACATAACTGCTGGGCCAAGCACCCCTCCTCAGTATTTTAATTTTTTCTTTTTAAGGTTTATTTATTTGTATTGGAAAGGCAGATCAACAGAGAGGAGGGACAAAAAGGTCTTCCATCTATTGGTTCACTCCCCAAGTGGCCGCAATTGGCCAGAGCTGGGCTGAGGCAACGTAAAGCAGGAGCTTCGTCCAGGTTTCCCATGCGGGAGCAGGTCCCCAGGCACAAGCAGGGAGCTGGCTGGGCAGTGGAGTAGCTGGGACACAAACTGGCACCCATGTGGGATACTGGCACTGGCAGCTGAAGGATCAGCTTATTGAGCCACTATGCCAGCCCAACAACTTGGTAATGCATTGTGGCGTCATGACAAAGAAACAGCTTTGAAGACAGTGGCAAGAAGGATGTACCTGCAGGAGCTGGGCTCGGCCCCTCCACGCACGTGCCCTGCTGGCCGCAGCAGTGCCCTGCCAGGGCGGGGCGGCAGTGGCCAAGGGCTCTGCAGGAGTCGCAGGGCACCTGCTTCCTTGGGCTCCCGGGAGGCTCCGCGACCCCAGGACGGAATGAGTTTGGTTTTCCGGCTCTGTTGGCACTACCTCTTCAGCGTCTACTGACTGACCAACCTAGACGTGTTGCAAGTCGGAGAATAAAAGAAATGTTTTACACGTTAGCATGAAACCTTATAGCAAAACAATGTAAAAAAAAAAAAGCCAAGCAACATGATCAATTATGTTCTCTTTAATCCAGACACATTAACTATAACTGATGCTTTTCATTTTTTAAACATTTGTTTTTTATTGGAAAGGCAGATTTACAAAATAGAAGAGAAGACAGAGAGGAAGATCTTCCATCCACAGGTTCACTCCCCAAGTGGCTGCCAAGGCTGGAGCTTAGTTAATCCAAAGCCAGGAGCCAGAAGCTTCTCCCTGGTCTCCCATGTGGGTGCAGGGTCCCAAGCTTTGGGCCGTCCTCGACTGCTTTCCCAGGACACAGCAGGGAGCTGGATGAGAAGTAGAGCAGCTGGAACACGAACTAGGCTACAACACCAGGACCCTATGACCGATGTTTCTAGGCTTTCCTTAAGACACCCCTTCAAGCTTTCTTCCCAGTTCAGGCCCTGCACCTGGCTCCTGCAAACGGTGGTGAGAAGGGTTCTCTCGCCATCAGCAAAGTGCTGCCCCAAGAGTACCCCAGGCACTCCCAGTGCACGGGGCAAGTGCCAGAGCCAAAACTGCAGGGATCGAGGCAGCACAAGGATGGACACTGAGACACAATGAGCCTGACAGCCCCAGTGACAGCAGCACATCAGTCCTTGCTGCTCCGCTTCCCATCCAGCCGCCTGCTCCTGCGCCTAGGAACCAGCCGACCCTGGCTCCAACACCCCTTCTCCCGTGAGGGACCTGCAGCTTGGCCAGCCCTGGCTGGTGCAGTCCTCCCGGAGCCAACCAAGGCAGCAGATGAGCGGCCTCTCTCCTCCTTCCCATCCTCTCTCAGCCTTGTCTCCACTCTGCCATCGCAGCCTTTGAAGTAAACCAGCAGTTGGAACATTTCTCTCTGACTCTGTAGCCCTTTCAAGTAAATAAATAAAAAGTAACACTAACTTCACTATTCTCCTTGCAGCAAAGTCAGCAACAGGCAAACCTAGCAACAGGCAGTCCTCCCTGCCCAGTGCTGCTGCTAGTAGGAAACCCTAACCCACTCACTCACACACACTCCTATTAGAATAAGGGATTTCAGGGTCCAGCACAATAGCCTAGTGGCTAAAGCCCTTGCCCTGCATGCGCCAGGATCCCATATGGGCATCAGTTTGTGTCCCAGCCAGCCTGCTTCCCATCCAGCTCCCTGCTTGTGGCCTGGGAAAGCAGTCGAGGATGGCCCAAAGCTTGGGACCCTGCACCCACATGGGAGACCTGGAGGAGGCTCCTGGCTCCTGGCTTCGGATATGTTCACTTCCAGCCACTTGCGGGAGTGATTCAGTAGACACAAGATTTTCCCCTCTGTTTCTCCTTCTATCTATATATCTGACTTTCCAATAAAAATCAGTAAATCTTAAAAAAACAAAATGGGAATTCAGCAAAATATCAGTATTTAAAATGCATAAAAATCAGTTAATATCTAGATATTATCAATGAACAGCCCTGGGCCTGGTGCCGTGGCCTAGCGGCTGAAGTCCTCACCTTGAACGCCCGGGATCCCACATGGGCACCGGTTCTAATCCCAGCAGCTCTACTTCCCATCCAGCTCCCTGTTTGTGGCCTGGGAAAGCAGTCGAGGACGGCCCAAGGCCCTGGGACCCTGCACCCGCGTGGGAGACCTGGAAGGAGCTCCTGGCTCCTGATCGGCACAGCACCAGCTGTTGAGCTCAGTTGGAGAATGAATCATCCAATGGAAGATCTTCCTCTCTGTCTCTCCTCTTCTCTGTATATATCTGACTTTGTAATAAAAATAAATACATATTTTTTTTTAAAGATGAATTTATTTTAATTGGAAAGGCAGATTTACAGAGGAGAGCCGGAAAGATCTGTCCACTAATTCACTACCCAAGTGGCCACAATGGCCAGAGTCGAGCTGAAGCCAGGAGCCTCTTCCGGGTCTCCCACGCAGGGTGCAGGGTCCCAAGGCTTTGGGCTGTCCGCGACTGCTTTCCCAGGCCACAAGCAGGAAGTTGGATGGGAAGTGGAGCAGCTGAGACACAAACTGGCACCCATGTGGGATCCCTGAGGATGCAAGGTGAGGACTCCAGCTGCCAGGCTAGCGCGCCAAGCCCTTGGGTGCTGGTTTGAATCCCAGCGGCCTCACTTCTGATCCAGCTCCCTATTAATGGCCTGGGGAAAAGCAGAGATGTGTCAACTATTTGGGCCGCTGTACCCATGTGGGAGACTCGGGCAAAACTCCTGGCTTGACCTGGCAGAGTCCCAGCCATCGTGACCATCCTGGGAGTGAACTATTGCATGAAAGTTCTGTCTGTCACAATAAAACACGCTGGGGAGTAATGCTGATACGGAGCTGCACGCACCATGTCTCACCCGCTGGGTCTAACCCGGCATTTTGGGAGGGACAAGGACAAGGACAGGCCGCTGTGGCTGCTCCTGGAAGCCCTGCTTGTAGATCGCCACTCCCAGGGGCCACCTTCCCAACAAGGCTCTCGCGCAGACCTTAAGAACTAGCAGCTGTCTCCAGGGCGGGAAGATGCTTGCTGCTGGTGTCTGGCAGCTGGGCAGACAAAGGATCCCCTGCCATGTGACTCTGGTTCCACCCAAGTGGGCCTGGACCCCGTCAGGCTGTTAGGTTGATCTGAGGATGGGGTGGGACCTGCACCTGCCACCCAGGCAGGCAGTTACCTGTAGGCTGTGCCATGCTGGCTCCGCCCCTGCGGCACAGCCGGCCAGGGGCCCTTCTTTGGCGGGCGCAGGTAGTTCTGGGGAGGTGCAGCCCATGGCCCCTGTCCCCACGCACTGCTGCGTTAGGTCTGCATTGGCCTGCTCAGGCACGATCAGCACACCATGGCCAGGGTTGAGTTTAAAGTGCCGGGCCAGGCCACCCTTCCCGATGTACGACTTTTCACAGCTTTGACACTTAAATGTTTTGGGCCTCAGGGAGCAGCTGGCTAGGTCGAAGAGCACCTGCTTTCCCTTCTGGTCCTCGTCTTCTTCCACACTGAGTTCTGAGTAGTCGTCGGAGTCAGACACGTGCCCGTCTGCCAAGTCTTCTGTCTTGATGAACTTGTAATCCCTGGCTTTGTGCTTGGGAGGGCGAGAGACGCGCCCAGAGCGAGTTCTCACTTTGAAGGGCCTCTTCAGCTTCTCAGTGTGGAAGCTGGAGCCCCGGTCGCTGGCAGCCTCAGGTGCTGGGGGCGAGCTGGCAAGAACGGGCCGCACTGACGCCCGAGGAGCATGGAGCTGTCCTCTCGGCAGCTGTGGGCTGGAGCTGTGCCGCCCCACCAGGATGCAGCTCCTCCCAGGTGGCAGGCCCGGACGCACGGTGTGGGGCAGGACGGTGGCCAGGGGGGACATCGGCCTCTCGGGGCCTCTTGTTCCTCCAGATGTCACCTTGACACAGATGGCTTCCAGCTGCTTCAACACAGAGACAGGAAAGAGAAAAAGACATGCGACGCTTATCAGACACTTGTGCAGTGTGCCTTCAGTGCAAACCCAGCACTGACCTCTCGGAACTCTAAAGGGCGCATGCCCGTCTTGCAGCTCCTAGGGATGCGGCAGACGTGCTGACCACAGACGCACCGTGCACACTCCAGTCCACACACAAGCACAGAAATACCTGCTGAGACGCGGCCTCTGCTGGCATCTGCTCCACATGGTCACAGCACAGACACAGGGACAAGGGCCCAGACATGGGCAGGGACACCTGCACCCCTGCTCCCTGCCCACAGAGAGTCTGGATTCTGGGTCCCGCAGGCCCTCACACAGCTGACATGCTGCGAGATGATGGTGCAGAGCAGGGGCTCTGCCGTCCGGGAGACCCGAGTGGACTGACAGGCTCATGGCTTTGTGTAGGCCCACCACTACTGCGGCATTTGGGGAATGCGTCCGCAGATGGGAGAGCATGCTGTCTTTTGAGGAGATGAAAATAATGATTTTTGGGCCCTGCATGATAGCATAGCAGGTAAAGCTCTCACCTTGAATGCTCCGGGATCCCACATGGGCACCAATTCTAATCCCAGCAGTCCTGCTTCCCACCCAGCTCCTGCTTGTGCACTGGGAAAGCAGTGGAGGACGGCCCAAAGCCTTGGGACCCTGCATCCGTGTGGGAGACCCAGAAGAAGCTCCTGGCTTCTGGCTTTTGATCACTCAGCTCCAGCCGTTGTGGCCCCAAAAAGAAAATTTTTTTTAAAAGAAATGAGTAGAGCCCGGCGCGGTGGCGCAAGTGGTTAAGGTCCTCGCCTTGCACGCCCGGGATCCCATATGGATGCCTGTTCTAATCCCAGCAGCCCCACTTCCCTTCCAGCTCCCTGCCTGTGGCCCAGGAAAGCAGTCGAGGACGGCCCAAAGCTTTGGGACCTGCACCCGCGTGGGAGATCCAGAAACGGCTCCTGGCTTTGGATCGGCATAGAATCGGCCGTTGCGCTCACTTGGGGAGTGAATCATCGGACGGAAGATCTTCCTCTCTGTCTCTCCTCTCTGTATATCCGCCTTTCCAATAAAAACATAATAAAAATAAATCTTTTAAAAAAAAAAAGGAATGAGTATATCCTTTGCAGCTGTACTCATGCATTTTTTTTTTTATTGGAAAAGCAGATACACAGAAAGGAGGAGAGACAGAGAAGCAGATCTTACATCCAATGCTTCACTCCCCAAGGGGCCGCAACAGCTGGAGCTGAGCCGATCTGAAACCAGGAGCCAGGAACTTCTTCTGGGTCTCCCACATGGGTGCAGGGTCCCAAGGCTTTAGGCGTTACAGATGTAAACACACACAGCGTTACAGATGTAAGCACACACACACAGCGTTACAGATGTAAACACACACAGCGTTACAGATGTAAACACACACAGCATTACAGATGTAAGCACACACAGCGTTACAGATGTAAGCACACACAGCGTTACAGATGTAAACACACACAGCGTTACAGATGTAAACACACACAGCGTTACAGATGTAAGCACACACAGCGTTACAGATGTAAGCACACACAGCGTTACAGATGTAAGCACACACAGCGTTACAGATGTAAGCACACACAGCGTTACAGATGTAAGCACACACACACAGCGTTACAGATGTAAACACACACAGCGTTACAGATGTAAGCACACACACAGCGTTACAGATGTAAGCACACACACAGCGTTACAGATGTAAGCACACACAGCGTTACAGATGTAAGCACACACACACAGCGTTACAGATGTAAACACACACAGCGTTACAGATGTAAACACACACAGCGTTACAGATGTAAGCACACACAGCGTTACAGATGTAAGCACACACACAGCGTTACAGATGTAAACACACACAGCGTTACAGATGTAAGCACACACACAGCGTTACAGATGTAAGCACACACAGCGTTACAGATGTAAGCACACACAGCGTTACAGATGTAAACACACACAGCGTTACAGATGTAAGCACACACACAGCGTTACAGATGTAAGCACACACAGCATTACAGATGTAAGCACACACACACAGCGTTACAGATGTAAGCACACACACAGCGTTACAGATGTAAACACACACAGCGTTACAGATGTAAGCACACACACAGCGTTACAGATGTAAGCACACACAGCGTTACAGATGTAAACACACACAGCGTTACAGATGTAAACACACACAGCGTTACAGATGTAAACACACACAGCGTTACAGATGTAAACACACACAGCCTTACAGATGTAAACACACACACAGCGTTACAGATGTAAACACACACACACACAGCGTTACAGATGTAAGCACACACAGCATTACAGATGTAAACACACACACAGCGTTACAGATGTAAGCACACACAGCGTTACAGATGTAAACACACACACACACCCATGAACACACAGACGCATGGCAGAGGGATGTGTAGCTGGCGACACCTGTGCAGGGTTGGAAGGTGAGCAGGAGCCTGCAGCTGTCCGCCCCATGGGAGGATGCCCACCTTTTGTGTTGTAATGACACTGTCCCCTGCAGTGGCCCACTGCGCGGGCTGTGGCACAGGATAAGCCTGCTTCCACGTGGGAGTGCTGGGGACTATGCCCCACCAAGCTCCCAGGAGGCACCCGGGTCCGTCAGCACGTGCAGCCAAGGACGGAGTCCCGGGCCCCGCCTCTGGCAGGCACGGGGGGAGGAAGAGCCCCGACCTTCCTCTCTCTGTCCTGCCACTCGGCCATTCAAGTAAGCAGTTATCTGGGTCATGTCTGACCTCCTGATAGTTTCCAGTTCCTCAGGGACCAGGACGCGGCTGGTGGCCTTGCGGGCCTCAGGGCACAGTGGGGACAGGGCGTCCCAGCAGAACGGGGGTACATCCTGCAACATGTCAGCTAGAACACGACGCCCTCGCCACTCGGCTGGCATTAGACAGAAAATGTGCCACGTCCAGTGGGGGAGGACAGGGCCCTGGACGGCAGCCACCCCGCGCGCCCTTGGCGCGTCACTGCCTCGCTCTGAGCACCAAGGACTAGCAGGCCGGGCCCAGCTGGGGCGGGGGCGACCCGTGCACCCCAGCTTCCACCAGCTCGAGCGAGCCACGCTCACACCCGCCGAACTCCCGGGCCCGGACGCAGCCCTCAGCGGCCACCTCCACTCTGCCAAGGCTGGGGGAGCAGCGAGCTCAGGGCGGTGCGCGGTGACCGGGAGGACCGGACCTGGGGCGTCCGACGCCCCCGGCCCGCCCGCGCCCCGGTGCCCGGGCACCGCAGGACGAAGCGAGGCGCGCGCCCCGACGCCCGCCCTGCCCTCGCGGGGCTCCCCGGCCACCCCGCGGCCCGCCGAAGGGACGCGGCCGCACGGCGGGGGCGCCCAGGGCCTCAGTGTCCCCGCTCGCCCGCTCCCGGGCCTCACCTGGGGCGGCAGGCGCGGGGACGCGGGGCCGGGGCCCCGCCGCGGGGCCGCCTGCCGCGCCGCGTCCCGCAGCACCACCGGGGGCGGACGCGCCCTCGTCACCAGCTCCAGCACGCGCCGCAGCTGCTCGGGGCCCAGCGGGGCCAGGCGCCGGACGCCGCCGCCCTCAGCCTCAGGGGCGGCCATGGCGGCGGGAGCGGGGACTCGAACTCCGGTCTCCGTGCGACGGACGGCGGCAAGGGATGTGCGTCACCTGGGAGCCGGGCGGCCTACGAGGGCCCCGCAGGCCAAGACACCTCAGCGGGCGCCGCGCTGCTGAGGCTCCCGGGGCGGGACCCTGCTGGCCCCGCCCCTGGCCGGCCGCCGACCTGGCCCCGCGGGTTCGGTTCCCGCCTGAGAAGTCTCCCAAAGCCGGGGCCGCAGCTCCCGGAGAGCCAGAGAGACCGCTGGCTGGCCGCAGGTGTTCGGAATGCCTAGGCCCGGGGGGAAGCCGGCACGCTTTCGACACGCGGAAGGAGATGCTTTACAGCCGCGGCTAAAAAGCCAGATCTCAAAAAGCTCACTTGGCCCGTACGGGGATCGAACCCGCGACCTTGGCGTTATTAGCACCACGCTCTAACCAACTGAGCTAACCGGCCACTGGGTGTCAGCCCTCCACCGAAATACTCATGAGGAAGTTGGGCAGCGCCGGCGCTGAGAGGACGACGCGGCTTCGTCGGCCGCCGTGAGCAGGCCGCGTCCCCTCAGAAGCCGCGGGTGGACACCGGGGCCGCTTCCGACCGCGCGTGGGCTCTGGGCCGCGCGGGACCGCAAGCCCGAACCCCGGGGCCCGCTTCCTTCCGCCGCGGGGCCTGTGCTCTGCGAGCGGCTGCTCCGTGCCCCGCCGGGACGCGTTCACGCCGCCCCGCGCCCGAGCAGGCCGGGTCCAGGGCGAAAGGAGTCAGAGTGCGGCCCTGTGAGCAACTACTTACTTACTTACCCGGGCGGCCGGGGGGCGGGCTCGGCGCGGGAGCGGGTGCGGGAGCGGGGACGGCGGGCTCGGCGCGGGAGCGGGTGCGAGCGCCGGTGATGGTGCGAGGTGCGGGCGCGGGTGTTGGTGCGGGTGCTGGTGCGAGGTGCAGGTGCGGCGGGCACGGGTATGAGATGCGGGCGCAGGTACGAGAGGCGGGTGCGGGTGCAGCGGGTGCGGGCGGCACCCCGCTCACCTGAGGATGCCAGGAAAGGCCGAGCTCCGCATGTGGCGTGGGTGCAGACACTGCTCTTTCTTCGCTTTCACGTTGGAACAAAAAGTCTGCCCATTTGTACTTCAAATACTCATTTAATATGCCTGGTGTTATGGTTTTATTTGTTCGAAAGGCGGATCTGAGCGACGGAGCCTGGGGTGGGTGTTCTACCATCCCCGGTTACACTCCTGAAGTGGCCACAGTGGCCCAACTGGGCAGGGTAGAGGCCAGGCGCCTGGGACTGCGTCCGGGTTTTCCATGTGGGTGCGGGGTCCCTAACCTTGGGCCACCTCTGCTGCTTTCCCAGGCGCATCAGCAGGGAGCTGGAACCTGGCTTCTCGGCACGCAGGCATCGCAGGCGACAGATCCTCCCGCCGGGCCACCTGGGGCCACTCGCACAACAGCCAGAGTTCTCCTTAGCTGCAATTCCCGTTATCTGCAGGCCTGCGGCGCAGCTGTTCTTGCTGCACACACGGGGTCAAGCTGTTTTCTCTAAGGCGCCTTATTATTTTCTGGGCAGCCTGGGGGGCTTCCTGGAGCGGCCTGCAGCCTCTGTCCAGCTGCGGTGGGAGTGAGCGGGTGGAAGATTGACCGCACTGTTAAACGTTCCCCAGTCACCCTTTAACTTCCTTTTGTAAGCAAAGCACTCGTAACGCACCGTGGAGGCAGGCTCCCTGCACGGCGGCGTTCCTTCACCGCCAAGCGTCCTGGAACCAGGGCGCCCCTGCCGAACCGGGCACCCACAGTGGGCGCCGGCCGGCTTCTGAATCCTCCCCAGGGCTTTTATTTACTCTCTGGTCGAACAGCAAGGAGTTGCTTAGTAACCAAGCCGCCAGCGGGTACTGCTGCGGGGCGTTTTTCTGCGCACGCGCGGGGCTCGCAGGGGTCCAGCGGTTGCTAGGGTGACGGGATGCAACACGCCGGTGGGATCCTAACGCCCTTAGAGACGGACCACCGTCCTAGCCTTGCGGCGGGAAAGTGGAAGGTGGGGCGCTTACCCTCCGGTCCATGGATCACGGGATGAAGAGTGAGTCCAGGGAGGGCTGGGGACCCCAAGACTAGTTGGGCTAGGGCTTGAGCCTTAGAGACTGTCGGAGGGGACGGGTGGCCGTGGGTGGCCGTGGAGAGGCACCTGCCGTGGCCCCCCAGCCCAGCTGGGCCAGGAGCTGGCATTCCCACAGCCTCCCTGGAAGACTGCGAGCCCCTCAAGCGAACTGACTGGGCGCACTTGGGGAGTTGAGTTTTGGGGATTTTTCAGTGCAGATTATTCTGTTTCCCCATATTGGACACTAAGAAGCCAGCACTGGCAGCCTGGTCCCCCAAGTGGCATCGGTTTAGTGTACAGTCAGGTGGAAAGCTGACCTGTGCGTTTTCTGGGGAGGGGGATGAGGCAGCAAGCAGTAGGGCTTTTAAAGAAACGCTCAAGTGGCATTCTGATGACATTTAAAGAGTATTAGAAGTGCGGGCGCGCTGGAGCCATCTCGGGAAATGTAGCGGGTAAGAGGGTGACGTTTTATATCTGCGGCCACCAGGTACTGCTGCCGGCAACCCGAATGATTTAGTTGGAATTTCTTTTGTTAAAACATCAAAGTAACGCCCGGCGCGGTATCCTAACCACTAAAGTCCTCGCCTTGCACGTGCCAGGATCCCATGTGGGCGCTGGTTCCAATCCCAGCAGTCCTGCTTCCCACCCAGCTCCTGCTTGTGCACTGGGAAAGCAGTGGAGAACAGCCAAAGCCTTGGGACCCTGCACCTGCATGGGAGACCTGGACGGGACTCCAGGCTCCTGGCTTCAGATCGGCGCAGCTCCAGCCGTCGCAGCCACATGGGTTGTGAATCATTACCAGATGGAAGCTCTTCCTCTCTGTCTCTCCTCCGCTCTGTATATCTGACTTCGCAATAAAAAAAAAATCTTAAATTATTTTGGGGGGCGGAAATTGGGGAGCAGATAAGGGAAATCCCAAGAGCCTATGGAACTGTTTCATAAAATAATAATAATTTTTTTAAAAGACTTTATTTTATTTGTTTTTAACTGATAAACAAGCAGGGGCCTGGGGCCATCTTGTGCTGGTTTTCTTTTCTTTTTTTTTAAGATTTATTTTTATTATGTTTTTATTGGAAAGGCGGATATACAGAGAGGAGAGACAGAGAGGAAGATCTTCCGTCCGATGATTCACTCCCCAAGTGAGCGCAACAGCCGATGCTATGCCGATCCAAAGCCAGGAGCCTCTTCCGGGTCTCCCACACGGGTGCAGGGTCCCAAAGCTTTGGGCAGTCCTCAACTGCTTTCCCAGGCCACAGGCAGGGAGCTGGAAGGGAAGCGGGGCTGCCAGGATAGAACCGGCGCCCATATGGGATCCCGGGTGTGCAAGGCGAGGACCTTAACCACTGCGCCACCGCGCCGGGCCCATCTTGTGTTGGTTTTCACATTCATCAGCTGGGAGCTGACTCAGAGCAGCACGGCCAGGACCCTGCTGGGGCTCTGCTGAGGGGTACCAGCACCACAGCCGAGGGCTAGCCTCCCGCAACAGCATGAGCCTCACTGAGGAGAGTCTTTCTTTTCTTCTTTTTAAATTTATTTCATTTTATTATTATTTTTAAAATGTATTATTATTGGAAAGGCAGATTTACAGAGGGGAGAGATAGCGAAATCTTCTATCTGCTGGTTCACTCCCCAAATGGCTGCAGCGGCTGGAGCTGAGGCAATCCAAAACCAGGAACCAGGAGCTTCTTCTGGGTATCCCACTTGGATGCAGGATCCCAAGTACTTGGGCATCCTCTGCTGTCCCAGCCGCACGAGCAGGGAGCAGGATGGGATGTGAGCAGGTAGGGCTTGAACCAGTGCTCACGTGGGATGTTGTTACAGACAGCTGTTCATTGTGCTGTTGCACAGTGGTAACCCCTGTGTCATTTCCTTGAAACGTTTCTAGTATTTCCTGTTGCGTGAATGAGCCCCCAGGACCCTGTGGAGGTGCTTCCGGTTAGTCACATCCCCGTTAGGTAACACTGTAGCTTCCTCCTGTTACACAGGCTTGAGCAAGTATTGCTTACACAATAAGTTTCAGAATTGGAATTGTTGGGTCAAAGAGCAAAGAGTTCAAACATCTTTTTCAAGATTCATCTTGTTTTTATTGGAAAGTCAGATTTATAAAGACAAGGAGAGAGGGAGAAAGATTGCCGTTTGCTGGTTCACTCCCCAAGTGGCCGCAACGGCCAGAGCTGGGCCAGTCCAAAACCACGAGCCTCCTCCAGGTCTCCCACGCGGGTGCAGGTCCCAAGGCTGTGGGCCGTCCTCTGCTGCTTTCCCAGGCCACAAGCAGGGAGCTGGATGGGAAGCGGAGCTGCCGGGACATGAACTGGCACCAGTATGGTATCCTAGCACATGCAAGGCGAGGACTAGCTGCTAGGCTACCACAACAATTCTCAACAACAGTGGAATATAAAACTGTTCATACATTTTAAAGATCTAATAGTTATTATCAAACTGCCATTTAACAAGATTATACCAGTTGTCTTTTTTTTTTTGCTGAAGTTGGGATGTTGGTTAGGATGACTACATGGCTCAAGTCTAGATGTTTCTCCTGATTCTAGCTTCTTACTAACGTGTCCCCTGGGAGGCTGCAGTTGATGGTGCAAGGGTTGGGGGCCTGCTACCTACATGGGAGAACCAGTTGACTTCTGCTTTAGCCCAGCTCAGCCCTGGCTCCTTGGAGGTATTTGGAGAATGAGGCAATGGATGGATGCTCTCTTTCTCTGCCTGTCAATCCAAAATAGAGAAGGACAAAATTAGAATGGAGATGGCAGTGAAAGACTGTTCTATTGCCTTGGTTTAGGAGGCTGATGGGGGAAAAACTCAGGAAGAAGACTATAGCTGCTATGTCTTCAGCAGTGGAGGGCTGGAGCGTGGCAGGCGTGGCAGGCGTGGCAGGCGTGGCCAGCTGGAGCGTGGCAAATGAGTTTTGCAGCTGTGACATAGTTTACGTAACTCCTGAATATCCTTTCATTTCACCTGGATATAATTCAATGTTTCTTGCTAATATTTGAGGACATTTGCCATATATGATATAACCATAATCACTTATTAAAACAAAACAGAAATAAAACAAAGAAACCCTAAGTTCTCTTTCATTATTTGGAAGGCAGAGAAGTATCCAGTTTGTTTTTGTTTATTTATTATTTATATGTCTCTGCCTTTCCAATAAAAATAAATAAATCTCTTAAAAACACTAAAAATTACAGGAAATGCTGCACTTGGCCTGGGACCTGATTGCTGGTGTGTGTGTGTGTGTGTGTGTGTGTGTGTGTGTGTGTGTGTGACGCCACGGGCACAGGTGCGACGCCACGGGCACAGGTGTGACGCCACGGGCACAGGTGCAACGCCACGGGCACAGGTGCAGTGCCCAATCTTTGTGACCTCATATCAATGGCCAGGACTTAGTAGCGTGGTTCCCACCCTACAGGAGAAGCTGGACGGGGAGCGGACAGTTTTGTGGGCAACACAACGCAGCCTCTCCTGCAGAGGGGGCACGAGCACTCCATTGGGTGTGGAGAGACGGTCCCCAGCTTATTTCTGTGAAACTCAGAAGAGGTCAGAGTTGGCTGTCCGGAAGTGAATATGGAATCCTTTCTTTCATGACATTCTATGATTACTTTCATTTCTAGACTATCGAACGGTTGGCAAAATAGGCGAAGGGACGTTTTCTGAGGTGGTGAAGATGCAGAGCCTACAGGACGGGAGCTACTACGCATGCAAACGGATGAAGCAGCGCTTCGAGAGGCAGGTGGCCGTGACCCGTCACTCAGCCAAGGGGATCCTGCAGTGCTGTGCGCAGCACAGGCAGGCCTACCTGTGCAGGCCGCAGCATGTCCATCCTGCTGAGGTCCTCTCGTATCAAGGTCGTTGTAAGAGCAATGCTTCATGGTCAACAACAGTCCTAAGTGGTGAAAGGGAGCATGCCCCCACCACAGCTTCCGTGTGCTGCTCAGGGCTGGCGTGCTGGGTTTGATAACTCAGGCCTTGGTCTGTATCGTTCCAAGAAGAAGCTCCTGGCTCCTGGCTTTGGGTCAGCTCAGCTCTCGTTCTTGTGGCCATTTGGGGAGTGAACCAGGGGATGAAAGATGTCTCTTTCTCCTCTGCATAAATCTAAGCTGCCTTTCCAATAAAAATAAATGTTTTTTTTTCTTTTAAAACACAGATCTTTCTGTGTCTCCCCTATCTCTGTAATTCTGCTTTTCAAGTAAATAAAGACATCTTTAATAAATAAAGAGGCCAGAGCTGTGTAACGGCATCATTTATAGTGCCGGCATCCCACACTGGCACCAGTTTGAGTCCTAGCTGTTCCATTTTCAATCCAATTCCCCACTTGTGGTCTAGGAGTGCTTGGGTTCCTGCTGGCCACGGGGGAGACCCGGCAGAAGCTGGCTTCTAGCTTGGGCTTGGGCCAGCCCTGGATAGTGTGGTCATTTGGAAGTCCGCCTCCCTCTGCTGAGTGGCTGGGGTCATTTCCCTGTGCCCTGCTGGCCTGCACCAAGGAGCTTCGTCCCGTGTGTCTTGGCATGGGGCTGCCATGATTAGAACCGGTGCCCATGTGGGATCCCGGCGCATTCCAGACAAGGACTTGAGCTGCTAGGCCACCCACGATGCTGGGCCCTGACACACAATTATTTTTTTCATTAAAGATTTATTTGTTTGAAAGGCAGAATTAGAAACATTGCTAGTTCCCTCTCCAAATGACCCCAACAGTTGGGACTAGGCCAGGCCTAAGCAGTGGCCAGGAGCTGCTTTTGGCTCCCCCATGGCTGCAGGCCCCAGGTGCTTGCACAATCTTGTGCTGTTTCTAGGCACACTAGCAGGGAAATACATCGGAAGTGGAGCAGAGCAGCCGAATTCGGAACTGCTGCCCACGTGGGATGCCGGATTGCAGATGGAGGCTTGACTTGCTGTGCCACAAGGCCACCCATGGTCGTTTCTGACAGGAGAGTAAGAAATGATATTGAATGTCACCTGACCACAACATTCAAAGCAGCTAGATTTATTTATTTTATTGGAAAGGCAGATATGCAGAGAGGAGGAAAGACAGAGAGGAAGATCTTCCGTCTGATGATTCATTCCCCAATGCTGTGCTGATCTGAAGCCAGGAACTTCTTCCAGGTCTCCCACACGGTGCAGTGTCTCAGGGCTTTGGGCCGTCCAATCAGATGGAATCCTGTGCTCGCTGGCCTTCCACGGTCATAGTGTCCTTCTGTCCACACGGGCCCACTACTCAGTCTTAGACACTGCCTTTTCACAAGGTGTCCTTATCAGCCTGAGCAAATCTTTGGAAATCTACTTAGAAATGGCAATATCCCTCTATGTGTTTCTTAGTGTACAAAATAAACGAAATAAAAAATATTTTTATTTAAAAAACAGATTTTACAGAGAGGAGAAATGAGAGAGAGAGAGAGAGGTCTTCCACCCGCTGGTTCACTTCCTAGATGGCCTCAAAGGCTGGAACTGAGCTGATCTGAAGCCAGGAGCCAGGAGCTTCTTCCAGGTCTCCCATGCGGGTGCAGGGTCCCAAGGCTTTGGGCCGTCCTCAGCTGCTTTCCCAGGCCACAGGATGGGAAGCAGAGTGGCTGGGACTAGAACCAGCGCCCATTTGAATGCTGGTGTCGCACAGCAGAGGATTAGCTTCCTGTACTACCACGTCAGCCCCACTACGGAAGACTCAGGATCCTAGATGGGCAGCATTTTTCGTTATGTCCTAGGTTCAACAACCCTGATTTTATAGGAAAATGCAGAAGCAAAGTCTACTTAATTTCAATTTCTAGCAGGAATAGAGCCTGATTAATTGGTAAGATGTGTGTGTCATGGTGATGTTAGCCCACACCGTGTCTTGCCGTCTGTTGTGCCTGCCCAACAGCATGGAGCAAGTGAACAGTCTACGGGAGATCCAAGCCCTGAGACGGCTGAATCCACACCCGAACATCCTCAGGCTGCACGAGGTGGTGTTGTGAGTATTCCAGTATTCCAGTATTCCCAGGGGAGCTGGGAAACCCGCCTACCCCTGAGGGTTAATGATGATGAAGTCTCCTTAACACAGGTAGCTGTGTGGACCTTGCAATGCTGGCTGTACTGCTTGGCCGCTGGCCGTGCTTTCTGTCTGTTGTCCTACTTTGCAGTTTCTTTAGGAAGATCTTGGCTCCTGAGGGACATGGCCTCCCTGAGATAGTGCCAGGAAGGTGCGGGAGTCACACACACGGCCATGGGGTGCATGCATCACGCAGTCAGCTCCACAGCCGCGCGTGAGCCGCAGCCTGCAGGCAGCACGGCTGTGTGGTTCTGGCAATCACCTTCTCTGTTTCCTGGCCAGTTGCCAGGGCTGCCTTCTCTCTAATCCCATGAGGGGATGTTTCCTTTTCTGTTCTAGTTCCAGGAAAGCCTCCATAAGGAGTAGGACAGGGGAGGAGAGCAAAACCAGGCTATCGCCCAGTGCCCGCCTGGTGTGCGGAGCCAGGCTCAGCTTGGAGAGCCTGGCCAGGACCTCCGGGTGTGCCAGCAGACATGCCAGTGGCTCTAACCTGGGACAGGACAGCAGTATGGCCCACTGGGCTGCAGCACCCTTGGAAGCCAGTTTCAGGCTGGATCCAGAGGTGGCTGTGGGCACAAAGCAGTGACAACATTGTGTATGCATGGATTACCTCAATGTTCTCACGACACAGCTATCTCGGATTCCCCTGCCAGTGTCTGGCAGCGTCTGGAGCGGGGTAGTGGGTGGCTGCAGCTGCTCTGTCCAGCCAGGGCCTGCCTTAGCACAGGGGGAGCTGGTGGCCAGCCCGGGTCCCAGTCCCCACCCGGAGTCCAGCAGGCCATCAGCCGAGTAGCGTAGGAGAAACCTCCTCTCGCTGTCCCTGCTGACTGCGTTTTGGGGCTTGCTGTCTCCATTTCATGGACATCACCTCAGGAAACCACAGCCTCGTGTGCGGCTGTGGAGCCCGGCCCTCCGTGGCTCAGTCAGCTCCCCTCCTGCCTGCTGACCACTGGCTCTGCATTTTAGAGCTACACCTCCTTAAAGCAGGATGTCCAGGGCCTGGTGCTTGTCGGTTGTAGGCCAGTTCAGGTGGTTGGAGCAAGGCAGCCTGCTCCCCGAATAATGGCCCCACAGGCCACAGGTCTGGCTGGTTGGAGCAGGGAGCCTGCCTGACCCCAGTGGTGCCCCGGAAGGTCTGCCTGACACCTAACTTCCTGGTACTTCCTGGTGTGATGGCAGGTGAGCTAACTGTCCTGTCATGCTTTCTGATCAGCGAGAAACGAAGCCATTTACACACTTCCTTCTTCCTCAGTGACAGGAAGTCTGGCTGCCTTGCTCTGGTTTGTGAACTCATGGACATGAATATTTATGAGCTCATCCGAGGTAGGTGGGCTCGTTTGAGTGCTGCAGCCCCTCCCCCTCAGGGCCAGCCAGAAGTGCTGCAGGGCCTCCAGTGGTCCTGTGACTTGCATGAGACTGGTGCAGGGGACCATGAGGCCCTCAGCTGGGACCACCACACTCTGGGCGGCCCTTCTGCCCGACTTCTGGGATGCCACACCCCCTGCCCCAGGTCAGCCTCCCGTGGGGGCTTTCCCCTCACTGGCTCCCATTCTAGGGTGTCCCTTTGTAGCTGTGAGCAGGAATGCACTACGGAGGAGGAGTGTGGGCCTGGGCCTGCAGGAGGGGCTCACTGGGGAGACAGGGAGGATGCTGGAGTGGGGATCTGCCTGGGAGATGGCAGGACAGATGGTGGTGGATGTCACTGTTAGGGGGAGCGAGTGGCCAGCGTCACACAGCAGCTGCTTGGGGCTGGGAGTGGGGCTGCTGCCGCAGTATAAGGGCCAGTTCAGAGGGGGAGACAGATCTTCTATCCACTGGTTTGTTCTCCATATGCTAGCAAAGCCAGGAGCTTCTTCAGGGTCTCCCACGAGGGTGAAGGGCCCATGCACCTGGGCCGTCCTCTGCTGCCTTCCCAGGTGCATTGGCAACGAACTGGATCAGAAGTGGAGCAGTCTGGACTTGAACTAGCGACCATATGTGGTGTCACGGGTGGTAGCTTAATGCCCCAAGGGTGGAGACTTTTGCAAGGTTTCTTTTGGGGCATGCTGCGCTTTTCCTAAAGCTGTCTCAGATTATCTCGCATGAGGAAGTCGGACTTTGGCATGTCCGGAAAGCAGCCCCATGCCGTCCCCACACCTGAGCCCGTCTGCTTGGTTGCACAGGGAGGAGGCAGCCATTACCAGAAGAGACGGTCATGCGCTACATGTACCAGCTGTGCCGGTCCCTGGACCACATGCACAGGTATGCGCTTGGACCTGGGCAGCCCCAGGAAAAATGCAGCGCCAAGAGTTAGACCCCTGACGTATGACTCAGCCTGTTCTTCCTTTCTCACTGGATGCAGGAACGGAATATTCCATCGAGACGTAAAACCTGAAAATATCCTCATCAAGGTGAGGCGGCTGGCGGCGGGAAGGGGCTGAGCACCAGCTTGCTCGCACCGTGGGGCTGCACCGTGTGCGGCCCCTGCGCTGCCTGCATCTCCCATCCCAGTGTGGGAGGGAGGCTTGTTGGATAGACCACTGCATAGCTGGCAGAAGGAGTAAGTGACGCCCGTTCCCAACGCCCACGGGTTACCTCATGCTACCTTGATGGCTGCTCTGTACTGGAGCAGGCAGGGCCCACTTGAGGCACCGCAGGGCTGCCCGTCACTGCCCTGTCTGCCTGGCTCTCAGCTGAACTTCTCTGGTAGGAGAGCCAGGCCATGGGACTGTGAGTGGTGTCACATCCACCCAGAAACCACCCCAGTGTGTGTTCCTGCTCCTTGGCCACACGAGCTCGGGAGAGTGTGTGTGTCACAGTGAGGCCTGCTTCCCCTGCAGCAGCAAGTCCTGAAGCTTGGGGACTTCGGCTCCTGCCGGAGCGTCTACTCCAAACAGCCGTACACGGAGTACATCTCCACGCGCTGGTACCGGGCCCCTGAGTGCCTGCTGACAGATGGCTTCTACACCTACAAGATGGACCTGTGGAGCGCTGGCTGTGTGTTCTACGAGATTGCCAGGTAGTGCCTGGAGGCGGCAGGCCTGCTCTGGGTTTCCCACCATGGTGACAGGGACGGCCCTTGGGTCAGGCTGGTCTTAGGAACTGTGGTATGTAACAGGAAGTGGCCATGCTATGTGACTGGCATGTGACCATGGCAGATAACCAGCACGTGGAGAATACTGTGGGGGCTTGCCACCGGCTGCCCCAGCTCCTTGCCGCAGCCCCTGCCTGTTCTCTGCCCTCCGCTCTGGCCCCAGCTCTGGCTCTGCTAGAGCCGGAAGGCCTGCACTGCGGCTGTGAGCAGGAGCCGAGTCTGGTGCCACAGTTCCTGACGGTCGAAGCTCTGACAAGCATCTGGGAGTTTGCTTGCAGCCACGCCTCGCCTGGCCCACCCTGAGTTTGTCACTATCACCCGGGCTGCGGGCAAGGCTGTGTCGAGGGGCTGCCATGGCGTGGTGGTACTTTTCCCACCCCACCCACGGAGCTTCCCCTGTGCCCTTGCAGCCTGCGGCCCCTCTTCCCTGGAGCCAACGAACTGGACCAGATTTCCAAAATCCATGACGTCATCGGCACTCCCGCACAGGAGACTCTCACCAAGTTCAAGCAGTAAGTGTGGGCGGGCTCTGTCAGCTGGACAGGGGCCCATCCCCTGCCCCCCCAGGCCCTACATGAGCCTTTGTCCATGACGGCCGCGCAGCCCCTGCCCACCCAGGCCCTACGTGAGCCTTTGTCCATGACAGCCGCGCAGCCCCTGCTCACTGGAGCTTCCTGAGGCCCAAAGGTCGCAGGTGTTGGTGTGGGGCTGCTCACTTGCTCCTGGGCCTGGGTCGATGCCTCTAGCTGGCACATCATGGTGATGGGTCAGTTCCTGGTTTGTGGTATGGTCAATTGCCATGCCATGCCACTCAGACACCCATAGTTGCCAGGCTCAGAGGAGCCAGGGTGGGGAGATGGGGCACTCGGGGGCCAGCACCGCTGGCAGCCCTGGGCTTGGGTCTCACTCCACCCCTGGGGCTCGGAGCAGAAGGGACAGGAGCAAGTTCCCAGGGCCCCATGTGCACCTGTTGCATGGGTGGCCCCACTCTGACACGTCCTAGCGCAGCTCCCTCGGGTCAGGGTGACGGGCCAGTGCCTCCAACGACGCCATGATCAAGTTATCATTGGGCTTTTAATACAGGTCGAGAGCTATGAATTTTGATTTTGCTTTTACAAAGGGGTCGGGGATACCTCTCCCGGCAGCCAAGCTGAGCCCGCAGTGCCTCTCCCTGCTGCGTGCCATGCTGGCCTATGACCCGGACATGCGCATCGCTGCCCACCAGGCCCTGCAGCACCCCTACTTCCGGGAGCAGAGGTAGGCTGGCTGGGGGCTCCGTGTGAGGGTTGGCACCAGTGGACCCTGAGCAGCTCTCTGCATCTGACTGTGGCTACCACCTCCTGGGGATCCCTGTGCCATTTCCTGGTGGGGACAACACCCCCATGGGGGGAGGGGAGCTTGGTGGACGTGCAGTTGTGGCGCAGGCCCGGCCAGGGTGCCTCTGGGTGTGCAGATGTGGGACGAGTTCAGGCTGGGGGGGCGGTACAGGCCCCGTCGGGGTTGGCCAAGGCTCCTGTTCCACACCCTGGCCGGCTGAGCCGGGAGGGTCGAGGCAAGAGGAACAGGTGCCAGAGCGTCCTGAAGGAGCGGTGTACAGTTCAAGCTGGCGGGGCCTCACGGTGGCTCCCCTCTCTCTCCAGGGCAGCCGAGGGGCAGGTCATGGGCTGCCATCAGGGAGTGCTCCTCCCAGAGCGCCCATCAGTGCCGGGACCCTCCAGTCACAGCTGGCAGGTGGCTAAGCAAGCCACAAAGCAGGTATTGAATGAGACTGGCCAATGGTGGGGACTGCCTGCTCCTGGCTGGCCTGGGTCTGTGTGAGGACACAGCCTGGGGTGGGCAGTGAACATTAGCAGGGTCCACGCCCTGTGCCTGTTACTGCGTCCCTGTGTTACAGTGTTCTGGACCCCAAGCCCTCTTCCCCCCAGCCCAGGAGGCCCCACAGGAGCAGACCCAGAGGAGGTTCTGGCCCGAGTGCCGTATAGGGTCTGATGACACTGCAGACACCAACTTCTGTGGGCGAGCCTCCTGGTGCCACATACAGCCGGACAAGAGGCTCAGAGGAGCTGCGGTCCCAGCCAGCCAGGGATAGTCCCCTAGCTCTGTGCAGCTGTACAGGGATTTCCTATCGGCAGAGGTGGCCCTGCACCTGCCTGCCCACTCTCGGTTCCCTTCGCTGTGTTGTTGTTAGCTCTGTTCTCCATGTCACTTGGGCCCCTTTGCACGGTCCCCCTGCCTCAGTTCAGCCATGTCCCCTGCCAGCATCTAGTTCTTGGTCATCCTTAAGTCTCTCACCCTTCCCACCACGTGGGAACAAAGTATGTGGGCTGATTCACTTCCAAGCCATCCCCTGCTGTCCCCCTGGGATGGCCACCAACAGTCAGAGGCCAGATTTGGGGTGGAGCTAGTTCTCGGCCCCAGACCTGGCTGCCCACTGCCCACTCACCAGCCCTTCCTTCCTTTGCAGAAGGCGGCCCTGAAGCACCAGGACAATGCTCCTAGGAGCCTGGGCTGTGCTGGGCAGTCACCACAGTTGGGGCTCCTATCACAGTCCAGCCCTCTGCTGCCCGCTGTGCTTGGTCCCCGGCCCTGTGGGAAAGTGCCACTGCCAAGACCCGTGAAATGCAGACCAGCCCAGCTGGTTGCGCCAGCTGGCAGAGCCCTGGCGGCCTCCCTGGAGCAGCCACATATCTTGTCTCAGGCGGACGCCCAGAGGGACGTGAGGCCTCAGCCAAGACCCTGGCGCCTGCCTACCATCGACAGGAAGGTGGGCCGCTACTGAGCTGCACAGCTGTCCTCCTGGGCTGGCGACTGTGGAGGGAGCGGCAGGCCCAGGCCTTGGCTTCACACACAGGAGGGCCACCCAGGCTGGTGGCTTGTGTCACCCTGTGCCCACCAGTGCCATCTTCCCCTCTCAAGCCACTGTGCCGTTGGGTCTAAGCTGGGGGGGAGGCATTTTGTAACCTTTTATATGAATTCAGACACGTATAAAGTAGGACTTTCACTAGCGGCCAGCAGCCTCAGTGCCAGGTGATGCCTACTGCACCCTCTATCGGTGGGCTGGCCCCACACCCCACTGCCAATGGGCTTCTCATTAAAGATGGAGCTGAGGTGTGTTACAGCGCCTCCTATGGCCTGCCGGATGCCGGGACCTCACAGCGGTTAGCTAGAGTAGCTTTGGGGAGCGTCTTAGGGAGCACGGATGTTGTGTGGGGAAGACGTGTGCGGCCTTCTTGTGCGCAGAGACCTCACGAAGGAAGAAGGCCAGGCCGGCCCCAGGAGTGGGATCGGGCAGAGGGTGTGGGCCAGGCTGTGCGTTCCTCCTCCTGACTGTGCGGGCTAGGCCTGCCCCTCTCACCAACCCCCCACGTCCCCAAGTCCCCAGCAGCCGTTCCACCCCTTTCCCCATGGGTAGGGGTGAAGCAAGGAGGCCTGAGTGTGGGCACAGCCCAGGAGGAGCAGGTGGAAGCCCAGCGAGGCTCATGAGGGGAGGGAGGGCCTGGAACAAGCTGCTTTTGTAGCCCTCGCAGGACCCCGATGTGGCAGGAGCTCAGCCAGGTCCCGAGGAGCCGAGAGCCGTGGCCAGCGGCAGGAAGGCCGGTGAGGGCAGGCCTCCCGTGGGCCAGGGGCCACCCAGGGCCATGCACCACACCCTGGGAAAGGTGTTGCAGGTTTCTTGTTTCATTTCAATATTGGTATTCAGAAGATTTGAAAGACACAAAGAAGGAAAGACCGAGAAACCAACTGTCCACACACTGTTTCATGTGGAGTAGCCACAACGGCTGGTCAAAGGCAGGAGACCGGAACGCCATCCCAGACAGGCACACACAATCCAAGCATTTGGCTCATTGCCTGCTGCTTTCCTGGGGTCGGGAGTAGAGCAGCTGGCACTTGAACGGGCACCCATACGGGATGCCTTCTCTTGCTGTTAGGATGCCAGAGCCGGCTGGCTGTGTGTGTGCACAAGATTTATTTATTTCAAAGGCAGAAAACTGTGGATTCTCTGGTTCACTTCCCAAACGGCCTTTGATGGTCAAGGCTGGTCCAGGACACAGCCAGGCCTCATGTGGCTGGCAGGGCCCAAGTGCTGCACCACCTTCTGCTCCCTCTCCAGGCACACAAGCAGGAGGCTGCCCCTTGGAGGCAGAGCAGCTGGGGCTCACATCACTGTGCTGCGATCTTGCCGCCACACTGGGGCTTCCTCCATGGGGTCACATGGGGAGGGGTGCCGTGGAGACTCAGGCGGGTCCTTCCGACACTCCCGGCTCCCTCCAGGTTGGACGAGCCCAGAGGCGAAGCGTCGCTGCTGAGACGCACACAGTCTGGCTCCAACCCTGAGGCCTGCCATGGTTATGTGTGTTCTCTGAATTGTTTCCTTGGGGGTTTGGGCTCGGCTCCTGGCTGGGTGGCAGCTGATGGCACCATCCTCAGGGGTCCCTCCTGTCCATGAGGACGGAGACCTGGACCAAGTCCCTGGGGCATGGCTCCTACCTGGGGACTGGACCAGCAGGCAGACTCCTTCTGTCTCTGGAATAAGCTACGCTTCCTGACGGAGGCCTGATATTTCCCACCACTGACAATTCTGGAAGGCTCATCGCAAGGGCACATCCCAGGGACCCAGAGTCTGCAGGGCCGTGGCCCACTGTGCCCGGCTTTCCCTCTGAGGGTTCATCTGAATGACACGCTGCCCTGCTGAGGGTGACCAGCACCGGGTGCCTCACACGTACGCCTCGAGGGCCCCACGCCAGCCTGGATAACCCTTCTGCACGAACTGTGGCCACAGTGGCCACGGGCTCTCGGCGACAGAGGACGGGACTCCGGGCTGTGAGAAGGGGGCCGGGGCTCCGGGCACGTGGGGCCAGAGGATGGGGTCAGTCTGCACTGGCCCAAACTGTGTTCAAAATGGAGCCAATTTCACAGAAGATAAACAGATGATATATTCAAGATAGTTTTAATAATTTTTTTTGGAATTAGAAATATCACTCTTAAATGATGAAAATGACCAGTGGAGAATAATTCTCCCAACCGCAGAATTACATTATTTATACATATCATACAGAGTTGAGTCTGCTACCGTGGCGACCACAGTATTGAAATCCATGCCCACCCACTGCTGTCATTGGCCGTGAGGCCCACGCGCCCACAAGGCAGCACCGTCCTGCACCAGTGTTCAGCTACATTAAGTGCAAACAGTTTTGTGTTTTTTAAATCTACGATTGGATCGCAGCCTCTGTGTTCCTGAGTCCACACACTGAGCGAGGGCGACAGCCCCTCCCCCGCCTCCGGCTGGTGCCCTCAGCCACCCAGAGGGGCCTGGTGTCCCAGCAGCACTTCATGACGCTACGTAGACAGGGCTGTGTTCTATACGTACATGGGGCTCAGTTACAGTAGACCTTTGGAGTTAAAAGTTTCTTATTTTCTAGTGGAGCCGTGCCAGCCTGCCATCAGGTGGGAGACATCTTCTCGGCTGGCATGTGGCTGAGGTGGCGTCGCTCCCGCGGGGTCGCTACACTACAGTCCCACCTGGAGCTCTGGCCTGGCTTGGGGATGGCAATAGGCCCTGTGAACAAAGCAGTTTCCATTAATCCAGCCCAGCAAGTTACAGCTCACCTGGTCCGGGGGACGCCCAAGGCCCGCCCCACCGGGGTGCCAGACCACAGGGACTGCGGGGCTGTGGGGCTGCGGCGCCTGAGCCTGGGGCAGCCAGGCCCTCAGCTCCCCCAGCGGCACAGGTGGCATCCTGTGGCTTTAGCCCCTCCAGCACCCAGGGAGTCCCCGAGGCTGTGGAGCTAACAGGACAAAGATCCTGATGACTGCGCCTGGCAGGCCCTCAGTGTGGTCACTCCTCCCTGGGATCCGAGGTCAACAGTACCCACAGGAGCTGGCGTGAGCTGGCCTGGCCTGGGCCTCAAGCAGGGATGGACTCTAGTTGGCCTCCAGCTCTGCCACTCCTCACTGGCGGCAGTGGGAGATAGCTGCGCTGCCCCTGCCCTAGCGACAATGTCCTACCTTACAATCAGACAGATGCGGGGGCCTAGGCAAACAGCTGGCGCACACAGCCACCAACGTGGCTCACCATATGCAAGAGCCTCCCTCCAGCTGCGCACAGCTGGGGTCAAGGGAGGGGGAGCCCACAGTGAGAAAGGACCCCACGGCAGGGTTAGGGCCACAGGGGGACAATGGCCTCCAGGAGCTACTTTCAATCCAGAGGAAGGGAGAGCCGAGATCAGCCTGGGGTCTGAGGGGAGGCCACCCCTCTCCCAGGGCGGTTTGGCCCACAGGGGGCGCTGGACACACAGGAACAGTTTTCAAGCAGGTAAAATTAAGAATCTATTCTTTACGGTCATACCCACATTTAAGCAACAGTTATCCATGCTTTCTCTTCTCTGCCAAGCATTGCTGTGTAGCTGACCCCTACAGCTCGCTCCCACTGGTAATGGGCCCACCTCCTCACCCGCCAGCCAGCCCTTGGGAGGCCAGAGCCCACCGACCCGTGTCAGAGGGACAGTCACCATGGGGTGAGGCAGCTGTGATGGGCTGCAGTCATCTCGTCACCCTCCATCTAGGTTTCTTCATAGTGCCCCCTCCCAACCCCAAGCCAGCAACATGCAGAACTGGCCCTGAGCAGACAAAGTATCCAGAGGTGGGATCTCAGAGCAGGGAGGGGATTTCCTTTTAGCGAGAAGCCACGGGCATCGCCCCATGTGTAAGCTGGCCAGCGGCCAGGTGAGCTGGCCAAACCTTGGCCAGGCTCTGACCAGTCCACTGGGCACACCTCGGGCAGCCCGCCCTGACAACCCCCTGCAGTTGGGAGCTGGGGGGGGCAGGTGGAAGGCCTTGGCTCCAAGGATGAGCCTGTCCAGCTGCCCCCACCTGGAAGTTGCCCTACAAGGGGCAGGCGGCAGGCCACTTACTCCCATGGGCAGTGGCGCATGGCAGAGGGGGGACACATTTTCTTGAGGGTACAACTACATCGTTTTTTAAAGATGTTGTAGTTTTTATAAGGGGCCAGCAGTTGAGGGTTGACCGTGTGCTAGGCACCGGGAAGGCATTCCTGGCCGCTGCCTGGGCAGCCAGTACCGGAGGCACTGCAGACCCCAGGGAAGCTTCTGGAACCCAGCCCTGCAGAAGCCAGAGCACCAGCAGGGAGGGACAGCAATCCTGGCTACTAGGGCCTGCTCAGCCACTGTCTACAGGGTCCCCAGCAGCCCGTGGGCCAGTGCAGCTGCCGCAGCCATCTCCAAATCCTGGCCTCTGATGACTCCACCCAGAAAAGCACCCTCTACCCTCTCCCAGTCACTGGCTGGCGCCAGAAGCGCTGTGGGTGCCCAGGGTGTGGGGGAGGAGGGCACGGTGACACCGTGCCAGCCTGGGACAACAGCAGAATGGTAGCATTGTCCCCAGGATGGGCTGCTGCCCGGCCAGCTGGAGATCAGCCGTGGGTCAGGCACCAAACAGCGGACATGGCAGCCAGGAGCAGCCATGTGGGACCCAGCTTGCTCACGAGGTGGCAGGTCTCACA